AAATAATATAGCCAAATCCCGTGCACTGGCTGATTTACCGTCCTGCAATTGAAATGAAGGAGACCAATGAGAACACTTTCATATTTAGATCTATACACAAAGATTCAGCGTGACCAAACTCAGCTCTCCATAAATCTGTAAGACGAGGGATGACTTCAACTTTCCAACAGTCACTTATGTCGCGCAATATCCCAACTGTCTCAGCCTTTAGTGTGCACATATAAAAACTTTTGAGGTACAGTCGCGAGCATACTCTTATGATCAGGAATTGAATGAGCGTCATGTGACACTTACTCAGGAAATGTTTGATCAGGCGTACAGCATTCAAGGTCTCAGTAAAGCTTTCAAACGTTTTCTGGTAGAAACATGGAGGACATTTCCAAATTTGAGGCATCAGTGACAAACACTGCAATTCCCTATTGTTATGTGTACCTTAAGTTCCCGTGCACTGCTCAGGTTACAATCTGACTTGCCTCTGCGTTTGTCTCTGACGGGTGCCACCTGTATGGCAGGATACGCTCACCTCATCGCGAACATCTGGTACCATTATTTTAATGTCAGTGATTCATAAACATGTGCTCATTACATAGTCGGAATTGTACTACAGACTCTCATGAACCAAGGTTAACTGCAAAAGCGTTAACAAATTCACAACCAGCAGCCAAACACCAAGAGACAGAGCCTTTCAGTGTTAAGCACAATGAGACAACCTTTCCATTCAGAGTAAGCCCCCTTCCCCAAAATCTGGAAGGCCTACATTCTTTCAAATCTGGAAGGTCTTACATTGTTGATTGAAGCAAGGGAGTAATATCATTATATTGCTGTCTACTGAGAACACGTCTGTGTGAAGCGTTGTACTTTATAAGAACAATAGTAATACCATACAGCCTGATTAAAATGCATAAATGCACATAAAGAAGCCCCTAATGGAATCGACCAGATAAAACAATGCCTAGGGAAATATTATAAATGTAAAAAAAATGTGTCTGGTGAAGTTAAGGAATATGGCCTTACTAACAGACTATTGTAGAACGCAGTGCAAACCTGAGTTAACTATTTACCAAATACTTACTGAAACACCGCGAAATCGCGTAACGGCCTTGGTTTACTAAACCAAGTGGAAATGTTGCATAGATAAGAGTTTCAAACAAAAAAACCCCAGATAATCTATTAACAACTTATGAATTATCTACACTCTCTTTATTTCTTTCGACGAACATTATCAAGAATCAGGCAGTGAAGATGTGCAGTGAGGCTGAGATAAGGATGACAATGAATTTCCATCTCTATTCATTTATCACTTAGTTCTCGCATATGGCTTGTAATTTACTATATAATATAGATCAAGTACACTGCCATCTGCGTATTTCCCTCTCTTGGAACACGAATTCTGTTAACATTAATGCTACTGACGCAAGATATAACGTGTACGTTTTTCACATTCGTGCCAAGTAAACCATGAACTGTCTGGTCTTTTCCTAAGTTACACAAAACTATTGTATATGCCAGTAAATTCACGTAACAACGAAATTGCTAAATATTTACTACTTTATGTACTTACATGTCTGACTTGGATACAAAAGAATTAAAAAGACAATCCTCATTCTTGGGCGCTGTGAAGATTCCCCTGCTGTGCTGAATGTACATTTGATCAGGCACTGAAGTCATATACAGCTAGAAGCTTGTACATAGTATAGCCATAACAATTGGAAGCTCACCTTATTAACACATATGGAGATATATTAGTGTAAGGCCCATATACACCGGAAAACATTACATTGTCAAGGAACTTTTACAAGGTATTACACTAAATAGAACATAATGTGGCTGAAGCCTTCTTTCATTAAGCTAGCAAGAGTACTTGTTCATTGTACCTCCCAGCCTGTAAATGTGATGTTAAATATGGTGTAATGCTAGGAAATGCTGCAGCCGTTGATCTGACTTATATGAAACTTGAAAGTTCAAGGTCAACATAAGATATCCTGCCAATGCACTTGTTTTAAACATATTTTATTTTCCAACAAGACATAGGGTTTAGACGCAGATGCGCCAGTTAAACATAATACTTTATAATGGGAATGAACAATTTACAATGGAGGCTTTTCATTGTGGAAACGTTATTGATCATCCAAAACTGTGTTCCACAGGAGATATCGCTTGTGTGAGATCAAACGATATCTCCTAGGAGATATCGTTTTGACAGTAGATTTTGTACAATGCCCTGACAATGCTATGACGTCATGTACTTGATGACGTCACAATGCTATGACATCGCTGCACTGCAAGTCTAATGGCAGTACCATGTTCAGAGATGTACATTTTTCATTGAAAATTAATTCAGAGTGATTTTGGATGATAAATAGAATCTCACCCTCGTGTCTTCTGATATCAAATATATCAACACTCATTGATAAAAGTAAAAATATCCTCGGCAAGCCTCGGATATTTGTAACTTTATCAACTCGTGTTGATATAATTGATATCAGAAGACACTTGGGTGAGATTCTCTCTATATATAAACAGTGTTGATTTACAGAATATGTAAATGTGCTGGAAAGTGAACAAATGTGTGCATGTCATGCATGTGCAAATATTATACAGTTTACTTTCGATATATAGCATGATTAAACTATGACTTACATTTTGGAGACAATGATATTATGTTAGCTGCTGAATCTATTTGTTATTTTTACATATTTATGTACAGCCAATAATAATGTTTTGTTCAACACATCATTCATTAGGAAAGGGTGCCCTGTATGATGTGCCAGAGTGAGTGAGTGAGTTTAGTTTTAAGCCGCACTTAGCAATAGTCTAGCTATATGGGGTAAATAATCGTGTCTTGACCAGACAATCAACAGCATGAGCATCGATCTACGCAATTGGGATACGATGACATGTGTCAACCGAGTCACGAGACTGACCGCCCGATCCCGTTTGTCGCCTCTTACGACAAGCATGGGTTACGGAAGATCAATTCCAACCCGGATCTTCACCGGTTAATGTGACAGAGATTAATCAACCACTTATTTTATAGGTTATAATGATAATCGGTTTTAACATCGTCGCAATAATTTGACAATTTGATGATCAAGTGAGTTTCACATACTACATTTTATTGTCATGATATCTAGTACACTTTTGTAAATCAGCATAATATATTATATGGAAATGCTGTCACTTAATGATGCTCGGAGAAACAGGAAACGAGTCAAATGTCAAATGAACATGAATGATGCATTCGGTTAATAGAAAATATGTCCCTGTTGGGGTAATTATGTTCACATAAACGAATCACTCCACTTCAGAGAACTTTTGTCAAGGATGAAGATAATGTCAAATACAGATGTTGAATTCCTCTGCTGTGCAGCCTGCCCAGAGCATATAGGTGGTAATAGAGGTGTTCCGTGGTCTACTGTCTCTCATCGTTCATGCTTAGTTAACAAACTTCTTGTGTAAAATATATATACTACTTACACTTTACAAAGGATCACAAAAAATCACAACTTTACTTAAACGTAGATTCATAATTTGAAATGTAAAACTGGATATATAATAATATGGTAACCCCTATTTAGGCAAACAGTCACTTTAATCTAACCTTATGCACTTGATACATGAGTAACCATAAAAAATGGTTTTCATGGCACCAATCAACCATTTTGTAAATAATGGAACGAGTCATTGACAACACTTGTCAATAGCAGGTATGGGATCCACAAGATGAAATGACACACTGGAACCTAGGATCCATTCTTACAATAAGCTTAGATATTTAAAATCCAATTTGACCCCACATCATAGTTTTCTGTTAAATCCATGATTTGATCATTAGCAAAGTGTGAATAGTAGTACTATATATAAGGGTGGTGGAAACCAAAAACAAATTAGAATAACATTATATAGGATTTGAAGCGATATCTACAAGGATTTGTTGCTACGTGAATTGAATTTACAGGAGAACAATATGATCAGTAGTATGCCCCGCCGCATTGAAGCCTGCATTGCTGCCCATGGTGACTTGACAAACTACTAACTGTTCACCTGTCAATCTTTAAATTCTCAACAATTTTTGGGTTGTACTGTATGTGTGCATTGATGTACTATGGGAACATTAAGTATGGTAAATTTTATTTGAATAAGTCAGAGTTTTGTTGAAAGAATTTGTCGTATCTTATCCTTATTTTTACGCTGATAGTTGGACAGGTTGAAATTATATGTTTAAGTTGTGGGTGAAAACTCAGGACAAATCCAACACGACTAAGAAGCTACCGAGCAACCAAACATCTACATAAACATATGTTAAACGCGTTCAGTATCATCTATGTAGATGGAGGTTTGCAACACAGCATACTCGATAGTGCCTTAAATATTATCCTCCCACTTAGTCGTAAAGTCTTATGTGTTTGCCCTAATGGTATATATTTCCTTTCTTGACCTGGCGCCATCTTATGAAATAATTATGTGTGGATTCGCTTCCATCTTGGCATAACATAAAACATTCTGATTTGAAAGTGTGTGTAATTTGCTGCTTAATAGATTGAATCACCAAGTCAGAACAAGTTAAAGCCCCGAATACGACAAAAACAAATATCTTCTCTTGAAGCAAAGCTTGATTGTTTGTACATTAAAACCAGTTATTCAATTGCACATGTTGATTCATTTACAGTTGTGGCTTTGAAAGAAAAGAGAAAAAGAATTTATCTTAGTTTGTTTGATGAAAACAGTGCATTACATTGTTTTGCGCCAACCTTAACAGGATACTCCATATTCAAAATTTACATGTAGTAGTTTGGAGTGGCTGTGCCTCCTTGTCTCATACCCAAACAATGTATAAATATAACGTTCTTTCATCGCTTTAATTCATTTCTATATATGGTCCAAACTCTTAAGATTACCTTTGAGGGGAACTGTTCAGCATGATTATCGGTAATCGATTAACCCCTCAAAGTAAACCGTGATAATGACGTTATGTACTACCAACCTATTCTTCCCACTGAACGACCGTGTTGTGTTCAAACATACACAGGACGTACACTCGCCGATTTGCTGACACATGATGCATTTTTAACGAAGCGTCAATAACAGTCAAGCGTGAACCGATGTCTGTGTGGAGTGTCACAACCCCAGAGACAGGTACGTTCAAACTACACCGCTATATATGTGTTGAAAGATGTTTGTAATTACAGTAAAATACATGTTGTCAGCATCCGTATGTTGTATCTCATTGGCCTCTTATACCTGATAATGTCCACTTTGTTGCTGAGACCATGGAAATGGTGATGCATAATTTGTGACTCACGATCCCAGTGATGTGTATGCACATATACGTAGAGTCCCATTACAGCTTTCTGGATACTGAACTGCTGGTATAGATTTCGAGTCTGAAGTTCAAGAAATTCGAGTTTAATGGAGGCTTAGGCTCACGGGATTCCGGTTGATAATTGGCACCGAGGATCCTGTGCTTGTATCGAAATCGAATGAGGTATCAGGTGATAAAGCTATGTCACCAAGCTGAAAGTGTGTTCATCGCTGGTCTTAGTTCATGCGTTCCATCACCCTATTGCCTGGCTCGGATTTCATTGTTTTAAAGTCGAGATGAATCAGCTGAACCGTGAATGAACTACCACTGTAAGAGTTTGTTGATAGTGAAATAACCTGATTGGTTACCTGACTGGCGGAGTCTTAGTCAAGTCCATTTTTAAAACCACTAATGTCTATTATTACTGACAGTGGGCGGGTATGTAGCTTTCATATCTAATGGAATAGTTGATGCGCCGCCACAAAATTTGTGATACACATATTTGATTTTCTGTATCACAGTGTCATGTAAAAAGTGTTGTGTTCCCGTATTGCTTAGGTCAACAACTGAAATGCCATTGCATGTGTTTGTGTTACGTGTCATCGTTGGGGCAGGACCCTCCCATCTTTTTTGCAAAATATATATGGGTAGTCAGTTGGTCAGTATTGGATTTCATGTTTAAAGGTAATTGAACAGGGCATTACACAGTAGTTCACGCAGGTTTACTGTGTTAAGACGAACAAGCGCCGAAATAATATCAATAGTATCGATACAGTTATACAGTTATTTGAGACCCACCCGTCCGAGCCGTCGCAATTCGCTTTTTAGAAACCTTTGGTCATAAGTGTGAATCCGGGTTCTTTTTGTTCACAGGCTAATCTACACTAGACAAATGCTCACAGGTTTCCCGGTGTACTGTCTCAGTCCTGTCTCACCCTCTACCTCCATCCGTAATTATAACTGAAAAACAATTCACCGCGACTTCAAACCAATGTTCCTCACTACCCCGAATACCTTAGTTTATGTAGCTTTTTACCTCTTACTGCAGCACACGCTCAGAGCTGCAAAGTTAGATCATCACAGGTTGTGTTATCACAAAACTCGCATATCCACGCATTGTCTTCTTTATTGCTTCAATCCTTGTGAATTATTTATCTGCCATCGATCGTCGAGGACGTGTCGAGGTGGTAGTCAAGGAGGTTGCTTTTATGACCGCCACTATAAGCCATATCCAACACCGCACTGATACAAGATCCCAATGGGATTGATAGTCTACAAACGGACAAATAGATACGATAGAGTCACATATGAGTCTTAATTTACGATAGATGTTGATAACAATGGAAACTCTAATCACCTGGGGCTCCTTTCACAAAGCAACTTTACTTAGGTTAACCTTGACTCCCATTCTTTAACATTGCACTAAGGTCACCTTAATGCTTTGTAAAAGCAGGCCATGTAGTTCTTTAACTCAATGTTACTTTCAAAGAGTACAGACCCACACGTATATTATAGTAGTATTGGAATTCGTTTGCATTTACATCCTCATTGTAGTTATTGTAACACCATAGGCGGTGGGGTAGTATAAAGGTTAAAGCGTCCGCCCATCACGCTGAAAACCCGGGTTCGATTCCCCACATGGGTGCAATGTGTGAAGCCCATTTCTGTGAAGCGTGATATTGCTGGAATATTGCTAAAGGTGGCGTAAAACCATATTCAGGTACATGCGCAGCTAGGATTTCTTTCTACAAATGACAATTTTGTCAGTAACGCAAACTGTTACCATGTTGTCTCGTCTAAACGTTTTTCTTGGATATTCAAGAAGCAGCACAAGTCTTTCCCGATATGTGACAGGGGATACTGACGAGGTGGAAAGAAAACACCACTCCCGAGAGATGTCAACCGTTACATCGCTATGGGCCATGTTGCTAGTCGCGTCCCGAGCAGTTGTAACACAAGATACAGGTGCGTCTATAATGAATTATTAAATGTTTTCCAATAGTTTCAGTACAATAAACTTCTACACAAAGAAACCTACAGTGCAAATAGAACATGTTCTTTGGTCCGTTAAATGAGCATTGACTATATTCAAACCACATTACATTTTATTCTACCATGTTAAGGTGTACTGGAGTTTTAACTCATCAACTATCTATGTTTGTTTCTTTGTGTTGCCTTGACACAAGTGCCTATTTTCGATGTACAACAGTTTCAAATGGACATACATTAATAAACATCAGTATCATTTCAAAACCAAAATGGCATCGATCGGTGGTTTGTGCCGATATCGTTTTTGTCACCAATTTTATCACTTGTCTATCTATAGACATAGTTCATTATGATAACTATCATTCATTTTAAATTATCAGTAAATCAGCCACAGTGTGCCATCGAAAATGAACTTAATAATAGTCTATTACAAATTGACTTCTCAACAGCGACATCTCTGAACACTATCAATCACTATTAGATAAACGTCATTGAAATAGCAATTGATAAAAATTTTGGAGAAATCAAATCCTGAAATTATGTTTTTGACAAGGGGTCATTGCGAGGCATTATTTTGGTGAAGAAGACCATTTCCGTTTCAGATTGTCAGGTAAAGAACTGTCTCATATGTAGAGACGGAATATGCACTGTCTGCGATCCCGGCCTGTACGGGAGGGATTGTTCTCTTCAATGTCCTGCGAACTGTGCGAAACGACTGGTGTGTCCGCACGGCTACTGCAACGGGGGTTGTCGACACGGCTGGTATGGGTCGAGGTGCAACACCCGGTGTCCAGACAGTTGCCCTGTGTGTAATGAGCACACTGGCCTTTGTACAAGAACTGACGCACCGCCCACTCAAAAAGGTAAATCCTGTCATAGGAATCTGAGAAGAATCTGGCGTTCTGATACAAATACTGATTACCTTTTATTAACAAGCAGTTGACTATTTTTACCTCTTGTACCTACATCCTTGTACATTATTATTCTTCTCCAAGTCTATCGCTTTAATCAGTGAAGTGATGCTTGAGATTACATTTCTCAAGATGTGTATCTGTACTTATAGCGGAGGGTTGTTTCAGTAGACAGGACAGACAATGTCCATATTTGATTAGGAACTTACAATTCTTGTAGTAATCCAATATCTGTGGTGCTGGTGTACAGATGCTCTGCATTAATTCGTAGTATTCTCTTTTGTTACACAACTATTTAATCTTACGAATCAGGCGATTCCGTATTGCACTATGATTTCCTTACTGAAAGGCTGTGGTTATGGGTGTGATTTTGGAAGAGTGTTCCAAATCAAATGGAAGTTGTTTTGTGTAAAATGCTATTCTGTCTTGGTTCTGTCGTGATCGGAACCTGGCACTTGGCACGTCATGCGGAGGAATGCGATCTCACGTATATAATATATATACTGAACCGCAAAAGAAACGTCATACAGATAGAGGTGTCTCAAAGCACACACTTTAATTCACTCTAACTAACAATCCAAACGGAGGATTGAGTTCAGACTTGGCAATTATGGTACATTTAGAGTTCACACAAACAAAATCACTAAAAATGGCACCATTAACATATCCCAAAGTCAGTATCATGTGTGACCTCCATGTGCATCGATCAAAGCGTTGCATCGTCTATACATGAAATGAATTAACCGGTTGATGAAATCCATAGGCACTTGGATCCATACTTCTTTGAATCTCGTCCCAAATCTGTTCTGTTGGACTTAAATCCGGAATGAGTGCAGGTCATTGAAGGGTTTAGATTGCCATGTTGTCTTAGGAAGTCAAATGTGTCTCTGGTTGTGTGGGCACAAGCGTTGTCTTGCTGGAAGATGTGATTTCTGTGACGTCTAAAACGTGATACAAAGTGGGGTCTAATGACTTGGTCAATATAGCGAGCAGCTCTCACGTCATTTCCTCATCCTGGACCGAGATTCTGGAACACCACGGTGACTACTCTCTGGTTCAGACCGATTGCGCCCCACACCATGATGCTTGGACCACCCCACGAGTCTCTTTCAACAATACACTCATTGGAAAACCGTTCCCCATGCCTTCGCCATACTCTCACTCTGTCGTCGGTTGTCGAAACACAAGGCTTTCATCAGAAAAAAACACAATTCTCCATTGTGGATAACGCCAATTTCGATGCTGAGTTGCCCACTGCAGTCGGTTTTGCGGTGACGAGCGGTGAGGACAGGACCACGATATGGTCTGTGACAGCAAATGTTTCTTTATCGCAAGCGTCGACGCACTGTATCGGCAGTAATGGGTCTGTAGTGGGTCCTAATGGTCTGGCGTGGTGTTTCTGTCTCTCTGGGCAAACGACCCTGCAGATGGTGGCGTATAATCTGTCGGTCTTGACGTTGTGATGTTGCTTAAGGTCGCCCACTGCGTGGACGGTCTTGGATGCTGTTAGTAACCTAATACAGCTCCTGCAGTCGCTAGATTGTCCTAACATGAACATTAAAATGATTGGCTACCCTCCGTGCAATGGTCCCAAGGCTTGGTTCCTCTGATTACTCATAAGTAGTGGCATGGCGATTGTGTTTAGAGTTTGGAGTTTGGAGGGTTGTCATGATATGCACCTGAATTTTCATTTTCACGAATGGCATACGGAACCTTTTACCACGTCTGCCTTTTTAGGTACGTTTGGTCGATATGCGTTTTTATCAGAAACCACACTGATGTTGGTGATAACTGTCAATTTGGATTGAAAAACGTGTTATCAAAACGGTAGAATCATCATAACGACACCACCCTGTGAGAACAAAATTTTGCATTTGGTTTTGAAAGTCGACGTTTCTTTTGTGGTTCAGCATGTGATTCGTCTCTTTCGCGGAGTGATACACAGGCCACTGTAACCTCAATGAGGACGTATCAGTTGTGACGTTAAGAGTTAGATTAAAACACTGTTTGTCATGAAAAGGATATGTAAGAAATATAGACGGTCACACAAGTGCATTTAAACCCGAAGATATCATTGTAGGAGAGAAACAACTCGTTGATTCTCTAGTACCATATCTTTTCGTTCAATACATAATGTGGTGTGACGTTCTATATAGATATTTCCAGATTCATAATTTAGTTATTTAATATAGCTAATGTGTTGGTTTTTTTACCCCAGATGCATTCAGATTGACTGTATAGTTGCAGTGCGCGTTGAGTGTACAGACATGTTTTCGATAACTGGCGTGTTTGTAGTTCAGGTGTAGAAATCACAACATGTATAGCAAGATATGTTCACATTAGTATAGAAATACTTAATATGGCAAACAGCTATAAAGCTTCGCTAATGGTAAAGGTTAGGGTTAGAATTCGTCTGCAGCTTCTCATATTATAATGATTGTTGTGCGGGGCAACCAACGGGATCGAGGCATCAGACTTGCTGATGATGCCGTTGTTTCCAAACTGCTCAGCTCGATGCTTATGACAGTAATCATTTTTCTGTAGAATAAATTGCTTCGCCTAAATACAACGCGAATATGGCAAGACGTTTTCACATTTATTAAGAAATTACTGATATCTGTGTTTTAAAGACATCTATTATATTCTTAGATATAAATACTGTGTTTGAGATATCAGTAAATAATTCAAGATACTTTTAATTAATTTCTCATTTTCAGAAGAATGACTTATATCTTAAAATGTTACTGAGATATAAGATATTTCTCGATATCACGAAGTTTGTTCAAAATATCAATAAAACAATTGTCATCGTATGGTACAAATTCACATCAGAAATTGATTCAGGATAATTTTAACTTCAATTCGAGATATATGGAAAAATGTTTACATATCCACAAATGCATTACAGATATCAAATCGTTACATATTACCTTTAAGTCAATTAGAGATATATTTAACCCTACCGTTACTGATATCAAAAAACAAATTGAAAATATCGTTGATAATTTTGAAGATATCTTCATGTTTTTAATATCTGTAATATAAGTGACAGGAAAGAACGGCAAACGAATTATCCCGGTCCACAAAAGGGAGAGAAATTATTTACAGATATCTTAAGTAATGCCGGCTACGATTTCTTCAGTTCCTAACTGGCGGTAAACGGGAACGGGTGGGGGCACGTTGAGAGTAGAGAACCAGCGAGAAGTCATTTCCAAAGGACAGTTATCGCCCTTCGTAATATAAAAATCATTAAAGATATCAATCAGTAATTAAGGTTATCTGTATCTAGCTAAAGGATATCAGGAACTGACTGATATCATTAAAAAAGTGAATTCATTAGTGTGCTTCATTAGTGTGCTTCATCACATTGCTTTCGTGATATCATGAATTGTATTGCAGATATCTATAATTGTCCTTTTTCGAGACATCCCGAATTCTTTTCACGACATTTCCAAAACCATTTCAAGATAGCGTGAATGCACTGCAAGATATCAGTAATTTCAAAATACATGTGAGAACGACTTGCCATGCACACGTAATTCATTTGCAGTGTGCCCAGCCAACTGTTACTGTGTGCAGGGGTCTTGTATCCAGTGCAGAACAGGCTTCACGGGAGATAACTGTCAGCTTCAAGGTGAGATGTGATCAACTTGTACTTACTAATGACATTAATTCACTTTTTAATGATATCTGTGAGCCAGTTCCTGATATCCTTCAGTTAAATACAGATAACATTAATTATTTATTGATATCTTTCATGATTCTCGTGGCCGTTTCTTATCTACAAGATCTAATGTATGCGTATTTCAGAACCTCCTAAGGACAACAAACCAACGACTGGCTATGACGTGCTGACGGCGGTTCTCACTGGGGTAGGTCTGCTGCTGGGGGTGACCTTGTTGACACTCTGTGTTGCCTGCTACATTTGTCAGGCACAGAAGCGATCGAGACGAGCAAGCGTTGGCGTTGGGGATGGGGGGAGGTGTTGCCCCAGCATGCGCGCCATACACCCTAAGAGAGTCAGCTGAGCAAGAACAGAGATGTGACAATTCACCGAACAGAGCATTATTTCTGCCATCTTATCACGTTGCTGCCGCTCCTCCTTCGTATGACTCCATCTTCTGTGAGATATCACGTGACACAAGAGAGTCACGGCGTGCATGCAAGCCACCTTCTTATGAAGCAATTCACCATGTGTGACTTCAATATTGATGCTTGGTAAAGTTACCGGATTACAGTTTCAAATTCAACTGAACATTCGTGCAATATGATATTGATATCTTTTCTTGCACAAAAACTTACAGGCTACTGGCCTATAGCAGATTCCGTATGAAACAATTGTGTAGAAAATATTTTGAGTGGTTATATATGCTGATTTATCATTTAGAAATCTGCTAAGAATCTTAATACAATGACATTTACAGGCGACGTGAATTCATTGCACTTAAATGTTGAGACACTATAGCTGGAGATACAGAAATTGTGGCAAATGTGTAGCAAATTCAAAGCACACAATACCTAATGTGGGGATTCGAACCCGAGTACAATACAATGAGTGTATTCTTACGTAAGTGAGTAGCCATTGATAGCTTTTGTAATTTTACTCCAAAGTGAAGAATGGACACTGTTCATTCAATTTGTTTATTGTTTGGACATGTACAACGAAAAGTGACGCAACTCCTTTTGACTTTCTATTACATATATAAATAATCCTGATCGGATTCAACGTATTCGTCACAAATGAAGAGGCGACAACGATATGATCCGTGACTTCATATGATTCGTATACACGGACCTTCTCAAAGGCTGCATGAACGCTATAAAAACTATTATTAGAAAGAAAGGGAAAGAGAGTAAGACATTTTGATCGCTTTTTTGAGATGAAATGTCTTTGAAGAAGTGTTTCCATGCGGCATTACAAACACTGGAATCCTATAATAACATCCGTGACCTGCCATTGGTTGCTTGCATGTCAGCGCACCCGGATATGATATGAGGCATGTTGATATCAAGCTCTGGTTTGCCTGACCCAGATTTACTTCTTTACAGACCATAAAGAAATATACATCCGTGCTTGATGGTCCCTCAAATATATATAACATCCAGTCTTGTCTATCCTCAAAAACATAAGGTTTGGTGTAAAGTAAAAAACTGATGTGAACATTTTATAAATGGATCACTAAAAATCAATGATAACACCAGGATTTCGAAACTGACATAAAATGTTAATTCAATGGTGATGTGTTTCATGCGGGTCTCACGGTTGTTTTTTGGAGCTTGGACCAAGCAAGTTTCGACCTTTTTTCTGCCTTGTAATGTTTTGTCAAATATAAAAAATATAATAATTTGCCCGGCAGGGTATTTCGAAATCTGCAACTATAGCTCAAAACAAGGAACCAAAATAGAGCAATCACGTTCTAATGAAGGCAGTAGCTACTTGGAGTCCTGGTACATTGGCATTGTCATAGGTTTGGATTTTTATTTGGTGTCCCCTAAAGTTGAACCGACAGGCTCCCCCAGGACGTAAAGCAATGCACAAGGTGTACACGGCAATATCGAACTCGGGGGACACGCCTACAAACATGGTGCCGACATTCTTCCGTCTTCCTTTCCACGTAAACCGGGCCGAGAGGACATACGGCTGAAACAGACACAATGTTTTTGACTTGTGTGTCACAATCAAAACACTTTTCAAATTATTCGCGTTATTTTAACTAAAGTAATCCCCAAACACCATTTGTAAACTGTCTCTGTACGTCAGTGTATATTCAAACTTGACAGACGGCTCAAATTGAATCTATCTGAAGATCCTCTGCGCTGGTAAATACAAGGTTCTTAAACATGTCTGTGGACATGCGTACCGTCAGAGACGTTATGCAATGATAAAAACGACAAAGCCCAGAAACGAGAGGGGGGGTTTGTCAACTTTGTGTGCGTTACATCCCTTTGCATATTAATATGTAGATGGCTATCAGTGAACGAGTGTTGTACCTAGGACGTATTATTTTCAGCAATACAAGTCCCTGTGCTTTCCACAATGATAAGAGTCATTGAGTTGAGTTATAAGCTACTTTTAGCAATATTCCAGCAACACTTCACGCGAATAATAACATTGTACCCACTTTGGGAATTGAACCCGATCCTTAGGCGTGACAAGGGAACGCTGAAATCACTAGGCTACGTTGCGTAGATATACGAAATATCCTTTGTACAAGTGTATTAATAATATAATAGACCATTTATATAGCGCCTTTCCTCGTCACAGGGATATGCTCTAAGCGCTTCCTGAGCTCAGTTAAAGCTACATACAGATGACAGGTACTGATGATTAAAAGTCATTTGTAGCGGAGAAATAGATGATTCTTGGGTCGTGTTTTGAATGTTCTTAGGGAAGGAGATGATGTTAACTCGATTGGGAGAGAGTTCCACAGAGAAGCTGCTGCATATGAAAACGTATTTAGATTATAGGTCGGGACAGCGAGTAACAGTTGTTGTGATGAGCGCAGAGTTCTTTCTGCAGAGTAGTGTGTCAGTAGGTCTTGAAGGTAGGAGGGTCCTGAGTTGTAGAAAGACTGATAGGTGAGCCAGAGAATCTTGAAGTCAATCCTTTCACGATACGGAGCCAGTGTAGAGTGTTCAGGATGGGAGAGATGTGACACCGAGGACTGGTACATAAGAGTGATGATGCGTGCAGCTTTGTTCTGCATTTTCTGTAGACGATGAAGTTGGGATGAAGATATACCAAAAAGTAAACTGTTGCAGTAATCCAGGCGGGATAGAATCCGTGTCCGCACAAGACTGGCAGTGGCTTCAATCGTCGGGACTTTGCGGATGCTGCCGATGTTCTTCAGATGGTAGTGGCAGGTCTTTACTAGACCGGCATTAGTGTACCGACTATATCTAACGTATGATTGACCAATCACTCTTACATTGTAATGACACAAACGGTCCGCGAACATCATCACAAACACATGCAAAGTCAACCCAAGTGTGGGACCACGGGACCCACATATCTATTACAATCAGTTCAAGCAATACTGAGGCATTGACTGTTTTATATAACATACAATACAATGAGAATATTTATAACGCGCCTTTTCCAGGCTAGACAATCAGCTCAGCGCACAATCTGATCATTATTACCCCGGATAATCCAAGCTGCCTTTTAGGCGCCAGAAGGTTAATAGTCTCATGACTTATTTCACCGGGTACCTATTTTCTGCTGGTGATCAAACTACTCTTGAGCAAGCATCGTATGACTCTCTTTGAAGTAGAGAAGCTTTAACATTACTTGACGTAAAGGAATCCTTTGTCAATTAGAACCTTCACATCTATAGAGAATAAAGGCCGAATCCGACAATCATTATTACTCAAACACAATCTGTATTACTCTGTATTAACCATTGAGTGATGGAACCAGTCAGCCTGCAGCACAACTCTGCCATTTATACCTGCAATTCTAGTTTACAGTATCCTAATTTACCTCCAGCTTGGTCAAGTATCCTTCATAGTTTAAGCGACCCTGCTGTTCTTCCATGTACAGCTGTATCCAGTTATGGAAGCCCGTCACTCTGTTCCCTTGTAGTTCCCCAACCATCACGTGTTCAAACCCACTGCTGCTCACCACACCACGTGACCTTCGAGGGTAAAGGTCAAACCAAAGTGTTTTCAGCAGGTTCTTTAAGCCGTTGTTTGTGTCTGTAATCACTCCTGAAACATAAGGTGTACAAATTTAGTTGTAAGTTAATTTTCAAAAAATAATTTTGCATATGTGCGTTGATGGTGTATATAAGTGAAAAACGATGAGAATACCGTGAATACCGCTAATACTCCTCGTTGCGTATTAACACAAAGTGTGAACATCGGTTTCTACTTGTATGCCCCCATCGATGTATGGAAGCATAAACGTAATAACGTGTGATTAACAGACAGCAAATATCTTGAAGACACTTGCAATTATGATTTTAACATCATCTATGACAGTCCCGCATTGTGCTGGCATGTTAGTTCTCAAAATATTCTTCTTAATATCGGTTATGCCTTTGGGTTTTGAAAAAGGAGTCTTATAGTGGTCGATATCCGCCTGGGGACGTTTATGGAACAACCACTTGCAACACAACACCGTCTTGCTGAACCATACCTCATAAGGTCCGGGACAGATTATACCCAGTGGACAAACTGAATTCTGTTAATGGGCATCAAGTGGTCACGAATGGCTAATTAACCAGGCTAGTTGTATATCATCATATCCCAACGGTGTGACTAGCGGCCCATGCTGTCAAGTTGGCTGCAAGGTCTGAACTTGCATATGCAAACCGTTGCAATCTAGCTGGACTAGCTGACCGTGGTTGACGTGGACAACGTTTACGGGAACTCACCTCGCTGCGCTAGATATTCACGAAGGATGGACATTGTGTCCGTAGCTACAATGCCATCGAGGAAAGCCTCGGTTTCACGCCTCTGGCTCGCCGTCAGAGTCTCCTTCACATGCACATTGGGGTCGTAGTTGTCAAGGAGGTTGATAAACAGTCTGTATGTGTCTCTGTTGAAGAACTCGTGGCTGATATTGTTGAACAGACTGGAAATACAATAATCACAGAGGCATTAATATACAGAATGTCCATTTGCAAATAAATGCTTCAGCATCACTGAACTCCTGAAAACATATGAAATTCCATGTAAACCTGTATTGTTTGCTGTTAGTGCCATCGAAGAGGTACACTCTTTGTCTCTAGTTTGGTGATCTACCTTCAGTTGATGGCGATCTATAGCCAGTTTTTATATTGTATTGTCTAAATAGTGCTATTAGTTTTAATTTTCCACACTAGTTTTAGTTGTAATTTTGATATTCTAGTTGTTTTTCTGTGCTTCGTCGACAGATTTTTATAATATACATCTATTCCATTTCAATGTCACATATGTTCTCGTCACGATATGGCTAAATATTGCCGATGTGACTTTAAATAATAACTCACTCACTCACTCACATTCTTTGTTAATCATGTGTTTCAAACGTGTACGTGAAAGGAAAACTATATTTTGGCGTATTGTTGACGTGTACTAACGGATGAGCAGCCCTATCGTTTCTTTCACCGGGAGTAGTGTGTCCCTGGTAGTCTAGGTTCAACTCTGAGAGGGGCAGGCGGTTCACATCAGCTGACCACAGTGCGGACACCACTTCCGTCAGAGTAGCTGAAATACCATTACAGTTGAGATCAAACACGATGTAAGATAAAGTAAACTATTAAAACAATTGACATAAATAAATTATTCTTTTGAAAGATTTTCCAAAACCTTCAAGGCGATGGTGTTGTAGTAGTTCGCCGCCACACGGGAGGCCAGGGTTCGATTCTCGACGTGGATACATTTGATGAAGCCAATTCCCTGTGGTCTGTGATCTTAATGGAATATTGCTAAATGTCACACAGCCATATGCCCAGACAGACAGACAGATATTTTATTTAAGTCTCACCTCATGTAAAAGTACAGATATATACACACATATTATACATAAAATGAGGTACTCTTAAGGGTTATGAGAGACTATTACATAGAAGTGATATATATGATAAAAGTAACAATATGAAATTAGCCGTATAAAAGATGTTTTCTTCTTTGAAGTATATAAAAGCAGTACCCACGTACTCGATCCAGTAAGCTCAAGTAAGACACAATTGGCATTGCGTGAGTGAGATTGGTTTGTACAACGCTTTCAAAATTATTCCATTTTCATTATGCGTGGTAGACTTGTCCAAGCCATACGTGATGTAGGTAGTGACCGTTTTCACAACGATGGGGTTTACAATCGTTCTTAACATCAGCGTTTAACCCTTATCCAACTCAGTCGCTTAATGGGCCGGACGGGTAACCTTGTGTATATAATCACAAAGAGCGGGAGAAACTTGTAATCAGTCACTCAGGTGACCTACCGTTAGAACTGATGGTGACAAGTGTTCTGTTGCTTTGTGTTGCTACAGACACAACTCCCCCCGAACACAGATCCATGTAGTCGTGACAACAGTCGCCATGCTGCTGACACTGGTCGTTACAGAAGCAGTTCCCGACTCTGCCTACCGTACACTGACCAGAACACGACCCCAAAGTCCGAGATGTAGCTGCAACATTGAAGGTGTCAAAAACACATCAACAACTCCAATACAACCATACATCAATGTGTGAATACCTTGTCTCAGCAAGGAACGGGCTTCATAACTGGATACAGTTGTACAAGGAAGAACAGCAGGGTCGCTTAAACTGTGAAGGATACTTGACTGACTGACTGACTGAGTTTGGTTTTACGCCGCTTTTAGCAATCTTCCAGCAACATCACGGCGGGGGACACCAAAATGGGCTTCACACATTGTACCCATGTGAGGATTCGAACCCGGGTCTATGGCGTGACGAGCCAACGCTTTAACCACTAGGCTACCCCACCGCCCCGAAGGATACTTGAACAAGCTGGAGGTAAAGTGGAATACTGGAATAGTCGTTAAAAAAGGAGATTGTATTTCGGGAGACTTCTGGGAGTGATATTCACAGGGTTGATATGGTACACTGCCGGTCTGTTTATCGGAGATGTTGTAGAAACAAGGTTAAATCTTATAAGAAGAAGGCGGCAGCTGATCTGTCACTTCTGAGTAAAACAAATATTAAACAATTTTGGAAGAAAGCTAAAGGTCATAACAAAAAGTCAACTAGTATTAGCAATTGTAATTTTGAGGACCATTTTTAGAATTTGTTTAATCCTGAGATACTCCCGGAACGATACTCTCAGAGAAATAGATCTTGATGATGTACAAGTGTGGATAGAGGACTGACTGACTGACTGAGTTTGGTTTGGCTGAAAAATGGTCCTATAATGGTTCACCTCTTGAGGTAATCAATAATTTTAAATATCTTGGTTTAGTATTTTCAACAGGTGGCAGTTTTTCACAAGCTCAGAAAATCCTATCAGAACAAGGTTTGAAGGCACTTGGTTCATTGTACAATATATTCAATGATAATGCGTACATTACTCCAGATATTCAGTATCAGTTATTCCAATCAGTTGTTTCTCCGATTCTCTCATATGGTTGCGAAGTTTGGGGCTTTATGGAAGCTAATGCTATCGAAAGGGTACACTTGAAATTTATGAAACACATATTATTTGTCAAAATGTCAACTCCATCAACTTTCTTATTAATCACAAAGTGGACACTAAAGCAGCTGTCTGTTTACCGAGTCTTGACCAGAGTGTGATCAACACACCACGCCGCCTCTGTACGGCATCATTCCTCTGGCCCCTATCCCCCTAGCCCGCTGTTGTTACAGGCGACTAATTAGTAGCTCTAGCCCCACGCCTGGCTGTTCTGTTAGCTGTACTCACTCCCCTGTAACTGGATTAACTGCTACTATTAATTAACACAACTCAGGTGTTGGTGCTCGTTAGTTACTCGTTAGCTACCGGTACTCGGTATACATAATAGAGAATCACGGCTCAGTGACACCAGAATTATTCTACAGGAACTCATGCTTGTCGTAAGACGCAGGGTTTGGTGGTTAGGCTCGCTGACCTCATCGACGCATGTCACCATCTCTCATTTGCCTAGATCGATGCTCAAGATTTCAATCACTAGTTGGCTTGGCCCAGACTCGATTATTTACATTTATTCTTCATATCTTAAATATTACCGACTCCGGGGTAGAACAGCAATAACGAGCAACAATGAAGGCCTATGAATCAGTTTAACTTCACCCCATAAGCGCCATATCAATGTCAGCTCTGAAGACATGAGTGGGACACTGGTCGTCGAGACATGGAGACTAAGGCTTAGTCTCTGAATATATGGATAGTAACAAACAAGCCCATTTATATGAAAAGCCAGGGAGACCAGAGATTCAGGAACCTGTCTAGACTTGCTTTATTTAGGGCTTTAACTGAGAGAGGAGCTTGGCAAAAATATGTGGTTCTGACAGACTAATGGCCATCGTACGGTCACCGTTAATGACTAAATATGACTGACCTCTCCTTTGCGAAACCTGGATAGTACAAGCATCTTGGTAGTCATAGCAACAGTCTCCATGGCGACGACAATGACTGTTACAGAAACAGTTTCCGACCCTCCCAGCGTTACAACGACCGCTACACGATTCAGCAGCTGGGATATATAATAGTATATTCGTGACATATAGTATAGCTAAAACATCACCACATATACTTAATATACAGGGTGTTTGTAAGGCAACACTATCGACCGGGGTCCATTAAATCAAATACCTGCACCACCCATTGTAATTTTATCTGTGACACCTGAAAAATGTTATAGTAAAACATTGGACGGACTTTGATCCACCTGCTGGTTCACGGGATTATAACATTCTTCCAAGCCGCTTTAACAATATTCCAGCAAAATCACCTGAAATAACACTTTATAGGTGTAGGAGATTTGGGGTTAGCATATGCCCCGGCACGCTATGCTTGTTGTAAGGCTCGGAACCCGTGAAGGTCCGGGTTAGGATATTGATCTTCAACCCATGCTTGTCGTAATAGGCGACTAACGGGATCGGGTGGTCAGGTTCGCTGACTTGACTGACACATGGCATCGGTTCCAAATTGCGCAGATCGATGCTCATGCTGTTGATCACTGGATTGTCTGGTCCAGACTCGATTATTTACAAACCGCCGCCATATAGCTGGAATATTGTTGAGTGCGGCGTAAAGCTAAACTCACTCACTCACTGTAAGGCTCGGGTTGAGAGACTGTGATTTCTTTAATTGCAGGTCATCACAGGCTCGTCTCAGATTTGTTTTCCATATTTTTTGCAAGACTTTGTAACTGGAGCACTGCGGAGATATATATGTCTTTAAACATTACGGACACAATGAACACAAAATTACATAATATTATGGTCCCTCCGCCCAATTTCAGCCGCGTGCAACAAAATAATCAAGAACATTGTAAAGTTGAGTCTTTTGGCCCAAGGATGAGTATATCAGGGGAGAGTCTCCCCCAAAAAGGCAGTCTCTATGAGACGATCATAAAGAATAATACATATTTTAGAGGAGGGGCATGAAAATGTACAATAAATTATAATTCGTACTTTGAAGTTTACACAGATTCCCGAACGTTGGGTGCTTGAGAGAGCGGTCATGTGATCTAAATTTCAAGGTTTATTTCTCTTGAACCCTTTAAATCGTTCATACGTGTGTAAACATCGTTCACACGTGTGTAAGCATTTTCCAGCCTATCTAGGTCACGTGAACTTTTGCCGGAACTACTTTCCGGGTTTTGCCAGGACACTCTCTGTCAAGCCTGATGTAAACAAAATAAAAATTATTTGTATTCATAGGTCCATTTCAAATGACAGAAAGCACCAACTGAGCACAGTTTTGCAAAATCTGACTGACAACGCTTCCGAAAACAAGTGCCCGCCAGCTTCGGTTTCAAGGAACACCAATGATCTTGGTGATGTCAATTTCGCGACAGAACCTGTTTCTGGTCACTCCAATGTTCGCAATGTCACTACCTAACGGGTTTCGCCGAACATTGTTCCTTTTCACAAGAGTTTAATTTCTCGCAGTTTCCGGGTTCATCTGGTTTAATAATACCCTCACATTGATCAAAAAAGATGAAACACAGTTTCGTCTTTTAATTATTTGGGAAATGTAGTCATCTCTGAGACCCCTTATTATAGTTTAGCTATTTTTAAACGTGACTGAAAAATATAGTAACAGATCTAGTTTACTATGATAACTTTGAAGTTTAACATGCCATCTCTTTGTGGAGAAAGGTTTTAAGGAATTTAAATTAAATGTACGTATATATACTTCGTATTATTATCCCAGAATAATTAATTTGAATATTTTTTATGACCCTTGGAAATTCTTTTAAAATGAGTCAGTTGGTTTTCCCAGTGAATGTGTGAAAGAACTGTAATATGTAAGCATTTTATATGTTTGCCTAAAAGAATCATAGTTTACACAAGCTTACAACTAAAGGACATGTGAAAACAGCGACCTAGTATTTTCTGTCTCGCATCGAAGAAACTCCCACCGATACATGAAATGGGATGATGTTGTTCAATAAATGCTGCGGCAAATGATAGAAAACAAAATGTGAAGATCATAAATCATAACTGACACGCGTTCAATATTATCAGGCAGTAACCTTGTTCGAGAAATGTAACAATCGATATATTCTTAGAGGAACAATATCCCATCCATCTCCAGCTGCCAAAGTAATGTGCTCCATGTCACGTGTCCATTATGTCAGGTATATACTTGACGTTCCGCGATGTCACACCTCGTGATTTTTCTGAACTGGTCACGTAACTTTGTCTCAGGTTGTTCACACTGGCGGATAGCCTCGCTGGTCAGCGGAGATAGCACACGTGACATCTATGTTCATGATATCCAAGGTTCTTTAAACATCATTTACAATCAGCAATCAATAAACATATTGTCGGTTAATCCTTTGAACAAACGACGTTGTTTTTACACAGGTACATTGAACTTTAAGACAATATGTGAGTGTATTCCGTCAGTTTAGGTAACTCCCCACACATATACTCGTGGGAAATCCACTGCTCAAGATAACAGTCAAGGTATTGCCTGTAAATCCTTTGATCGATGTCTTATTTAGCTCAGCTGATATTAAATAGAGAAATAGATTACAAAGGTTTAAACAGAGAAGACGGGTCATGCCGTTTGTGTGTAGTTAGGAACATAGATTCAGAATATCACTGTTGTTCAATTTGTCCGACCGCCTCCGTGGTGTAGTGGTTAGAGCGTCCGCCCGGAGAGCGGAAGGTCGCGGGTTCGATCCCCGACCGCGTCATACCAAAAGACGTTAAAATATGGTACGTGTTGGTCCCTGCCTGGCGCTCGGCATTAATGGGTACAACAAAGACTGGTCGGCTCGGAGTCAGTATAATGTGTCTGAGTGGGGTATTCATGCTTCACTGCGGCATGGTATCTCAGTGGGCTAGCACTATAAAACCAGCTTATCTCTAGGCTAGTACAAGCAGCCGCACATACACATACACACGCATGCACGTCGTCATATGAGCGAAATATTTTCAAGCACGACGTTAAACCCAATTTCACCTCACCTCAAAATGTCCATGTTATAATGGTCTAAACCGTTCTGTCATACCTGCATGTTACTATACTTGTCCTTCACATATACAATTTCAACAATTGATTGCATCTAAAAATACCCTTGTATGATCACTGCTTGTAAAGTATGTATTCTTAGGATATAAATTACGATCACGTTTTCGGCAGTGACATGTATATATTTCAGACGCTTCATTATGTTATACGCTGTAAATTGTATCTGTATAATGAGCCAGTGGCTCCCCATACTGTCAATAAACTTATCTCATCTGATAATCCCTCCCTTGCAGTGCATCCCACCGGTTTTATTTTTGCATAACACGTAATATATTTACCACACCAGGCGTAAATTTACATAGTTGAGTACTTACCCCAGACACGAGTAATGACGTGACAAATGGGAACTTTTGTCAAGTAATCGGAGAGGTGTTACCCTAACATTTTATGCCCGTTATGAATATATTAACTGAGCATCAAGTGAATGATGACAAATAAACTGGTGTAGGTTTATACCAAAAACGTGGATCACAACAAGGGAGTAGTAACCGCTGTATTGCATGCAGTTTAGTTGCTTAATAATGAATGGTCGTTGTTATTTTGAAGATACGAACGGTTCTTGTTGCATAAACAATATGTACATGCATGTGTTATGTGTTAACGATATCAATTGTATGTACATATTTACCAAAGTGGAATCCTCGGTGAGGTAAGGTGAAACTGGGTTTTACGTCGTGCTTGAGAATATTTCGCTCATATGACGAAGTGCATGCGTGTGTATGTGTATGTGCGGCTGCTTGTACTAGCCCAGACTGAAGCTGGTTTTATAGTGCTAGCCCACTGAGATACCATGCAGCAGTGAAGCATGAATACCCCACTCAACCACATTATACTGACTCCGAGCCGACCAGTCCTTGTTGTACCCATTAATGCCGAGCGCCAGGCAGGGACCAACAAGTACCATATTTTAACATATGTTGGTATGACACGGTCGGGGATCGAACCCGCGACCTTCCGCTCTCCGGGCGGACGCTCTAACCACTACACCACGGAGGCGGTCTAAGTGGAATCTTAAATTATAGCAATAGCAAAATACATCAAAATACATGTTTTTGATATTACGATAAGTTCAACTGACATAATTTCATGACAGGATTAAATATCAAGGTATAAACCACAAAAATTGGATGAAAATCATCAGCCATCCTATCATCCGAGTACAGAAATTCCGAAAATTCTCGCACTATGAGCATACTTCATTAACATCAGACTAGAACCACCAAGGATATTACCACATAACGGCATTTAATGGGCACCCACGGTTCGGTTTGTCTGTTTCTTCAGGTCGAAGAATTAAAATCAACACGCGCCCTTTGTCCTTACAGACAGTAGCCCAGTCTCACGTTCGCCGACAAATCGTCTCATTACAGCTAATAAAACTTTCGTGGCAGTGGCAGACTGCCGGTTGAATGCAGCTTTGAGCTGGATAAGAACATTCCGAAGTATCGATATAGTTCAACTTTACAGGTGACTGACATCTGACGGCCAGACCCTTGAAGACTATCTATTCATCTGCAGATACGCCACGTTATTACATTATTCATAACAGCTGACTGCCTGGTTGACTGACGTGGTTGACAGTGCGTTGACACGGACGTGTCGGTAAATAAAGCATGGATAAGAACGACAGAGGGATTTGTGTTCGTTGAGCCATCTAATCCTGCGTTTTACAACGGACACACGTCTAACACACAGGCCCGCACTGCGGGTCAGAAAATCGATAAACTAGGCCCCGGTTTAGTATCAACACCCCCTATTATATAATACATAAAGGTTCATCACAGAAATACGGTGACATGATCGAAAACCGGACAATTACGCACACGAAAGACTATATCGTATTTTAAAGGTCTCACAAGTATCAAAAGCTTTTGTCCATATCTCGGATGTATGTAGGAGGCATATACATGCGCTTTCCGTGGGGATGCATTTCATGGGTTTTATTAAATATCCAAAGACCGAGTTGCTGTGCCGGAAGTATACAAAACTAGCTCGTCAGCGCTTGACTTCACTACCTCCGGCGATCTGATTGGCTAACACATTACACTGAATGAATGTTTTTTTTAAAAATATTTGTACTCGTTATTTAAATTTTTCTTACCAAGATAAAACATCAGAAAGTGACATCTTGGATGATAGACGTTTGAGTTTCCCTCTCATTTTCGCACGTGCATTTGTTGTCATTTTATTAACCAATTTGATTGCGCTGACGACCTAGTTTTGTACACTTCCGGCACAGCAACTCGGTCTTTGGCGATTTAATAAAACCCACGGAAAGCGCATGTATATGCCTCCTACATACATCGGAGATATGGACAAAAGCTTTTGATACTTGTGAGACCTTTAAAATACGATATAGTCATTGACGTGTGCGTAATTGTCCGGCTTTCGATCATGTCACCGTATTTCTGTGATGAACCTTTATGTATTATATAGTAGGGGGTGTTGATACTAAACCGGGGCCTAGTTTATCGATTTTCTGACCCGCAGTGCGGGCCTGTGGTCTAACCCTGATTAAACGACTTTTGTCTCATGTGGAAGAATTCTCTTCAGTCTGACTGAGTTATAAGCACTGAAGTGAACGATGAGTCTGTTGTTATTTAATAGCAGTCACTGTGAAAGCTGAACTCACGTACCTGCCGTTATCTACACCTTGTCACTGTGAAAGCTGAACTCACGTACCTGCCGTTATCTACACCTTGTCACTGTGAAAGCTGAACTCACGTACCTGCCGTTATCTACACCTTGTCACTGTGAAACCTGAACTCAGGTACCTGCCGTTATCTACACATTGTCACTGTGAAAGCTGAACACACGTACTTGCCGTTATCTACACCTTGTCACTGTGGTAGCTGAACACACGTACTTGCCGTTAGCTACACCTTGTCACTGTGATATATAATGTACATGACCTAGCCCCCCCCCAAAAACAAAAAAACAAAACATTCATTAGTTTCACCAGACTGAGTTTGTCTTTGTCATTGCTGAAACCCCGTAATTTGAAATGTTATCAAAATGCATAAACCCACTCACTCCAACTATATTTGAGTCACTTTGAATGTGACTATACGTGAGACATATGGCTACAACACACAAGGAACCTGTAAGTCAATCTGTGTCAGGTACATACCGGCCGGTCCTAGCGCAGCAGCGAGGAGACAGAAACAAAACACACACGTCAGGTCCATCCCGCCCAGTCTGCACACAGGGGTCTTGTCGTGTCGTCAACACACAAGACAGGTCGCAATGAAACATACACAGATGGCGTTACGAGCGCACGCCGTCACATTGAGGAAACGTCGACAGGTTGAGCCCTTTCAGCTGAGGAAGTAGTGAATCTTAATGTCATCAGTGTGTGTTTATTCCCTGAAAAATCGAGGTGTGAGTTAATGTGAATATCCTATAAGTGTGTTTATTCCCTGAAAATCCCGGGTTGAGTGACTGTGAATATCCTAAGTGTGTTTATTCCCTGAAAATCCCCGTTTGCGCGACTGTGAATATCCGATAAGTGTGCATCTGTACCAGTACATCTCAGCAAGGGTCAGAGGGTACACCAGCCTTCATTCGAAAAGGCAAATAGTTTATTTTATCCGTTTATAAATGCATTACACAGTCGATCGAGGCAAGTCTTTACTTTTGTAGTAACAAAGTATACGTGATAGGAACCTGGTCACCTACTAACACCATATACAGCTTAACGTCGGTCAGCTATACTGTGTGATGGAGGTGTACGACAGTCCCTCCAACAACGGCCCGACTTTTCTTACGGAAGTCTTTTTAAAATCACTTGACGACAATGCTCAAAACCGAGCTCTCGTTGTTTTCAAAGTCATCTAAGTGAACGAGCCTTTACTGAGTTACCAGGTGTACTTTCGCAAACTAGATTAAAGATGAGTGGGTGGGTGGGTGGGTGAGTGGGTTGGTGAGTGAGTGAGTGAGTGGATGGGTGAATGAGTGAGTGGGTGAGTGAGTGAGTGAGTGGATGAGTGGGTGGGTGGGTGAATGAGTGAGTGGGTGAGTGAGTGAGTGAGTGGATGAGTGGGTGTGTTGGTGGGAGTGTGAGTGAGTGGGTGAGCGAGCGAGTTTAGTTTTACGCCGCATATTCCAGCTATATGGCGGCGGTCTGAAAATAATCTGGACCAGACAATCCAGTGATCAACAGCATGTGCATCGATCCACGAAAATTGGGATACGATGTCAACCAAGTCAGCGAGCCTGACCACCCGATCCCGTTAGTCGCCTGTTACAACAAGCATGGGTTACTGAAGATCAATTCTAACCCGGATCTTCACGGGTAAAGATGTGAGAACAGTGATACACAATATGACTGTAAGCGTTTATTATCGATTCTGTATACTGTTATCGGTTAAAACTTTGATACTGATATAACATATTCTGCCTCAGACCAATGGCGCATCCTTCATTGTATAACAAATGATTGTCCTCACATTCTGAGCGTCACAGAAAATTAAGTTAACAAGTGGCAGCTGAGCTAAAATACAAGCAGGAGCGATGACACAACTTTGAGATGCAATCACAGCTTAGTGTTGTCTATTGGTCCCATATATTTGCCTGTTAGAAATGTCACGTGTATATCCTGGAGTTCACATACGCGTTACATCGTGCATGCAAAGAACAAGTTTGTGAAAATTGAGTAAACTGAGTGAAAACATGCTTCTCATTCGTTGGTGAGCCTAACCCTCTGCCTGCTGTGGGCTTCTCGTTATGAGTGATATAATATATGAGAAACTAGCTTTGCTCTTGTCAGAAAGCATTTGACGGAAATCCAGGATGTAATAAGCGTATGCCTATTAAACAGTGAGAGATACAACATGTATACTATTCACAAACTAAGATACATTGATAAAAACCTAGAGCTCCTACTATAATGTTTTCACTATCTTTGATTTCAAAGTTGATCACGGAACGGTTGCAATACACCTCCATGAAAAACTATCATTTAACAATGTGCTTTATCTCTAGATATCTTTGACTTTGTCAAGAACATAGGCTATGGTGGCTTGCTGTAGACAGACCAGTCTAACGCTTAGTCTCTGAATATAATTATATAATTTTGACAGTAATAAATAAACCCACTGGAATTGACAAGGAGCCCCGGTGAGATGGGAGACTCAGAACCTGACGAAATCTAGACTTGCTTCATTTAGAATGTTCCGTCATTCTATTCACGTCCTGTATGTGAATCTGGCTACGCGATATCTTCGCATCATGACCCAGATTAAAGCATTCCCTCATCTGTAACATGATTGAATGGCTATCCGCATTACAAGTGACGCGGTCATGTGCTGCTGAGAAATCCCCGTGACGTCATTGGGAAACACCCCCGCTTTTCAAACACAAATACTCACGTTTAGAACTGTCAGGTGTACGAAAGCTATTTCAGCCTTGATTAAACTATGCGACAGTTTACGATAGTTGAAAAAGTCTTAAACGTAAGATATGTTAAATCGTAACTGAGACCGTTTCGAAAATCAAAGCCAATCGGCTCACCTCATACGTAAAGTCAGTCTCTCAAATAGCATGGGTTACAGTTTCCACTATCACCGGTTCACGAGTCGCCAGCATACAGATTATGGTGACGTTAAGCAGTGGGTTCATGTTGTGATCTGCACATATGCGAGGTTCTTGTCATCTCTTCACATCGCTCAGATGCTAGTGATGGAGCTGTCGAAGGGGAAGCTGTATCGGCGGTGAACGGGCCACACACGGCAGGGAGGGAACGCGGAAGTGTCAGCTATCTCGGCATCGGTACAACGCTGACGTTCCAAACAGGCTGGTGAGATTAATTGCTGTGCTGAGAAGCATGGGATTGTATCGATCGAGCTGGGAGAGTGAAGTGTATACAATCTCGCTCACGACTTCTGTGTGTGTGTGTGCGTGTGTCTGTCTGTGTGTGTGTGTGTGTGTGTGTTGCTGTGGTTGTGGCTGTTGATGTGGATGGAATTAATGCCCCTTTTAAAGTACTTGCTCATTGACATACCGTGAGGTAGTTTAACACTGTTGTCTCACTCAGAGACGCAGCACACTGATTCCGATCCGTCATTGTATAGTCTCTTAATCCAAAGCTGTGTTCCTATGGGATCCGATACCAACCTGTAACTCTGCCAGATCCTGAAATAAAACTATCGTGCTTTCAAATGTTTACGCACATTAGTTTCCATACAATTTACCTCAACCCGGGATCCTATTTAATACGGTTCTACTAAAACTGTCTCCAAATAACGTCTTTTTCCAAATTTGAACGGATTTTAACCGAAAACAAAAAAACTAGTCTGGTTAAAAATAGCAACAGTGTTTGAGGCAGGGATAACGATGTTCGTTTGTTGACTAAAGATGTTTTCAATGGGAAACATTCCTGGAGTTGCGCCCCTTTGTTCGCTCGGAGCGCTGCGGTAGTTACGGTCCAACAGGTTGACATTGGAATATGGGCACGTCGGCCAATCCTAAAGTTTAGTCGAAATTAAACATGTTTGTTTCTCTGTGATTCTAATGTCACGATTTACGGAAGATGGGAGTTTCCCTGACTGATGACTGAGCTCAAATCACGAAGAACTGTGGGCGAAAAATACCCCCTAATAGAACGGTAGTTGGTACACGATATAATTTTACACCCTGTGTAACTTCGATTTAAACCTCATCAAAACGAAATTGCGAAGTAGTTAAATATTTTATCAGGGGATATTACCTGATTTCAAAGTGTCTATCCAACAAAAAACGTAGAATACCTCTCGCATGGTCAGAATATGTCACAAAACTTAATATCCTTACATTCATTGCAGGAAAGTTACTTTTGTTGGGCCATTGCCAAGTTAAAAATGCGGTTTTCATCTTCATGTGAGCGGGTGCAATTTAACCCTCGAAGAGTTCTGTTGTTTCCGTGACAGAACCCAGGAGAGCACTGCGTTAAAAGTCATTAGTTCAAGAGCTCATCGAGCAAATGAATGATTATTGTATATACTTTCCAATCTAGTTTTGTAAATATAATGGACCATTTTTTTATACGGACGCCGTTGTCTCTGGTTGCATCGTCCGCATTACAAGAATTCCGGATAAGCGATAATTTTGTCCGGTGATAAATTCCTTTCTACGTGCACAATCAATACCATTCAGAAAACAAAATTTCAGATGTAAGCAGTGGTGTGTGGGAGTTACTTCAGTTAGATGCTTTGGTATTAAGGTGTAGGCTGGAATCTCCTATGACAGCATAGAATACATCAGCACAATACAGAACATTTAATGGTTATTTAGACTACATAAGCGGCAGGAACATGCTTCTGTCACTACATTACAAGACAAGCAGTTTTGTAAGATAAAATTTCACCCTGGACACACAGTTTAACCCTGTCGTGGAATCATGACTGTTACTGCTACGTGAATATTATTATTGACGCAGCTGCTATTACCACAGTCTGTTATACAGACCCTGAAACAAATATACCCAATGTAGCCCATGCAAGTCTAGAAGTTTTGGCACATTTTCCGATAATGAAGAAGGTATCCGGGGCCTTTTTATAGTAATATACTATTTTAATGTAAAGACTTTTCTTCTGTAAAATATGTTCATTTCAGAGACTAGCTGTTAATCTACTATTACCATTGCTGATATATTTTAGACTACCTTTGTAACAGTACTGCTTCTGATTTGTGTACCTCCATTCTGCTGGGTACTGCCTTTTGTAACTAGTTAGTTATCATTTGTATTGATCTGTAAACTTAGTCCAGTTCATAAATACAACCGTTAATTGTTCAACATGTCTTGTAGTTTGTTGGTTTCACATTGCGTACAGGTTTCTGGGTTGATGTATTGTTTCAGTATTAAATTAGTATCATTTATAAACTACTACGTCTCACACATACGCAACCACCCGTGTACTCCCTTTTGCCTTTGTTTAGACAGTGCTTCTGGACTTGGGACAGGTATGCCGGCCGCACGTGGTAAAGCGTCCGCTGCTGCAGCAGGGGGCCTCCTTATCATCATCTACTGCTGCGGCCTCGCCTACGACACGTGGATGGTCGCATATGAGCGAATGAGCAAGCGACGAAGTCGAGTCATAGCTAATGTTGGATTATTCAGTGCGTGTGGTTATGATATTAATCTTCAGGTAAGCAAATACTCTTGGTAATGATTATCATTGTTGTATCTATAGTGGCATTTTCTCATTTGATGGCACGTCGTCATGAGTTTGATATGTACGAGGTCGATCAAAATGTAGAAAACCTAGAAAATGACACAAATGCAGCTGTTTTTATGTTTTATTTTTCTACATATCATCTGTCAACCTCTAGCAAACTGGTTTTGCTATGTTTCAGTCTCACGATCCCCGTTTTGTTTGACCTTAAAAAAAACATCCCCCGACTATACATCAAGCAATCCAAATCTTTGACTGTTGCTTTTGACGGGAAGTCATCCAATACTATCCTGAACATATTTTATATGATATTATAATACCATTATCCAAGAGGTACCAAATTTTGTTAGAAATATTATACCTCAATGTGTAGTGATGACTAATAACTCGTTAACCACATTACCCACATATGTGAAATCTTGGATATGGCTTTGCTAATGATTCATTCAAAATAAAATTGAAGCAAACATTGGACATCGACGTTAGGCCGAGTACTTTTAATCGACCCTCATACATAAGTTCTGACTGTGATTTGTGGTCTGTCGTCGCCATATAGCTGTTCATTGACTGTTTTTCAACTGTTTGTGTGCTCGCTAGCGCTGCAGACGGATCTGAGGACATCCTATTGCAATCACAAGTCACTTCGAAACGAACTTCCGTGCATTTGAAAAACCAATGACTATCAGTAACAAAAAGTGGACATTGACCAATCACAGAGCGATTTACTCGACCTTTACGGCGCTAGAATGAAAACTGGCTACTTCCGGTCCTTTCCAAAATACTGCTTCGAAATATTATTGGGTCTCGATTGAATTGTATATTTTTACCATACAAGAAAATATACAATTCTGGAATGTGTAACAGATGGCCGTAATGGTTTCACAGATTCCCCGCGTGCTGTGAATAGTCTCTTCTGTTTTAAATGTTTACTGAAGCCATAGATGGCTGGCGAGAGATAGCCGAAATACCCCAAGGTTGCACAAGTGGCTGTAGCAAGCATTACTACCTGATTTAAAAGCGAAAGAGTCACTGTTTTCTTGACATTGGTAAGTGGCCTGCATTTCCCCACAATTTAGCTGAACTGAAATACTGCGCCATTAAACCTACTTTACTCCCCGGACCGGTAGTGTCCGCACATTGCTATATAGCGCAAGATCCAGTGCTCACTCACTCAATCAATCCATCAGCCAATCATTCCTTGAGACCACGCTGAAAGTTATGTGAGCTTGTGCCATGTATGTCTTGTCCGGCGTCAGTCATTTGTCTCCTCAGAAACCACAGGACCAGTGAAGCTCCAACTTTACATACATACATACCAATTTGTTAAAGTGGTTTCAATCCAATTTTCGACATGGCCGGCATGTTGGAAGCGGGAACCCCCTAATGGCATTACTATCCATTTTCTATCAAATCTAAGGAGTTAGCAGTGGGGTCAGCGCTATGTGTGCTTGATTTCTTACACATTTTACAATTACTGTTGTTGTTTAACACTGCAGGAAATAATATTCCTGCTATATGGCGGCGGTCTGTAAATAATTGGGTCTGGTCCAATGTGGCAATAACGTTTCGAGTGAGTGAGTTATTATTTAACGTCACATCGGCAATATGTCAGCCATATCGTGACGAGAAGACATGTGACACCGAAATGGAAGAGATGTATACTATAAAAACCTGTCGACGAAGGACAGTAAAACAACTAGAATATCACAATTACAACTAAAACTAGTGTGGAAAATTAAAGATAATAGCACTATTTGGACAATACAATATAAAAACTGGCTGTAGATCGCCAACAACTGAAGGTAGATCACCATACTAGGGACCATGGGAATAACGTTTATAACTTATTCTCACCGCTGATGACACTTGTATATGTTCAAGAGGTTCGAATACCATTTTAACTACTGCCACTCAAGGAGCCATATGTAAAATGTCATATTTGTTCAAAATATAATGATATTGGCGGAGTTAGTCGAGTTCCGTCTTTGCGACACAAACCATACAAAACAACCAGGAGTGACTTCTGTCTAAGGGGTCCGCCAGAAAAGTATAAGGCCGTCCGTATTTTTGTCTGGGTTTCTCATCTCCCGACCGACCCACATTTTCCATCCGACGGAACAAAAAATTATTTTTTTTATTTTACAAAATGTCGCCGACAGCAATAATTTCAGCCCGATCAAACGAAAAATGTGTCTTAAAAGTCAGCTTTAAAAAAAATATAAGATTTTGAAAAGTCTCTCAAGCATCTAAATGGGCGATCTTTTTTAGCCCTTATGTCATTTGAGGCCCGGAGTGCACTTTGATGGTATGCCAAAACTATATTTCTTTATATAAATGTTCAGTATTCAATGTATTCCTGAAAATTACAATACTGATTGCTGTGAAAAAGTTTCAATTTTATTATTTTGAAATAATAACCATTAATTTAAGAAAGCAAATATTTGTATAGTAACCGCTATGCCGGGCCTTTGAGGCCCGGTCACCCCCCTCAGCTTTCAGTCAACACCACTTGATAAAGCTTCCTTATGACTGTGGGGCGGTGGGGTCACGCCGAATACCCGGGTTCGATTCCCCACATGGGTACAATGTGTAAAGCCCATTTCTGGTGTCCCCTGTCGTGATATTGCTGGAATATAGCTAAAAGCGGCGTAAAACCATACTCACTCACTTCTTATGAATACATTGCATAGTAATTGCCAGTCAAAGATGAGTGAGTGAGTGAGTTAAAATCTAAAGTGACATCGGCATTATTTCAGCCATATCGTGCTTATGAGAGTTGCATATATCAAGCATAAGATTAGACAATATAAATATATGTCGCCAAAGGACAGTAAGATAACTAGACTATAACAGATTAAGACCTAAAACTAGCAATTTATCATAAAACAGTACACTATACAAATGGGCTATAGATCGCCAACAACTAGATCACCATACTAGAGACCATGGGGACTTACTGTACTTTTGCTACCTGCATGGACTCTAGCTGGATGCATACCAACCCTTCAGATGTTAGCGATTTTGAGCAAATTAGCCATGAATTAAACGAACACATATTCTACGATTAGTTCGAATAATTAGACCTCGAATGACGTGTTGTTACGTTCCCTCTCAGGGGGACAATTATTTTACACTACTTCAACCCCCCTTGAGGGTACATCCACAAATAACCTCAGTTATCAATGTATTCGACCATACATTAAAATAAGTTAGTATATACAAAACATATATATCGATATTTGTGAAGCAACTGAATTTCTTTTAAAAAGCCTATAATTAAATGAGACTTTATGCTAAAATGATCCTTCATAGTTGAAACTTTGACATATTTATCCCTTGTGATGGAAAAATCCCAGTCAAAGATGAATCGTCGAGCAAGTTTGAGAAGAAGTTTTGCTACAACCTGCTGCTGCAGATGATGATGGTGGTGGTGCTGATGCAGTACCTTCTGACAGACGGAGTTTGAACCGTCCTCTGAAGAAAGTGTTAGTGACAGCAGTGACTGTTCTGATGGTGAAGAAGAACATCTTTCCACTGACACAAACAGTGAGCAGTATGTAGGTAAAGATTGAACAGTCTGGTCATCAATATCGCCGCCCCAATCACGTATAGAAGCACGAAATATCATCTCAGGTCCACTGCAGAAAAGCATCACTTGTGACCATATTGCACAGGAAGTGGATGCCTTTAACCTTTACCTTTCTTAGTCTGTCATCGACCAGATAGTCCAGCATACAAATACTGATGGGAACCGACTTTTGCAAGCCAGGAAAGGAACCTGGAGAGATACAGATGCGATGGAAGTTCGTGCTTTTATTGGAATGCTACTCGCACTGGGCATCATGAAGCAGAACATGCTGGACATTGATGTTCTCTGGAGCAAGACTTATGGCATTCCTATCATCAAGGCTATAATGTCAAGAAGGAGGGTCCAGCATTTGGTAACTGCTCTCCGTTTTGATGACATGACAACTAGATCTCAACGCAACGGAAAAAAAACTGGCAGCAATCCGTGATGTGTGGGAAGTATTCCAGCTATCACTCATGCGTTATTATTCTCCTGGAGCCAGTCTAACTTTGCACAGATACTCTTTTACCCAGTACATGCCAATGAAGCCAGCCATATATGGTTTGAAATTGTTTTGGATCGTAGAATCTGGATCATTTTAGCCAGTCAGATGCATTCCCTATCTTGGAAAGGAGGGCAAAGACAGATAGGTGATGTTGGGCAGACAGAAAACTCTGGACTTGTGTAGACCTTTCATTCGGACAAAAATAGAAATTTTACAATTGACAACTTTTTCACCGATATGGCTGTTGCAACAGAGCTACTGTCAAATGGGATAACCATTGTGGGCACTGTCAGCCACTGTCAGACAATGAAGGAGAATGTGCATTAGCCCTCTGGAGCAGTAAGGCTACAGTAAAATAGGAGAAGATATGATGATTTTTAGATTTTTGACGAAAGGCTGGTAAATGCACTTGCATTAAGTTATTTCAGCAAAAGAATTAAAATCTTTCCTTTTATCCCTCAAACTTCGAATGGAAATTCTGCATTCTGAATGCAGGTGAGTATGAAGAATCACCCAGTACGAATGCAGACCTCCATATATTATAGGCTCACAGGCCCACTTGGCGGTAATGGATATGGAAAAAGCTTGGTGGGATAAGGGTTAATTTATCTTCCCTTCACTAATCCGCTTGGAGCGCTGATCCGGACAGTCCAACCTTAAACTGACAGCGCATGTGTTATGCGCGATGGGAGCTGTACCTGTTACTAAGCACTTAGAGACAGTTAACCAGTATAGCCTTCACCATCACCGGTAACGTTCACGCTGGTGCATATGGACAGTATATCTTTTCCCTTGACCGATGATATATCGAGTGTTATGTCCTGAAATATTTGTTCCGTGATTTCATGATACACCGGGGATAGCCATGACTGCCTCAAATCTATATCGTATTAATTAAGCCGATCAGGCTGCATTCATGTAATTCAGTACGGCCGGGAGCTGATGCGGTGCGCGAAATGTGAAAGCACTGAACATTATGCAGTGTGTGAATTTCGTCGTGAATTTTATCTGATTTGATTGTGCGTGTGTACTTTAATATTACATTACACATGCATGACTTTATTCAGTCATTGTAAATAAGTATTATCTGTTAAATTTGCAAAAATATAAATAATGCATACACATATCTGCATGGAATGATTGTGGGGTTTAATTCAAATTGATGTTATCAAAAACATATTTCATTTTAAACACATTTTCTATGGTAAGTCCTAACAAACAGACATACGCTGAAGTATTCTTCAGAACTGTTGAATGAAAATCAGAATATCGAGCTATAACTAGAAAGTATATGTCTGTCATATGAAATATTATCAACATAATGTTACCAAAACATGAAGATACATATGTCATGTAATTCTAATTTAGGTATTGCACAATATGCCTTCAGTTTATAGGGATCCGGGTAGTCTATGTCATTTCCCCGCCATATAGCTGGAATATTGCTGAGTGCGGCGTAAAACTAAACTCACTCACGTACTGTGTCATTTCCCTGGATTCCTTATCTTATTTATTAATGGTTGTTGTAATCATATGTAATTAGGTGTATCATTCTGGTACCGATCATCTGTCAGTCAGATGGGCTGCCCACATTTTTGCAAGCGCCAGAAGTAAGGTCTATTTGGGCCCAACACATTAATTGAAATTGAACTATCATTAATATAAGTAGGCAACTGCAAATGTTTATATTTACCGTGGACAAAAAATGCATTCACTATCTAAATATTTGACAGGATCTTCTGCTTAATGATATGTATTAAAACATCAAGCAACCAAGTTTTGTTTTGAAAAAAAAAAAAATTTACACACACACAAATATGATGCTCGTTCAATAAAAAGCAGAAAATCAAACTGAAAAAGAAATGTTAAAACGATTGAAAAGCAATACATATATTTGGTTTAATGTTTCTACTGGACGACATATGCTTAGATTGTCTCATACTTGCATTTGCCTGATGCAGTAACGTACTCTAATATAGCCCTTTGGATTGAACCGTATAGGGTGTTGGGGCCCAATGTTGCAGCAAGGGAGAATGTATCGCTTTTCTCGAGCACGGCACTTCTAAGATTTTGTCGGATGTTAATATCACGGGGACACTCCAAAAGGTAGTGCTGAACTGTTTCAGGCGTCTTATCCCTGCATTGGACGCAAAGAGGTGATACTTCTTTATCAACAATACTTCTGTAGGCATTAAGTGCGCAGTGACCAAGATGAAGTCTAGTTAAAACAACTTCATCACGTCTCTTGCGACGGCGAATTTTACAACTTTGTATTACTAAAGGACAGAGTCTGTACATATGTCTTCCAGTAGATCCAACATCCCACAAGTTTTGCCATTGAATGGAGACCGACGTCCCAATGGAAAATTCGAAATCTCTTTGGCAACGCCTGAATTCAAAATTATCAACCTCATCCTTTAGCAATCCTGACTTGGCAAGATTATCCGCTGTTTCCCTACCTATCACTCTGTAACTCTCCATAAATTGTCTCCCTTTTTGTGTTATCCTTTTGAATGTTGCTGCCCTCAAATCGGGTCGTTCTACTACTGCAAGAAACTCCACCACGCACAACCAACTTGCATCCCACCATCCCCAGTACAGGGATAATGACACGCGGTCCTTGTTGTGAAATCGTTAACAAGGATAAGGAGCCCGATCCTTTGGCCTGCATGTACAGCCTTTTTCATGTATCTTTATAGGTTTTAGATGAGGCAATGCCAAAGGACTGCTTCAGTTTGCTCGTTGCTGGTGTGCCAGGTAAAAATTAATGCTGACAATGACGCATTAAAGAACATAATACATAATTAATCGTTGGCCTGGCAACTGATGTTAATCACCCATTTAGCATATGACAGCTTTGCATTTTCCTACGGGAAGGTATGCTTGAATGAGTGAGTCAATATCGTTTTATGCCGCTTTTAACAATATTCAGGATTATCATTTGGTGGACACTAGAAATGGGCTTCATTGCACCCTTGTGCGGAGTCGAACCTGCGTCTTCAGAGTGACGAACGGACGCTTTAACCATTAGACTACCCTACCATTCCGGGTAGCCATGCATCTCCCACGTGTTGTTGTATACGTCTGGAGAGCTATATATGGATCTTAGTTTGCATTATTTCTTAAACCATAATCGACGAAAGTGCGCCTCAATCCTTTGATGAAGTGGAATATTCTTATCCATACTTGATGATCTATCCGAATCTCGTTCCTTCTTTACAGGCTGGGTGCGTGCAGTTCAGTTCTTTGCCATCATGTGTCTCGTACTGCTGTGTGTAGCATCAGTTATATGGTGCTGCATTATCCTCCTTGGGAAGCTAACAGAAACGAGGATAATCGTACCATTCTTTATTTTGTGGACCATTACAGGTAAACACCCCTCACCGTGCTTCCTCCTATCCTGAGGAAAGCCCGGCAAAATGAATTATGCCATTCCATTCAAACAAAGCATTCTCGCAATCAAAGATATATTAGAGTTAAACGTAAGTACATTTATCATTGTACTCATTGCAGGTTTAGACTGAAGTGTTAGATCACCTAGATCAAACAGCCTGTTAAATGTAGCTGTGTTAGTTTTACTTCCTTGGCGCAGGGGTCTGTTATTACATTTAGTCGTGCTAGAATCCTTTTATTTTGGGTTTGAATCCCCAATTTGAACGTGATAAACGCCAAATCTTCTACGAGCGTTCATCTAACATTACAGTGAAATCAGATAATATGACGGAAACACTGTTCATAGTGGAGTTACCTCCCCAACTGTTTTACTTCCAGGTCTATTCTCCTTAGTCCATCCGGTAGTCTTCGCTTGTAACATGCGACCTGGTGACCTGGTGACGGGGGATGAAGATTCGAAGTTCCCACATCGGTACACCTTTTACTGGGGGGCCTTCTACCTGCACTGTGTGGCGGCGGGATTTATGAACCTTTTCACTCTAATAGGACTGTGCTGCTTCTGTCTAGTAAAATATGGTTGAAATACTGCTGATGTGACTTACAATCTGAACTCACTCACTCTCGCACTGTCTAATAAAATGCTTGCAGAAGTATATGGAAGGCGAAGGTTGTAAACGATCTTCAAAGCCAGTTCTCATGATCGTGTCTCCTTATTTCCCAGTGTTTCACGTGTAAGTGACTCTGTTAGGGCAAGAGTAAGTTACCCACAAATTGTGTTCCCCAATGACTGTGTTCTTGTTCCGTGTCTATCTGTGGCACCCAGCTCGGGTAGAGGTATATTACCCAGAGCCAGGTCCTCAACCACCAGACTCCCAGGGCTGCCTTGTGTCACCCTGTTTAGGAAGAGGTCGGAAATTGCCTCCACCTCACGACTCTGATGTCCCAGTGGAGCATCTTTCTTTGGCAACCTGCCAAGGGAGAGGCCGGCATTAACTCAACGCCATGCATTGTCTGCAAGATTATAGGAGCCTAGAACAATGCTTGGTATTCGTAGCATAAGGCCGATTGTTATTCCTGGATGCGACAGATCCCATCTAATATGTGTGTATATGTTATCCTGTAAATACTTATACTATTGCAATTGCATTGCACTATTGAGACCATACTGCTCGGTGTAATTACGCATGCGGTCTTACGCATGTATTTCATTTCCATTACTGGACATGATTACAAAGTCTGATATGTCCTAGATTCATAGAAGAGGCGAGGAACTGATGTTGTCTCATGTTTATTTACAGGTTTATTATTTGTTTTTTGTTTGTTGAATGAATAATACTAATGAAATTATATTAATATAATAGTCCATTTGTGAAGCTGACAGGCCTCGGTGGGGTAGCCCAGTGGTTCAGGTATTTGGTTGTCACGCCGATGAAACGGGTTCGATTCACCACATGGGTATAGTATAACCAGAAATTATTGAGAATTTTAGGAATATGTTTAATTGGATTTGTAGTATAAACAACCTTGACCAGCTATCAAGTGCTTGGTTTCATTCAAGAGAGACATCTCCGTTAATCCTTTTTCATTAGTTTGTGAAGAGTCATCCCCCTTTGTTTACTTGCTAGCAGACGACATTTTCAGTGATCCTCAGTATGGATGATTTAGAGAAGAGGAAGTTGATTTTAGAGTATTATAACAAGGACATCAGATCAGCTAAAGTGATTTCAAGTAGAACAGACCCTTTGTCCACTGTTTATCGTGTTTTGAAAAATATTGCAAATGGATATGGCATTGAGCACCAGGGAGGCGCAGGTAGGCCCAGAAAATTGACTGTCGGTGACAGGAGGCGGCTTGGTATTCTTGTTTCTAAAAACAAACGAAGGAGTTTAGAAAACTTAAGGCTGGATATGATTGATAGAGGAACTGTGGCTGTCTGTAAGGAGACAATTAGAACTGAGCTGCATGCAATGGGTTGGCAGAAAAGTCGAGGAATTCCATCACCGATCATGAAACCTGAACAAAAGGAGAGAAGGTTGAACTGGTGCTTACAGCATAGAAATGTTAACTGGGACAATGTGATTTTCTCAGATGAAAGTTCTTTGTGGCTGTTTCCTAATACACTGAAATTCTGGACCAAACAAGCTGAAAAACCTTTGTATCAGCGCCCAAAGTACAGTTCGAAATTTAACGTGTGGGGTGGCATATCTGTGTTAGGGGCAACGCCCCTCTGTGTATTTGAAGGGAATATGAACAGTGAGCGGTACACAGATATTCTCGAGGGACATTTACTTCCATCTGCTCACGTGTTCTATGGACATTTTTGGATTTTCCAGCAGGACAACGATCCAAACTATCGTTCAAAGCATTCCCAGGCCTGGTTTCGGACCCAAAATATGACATTATTAGATAGGCCAAGCTATAGCCCTGACCTAAATCCAATAGAAAATGTTTTGGGACTTGTGAAGGAAAGTGTCAATAAGAAAAATCTGACAGATATTGCTGAAATGAAAGAAGAGGTGGTCCGATATTGGGACAGCATGGACCACGACTTCCTAACTTCTTTGATCAGTAGTATGCCCCGCCGCATTGAAGCCTGCATTGCTGCCCATGGTGACTTGACAAAATACTAACTGTTCACCTGTCTTTGAATCTGGAGTTATGTTCTGCTAATATTCACATTTAATGCGTGAATAATGAGTTAAAAAAATATAAAAAATTACAATCTTAAATTCTCAATAATTTCTGGTTGTACTGTACAATGTGTGAAGCCCATTTATTGTGTCCCCCGCCATGATATTGTTGGAATATTGCTAAAGCGGCGTAAAACTAAACTCACTCCACACTGTCAAGCCGACAGCTCCTCATTGAGCTTGTGCTCGACGCGGCACGTTACCCTGGTCACTGGACTGGAGTCTGCACCTTATTTTCAATTTCTGTGAGGGACTACACGATCAGCCGTGTTCTGTATTACTCCATGTTGTGATTTTTAGCATGTTGCAACAGTGCCATTGTATACTCGGAGGCCAAAGATACTGTGACACGAAATTCTTCCATGTGTAATTTTGTGAATGATTTTGTATTTGAACCAGAGAAAGAGTGTTAAAATGGTCGATGAAACGCAATCAAACAGTTGCTGTTCGAAGCGTGACAAATTCGAGAAAAGTGGTAAACAATGTCCACAACCAAAGGTTTATGATTTCCTCTCAATGCGGTTTGGTTCTGGAACGAGTTCGGAAATGACAGATTGAGAGTATACAGGTATGCTTCAGTCACGTAGATGGCAGCATGCTGGTGCTCATCGATTCAACGTCCACATAAACACCATTTTGCATGGGTCAAGGAAAACGAGCAAGTTAATGACCGTCCTGATAGTGCCCGTCAACCAGTAACGACCCCATGCCATGGATTCGAACTACGCACCTGTAACACAGAGTCCAGCCAGTAACCCTTACAGACCGTACCATACTTATCAACAAAGACATATCTGCGAGAACTCTTCGACGGGGGGTATACGCATCCTCGGCATCCATGCTCAGCCGCATGTGAAGACGCCAGAGCAGTGAGTCGACGTACCCAGTCGGCACATGAGTGCAGAAAAACTCTCTTCACAGACGAATCACGTTTCATTCTTCACCGAGCTGACGGCAAGACACCTGTCATCAGACACACAGGTGAACTTTACATCATGTGTTCTGGAAGGGGGCCGTTTGGGAGGTGAGGGCGTTATGATCTAGGTAGAGATAACAGCTTCAGCCAGAACGCCAATGATTGGGATCGAAGGGAACTTGAACGTTGTGAGGTACCAAGATGAGATTTTGCAAATACCCGCTTTACTGTTTTTGCTACAGAGTGGCCCTGGGGTGAAGTTTCAACACTGGAACGCCAGACACCACGTTGTTCGAGCTGTACAGTAGTTGCTTAATCAGAACAAAGCTAATGTGAATTGTCACCTACTGAACATGCCCTTGATGAAATGGAGCAACGTTTGACATCATCCAAATCCTCAAACAACGCTGCAGGAACTCCGCCAAATCCTTCCTCACGTGGAATGATCTTTCCCATACGGGGACACACATGCCACTACAGTACCGCGGACAAATGGAGCACTACAATGGATTAAGTAACTGTTACGCATTACAAGAGACATGGGGCACTACAGGGTGGGACACCATACTACTACAGAACAGGACAGCTAAATAGGGTACAACGACTCTCAGTATAAATAGAGATTCCACCTCACTATTCCGTGAAACGGGATCACGTGAGATGTGCGCATGCGCATAGCCACCAGTTTTGCTTGTGCTACCATTAGTCTACGTTCGTCGACTTTAGAAGAAATCACTCTAATTTGAGAACGTGAATCCCTCCAGTTGCTACGTACCACAACGCTGTTTGGTACCCAGAGAAACTTTTGCAGCTGACTAGATTGGGAGTTACACATACTCTGCAAAGGTAATTGACCAAGACGACCGCTGTCTCTAAGGCCAAAGTTCAAAATGGCGATGCCAGCGGCAGGCACTGATCCACCTGAAGAGACTGAACTTGTAAAGCCAGTGGCGTCGGTAGGAAAACCGAATCGCAAGAACATTTTTTGCAGTTGTGCACAGCGAGGAAAGCTCTAAATCAGGCACCCAGAACAGTCGTCAGGCAAGAGACAGAACTTCAACTTTGACCAAAGAAGCCAGTGCAACGGACAGTGTCAGGCCGTCTGCATCGGCTGGAAAAGCGAAGCGATGTCGGACAAACACATGGAGAAGTTACTTGGCGCTATACTGGAGACAGTTTGGTGCTGCTATGGTTGCTTTTAATGATATGTTGGGAGAATCGTCCGGAAAGTCACGGAAAGAGCCGAACATTTGTCAACAAACATCAAGCCGCCATGTTACCGGAAACGAGGACGGTGAAATCTCGTAAGATTCGGATCACGATTCTTACATTGAAATGGACTTGTTAGAAAGTGACATGTCACGTTATACAAACCCCGAATCCGAGAACATAACTGAGGAGTATGAATGTGTGAGTGTATGTGAACTAGTGGCAGATTTGAGGGATTTCTCCCTCGGAAAGTATACACGAGGATCTTGCCACCTCTATCGAGAACGGGCTTGTAAAAGCCCCAGTTCACGAGAAGTTGAAAGAAATTATGAACAGATACAAGCGGCCAACCAACTGCCGTACTTTACTGGTACCGAAAGCTAACGAGGAAATATGGACTGAGGCAAAGGCACAAAGAAGAACACAAGATGTACAGTACACACAGGGTTTTGTTTTTTACAGCAACTGTCCCGATCGTGCAGATGATGAATGACACCATGACCGCTATTGTAGCCACGAAAGAAGTTGATCCCAAGGCAATGCTGACAAAACCAAAAGATGCCTTTCGTTTGCTGATAGCAGCTTTGTATGACAAATCAGAAAAGAAGGGAAGCCTTCAAGCCAGATTTGAGTGGGCCATACAAAAGACTGTGCCAACCAAATGCTGTCGTTACTACAGCAAACGTGTTTGGGGATGAGTTAGGTAAGAAAATAGAGGACATTACTGACTCCAAACACTTAACGAGTAAACTTTCAGGTGAGAGGAACAAACTCCAAGGTGGAAAACATCGCCGTTTCGCACCATACCAGCGGCCCAATCAGCAGTCCAGCACTGCCTATGCACAGCGAGAGGGGAAAGCGAACAGAGGCACACCAATGGCTCCGGTCATCATGGTTCTCAAGGGAAATCTACCGCCCCTTTTTAGCCAATTGCTAATGAGATGAGATGTGATGCTGCCCCATTGTGGGCCATTCCAGTCTCCAGCATACCCACGGCGCGGAGACGCTGATTTTCAGTAAGCCCTGGCAGGACGTACAGGCAGTTTAGGTTGAAGTTAACGTATTTTCAACAAAATTCAAAGGTTAGAGAATAATCGTTCTTCAATTTTCAATATCAGGTTGTGAACTTCAGGTGTTCAATAGCATGCAAAAAGTTAGTAAGTTCAATGTGCACAAAGTGCACGTGCCACGCACGATACGTGACATCAAAATCCGTGCAAAGTGCTTTAGGGTTAGTTAGGGTTATTTTTATAAGTTTTCAACTAACTTTTATTTGATGCAATTTTATGTTATGCACAGTTACCTTTTCCGTTACTTTCTATATGGAAATTTAAAAAAATCCAAATTGAAAGTTAGCACCAAACAGGATATAAAATAACAACAACAAAATTTATTGCACGGCATTAATGTTCACTTTCAATCACTGTAAATGTAATCCTTGCTCCTAGGCACTAACTCATTTTCTTCTGTTTCCCAGGTGAAATCTGTAAAACAGCAAAATGTGAACATGCGCAGTGTGCAAGTAGGTATAAATATCAGGTTGTATTTTCCAGTCTTAGGTTGCACAGTGTAAATTCTAAATGCTTAAATCGAGCCACTGAGTCACTTGGCCAGTAAAATATTTGTTGTTGTTTTTTAAAAGAATGGACAGACGTCACACGAGATGAAAAACTTTGAAAGCTCTGTTTTCTTGGGCAACCAAACTGTTTCAATTTTCCTCCTACTTGGAGAGCAAAAGATGTGTTGTTTTACCTGTATTAATGTCTTAAGCAAATACACTGATTTTGCCTGAAATGAATTTATACAAACAAGAAATATTTCATGATCCCATCAATCCAAGAATTGCAAATACTAAAGATCTAGTTTCTTACACTTCTTCTCATGTTTCTGTGCAGGACAGGCATTCTGCCAGAAAAAAGGTTTCACGCATCGACATCTGTAATTATTAGAATTGTGGTTGTGACGACAGATACAGAACAACATTATGTTATTGTTAGGACATGTTGACATATTATAATATTCCCATGTGTAAGAACATTCGAAATTAATCGACCGTGAAATCCATTACGACATCGGATTTGTGAAAAAAGGAGATCGGCAATTTTGCAAAACTAATATACAACAAAAGAACAAAGGACCACTACAGTTGACACCAATAAACAGTAACAAGTGAAGGTGATTGAATAGTTAATTATAAAATATATTTTGCATTTTACGGGAATTTCAATCTGAAAATGGTAGTTTACCAACTTTTGCCCATTTTACCTCGATTCCTGCGATGCGACACGTTTCATCAAGGATGGATACAATTACAAATATTATGAACTCGATAAATATGACATTTCTTTAACAAAGACATTTAAAGTTACGAAATTGAACTATGTAATAAATTCCAGCATAGATAATTGGATCTATCAAAAGGATGGTAATAGATTTTCGGTATTTCGATGCATGTTATTTGTTTACCACCGTTGCCATGACTATTCATCCGATTGGTGATGTAACATTATAATGATTTTTGCTTTTAACTAATTAAACCTAATTTGTATAAAATGGGGAGCTTCAGTTTTTTTCTCTTCATCAAGGAAAATGGATATTGATCAAATTATATAAAAATGATTTCATTATGATAAAATTGTTAAACCGAATACCATTAACAATGACCATTATTTGGAGCTGTGTGTTTGAGAAATTTGGCGAAAAAGTGTTTTAATTCGCTGGCTTTTCATTTTAAGGTACATAAACTAATTAAAGGTTATATATTTAGAAAGCTGAGAAATAATTCATTCCATACATAATTCAAATGACACGTAAATACGACTTGCTGAATAACTATTGCAAGTTTTGGGGATGTCATTATGCTGTCCTCCTGTCGAATGAGTTCGACAGCAGCATTGACAGCACTTGCCTGGTATGAATAGACCTCACGGGGAACAATTTGTGTAGACACTGATTTCATGTAATTCACGGAGAGGTCTTGGATTTCTCCAGGTATATCAAAGTGTTACACCAGCTGCACATCCCCCCGTCCTCATTGCCAATCGTAAGTCATTTCCATGTATTTGCATGCGTTCAGATTCCTCAAGATATCGGAAAACCTGTTTCCATAAATAACTCTCAGAACCATCGGAATTCCTAACCGTGGCACCGTGTATACTCGGAGGCCAAAGTTATCGTGACACGGTGTGATTGTGATTGAAGGGAAGGTGGTGAGGTACCGAGACGAGATTTTGCAAATGGCCGCTTTACTGATTTTTGCAACACAGTTGCCTTGTGGCCTTGTGGCGAAGTTGCCTGACGGCCCGATTCAGATATTAGTGTAGCTCCAGAATGTACTCCCGGATGTAGTCAGTACTACCAATTACATTCCTAGAATTACCTCACACCGAGTGATCAGAGCGTGTGTTCCGGAACTACTATATGAACTTGCTGTACTTAGCCATATACTTCATGTCCTTGATGAGGTGCACATTATTGTAGACTAACACTTCATAAGTGTGACCTCCTATATATCCATTCCAGCAGAGTGCAATATGAAATCAGAATTACTATTATACACTGATCATTTGTTAAAATCATTCATCAAATACATGTATTAGCATCAATATTAAGTAAATTCAAGTTATCAAGTTATTTCTGTTTTGTCAAATAATTCTACATCATACATCCGAAACGTCGAGTTCCTCAAACATAGAAGCTGACATCCATAAATTCTAACCTTTATGTAATCACTTCTAAATGCCGTTCAAAGACACTGCATTTAGTTTGTTATAACCGTAGTGTTTCGTTATACGCATTTCGACTAAAATATAGAGCAGGTAGTCTGGGATAAAAAATGTTCGTTATATCCGTCAATTCGTTATAGACGTGGTTTCCTGGTATGTATTTATGTGTGTGCGCGTGTGCCTGTGCGTGTGTATATAATATACACTATACATGAACACTAGATATAGAATTCACATCTGCACTATGCTGGCAAAACAGGGCAGTGACTATTTTTTACTATTAACTATTTTGAAACTACAACGTCTCACACATGCGCAACCACCCATGTACTCCCTTTTACCTTTGTTTAGAAGGTACTTCTGGAATTGGGAGACTGAGGTATGCCGGTTGCACGTGGCAAGGCGTTCACTACTGCAGCACCGGCCCTCCTCATCCTTGTCTACTGCGTCGGCCTCGGCTACGACACGTGGGTGGTCGCATATGAGCAAACGAGCAAGAAACGAGGTCGAGTCATAGCTAATAGGGGATTATTCAAATCATGTGGTTATGATATCAATCTTCAGGTAAGCAAATACTCGTGGTAATGATTATTGTGTCTATAGTGACATGTTCTCACTGGCACCTGATCTTCGGTTTGATATTTACATACCCTCTGACTATGATTTTGATTTGTGGTTTGTCAGCGGCAAATGCGTCCTCGTTCACAATCTTCTCAGCGTCAGATCTGTGTACTCACCAGCATTGAAGATTGATCTTAGAACATCCTATTGCAATCACAGCTGGGTCACTTCAGAACGAACGTCCGTGAATTTGAACAACAATGGCTATCTGTACCAGTACGTGGACACTGACCAATCATAGAGCGATTTACTCGACCTTTACGGCGCTAGTGTAAAACTTGCGACTTCCGGTCCTTTCCAAAATTCTCCTTTGAAATTATATTATTGGGTCTCGATTGAATTTTATTTTTAACCTCACAAGAAAAATATGCAATTGTGGAATGTGTAACAGATGGCCGTAATTGTTTCACATGATGCTGTGTTGTGAATCGTCTCTTCGGTTTTAAATGTTTACTGAAGCCAGAGATTGCTGACGACTGACGAGAGACAGCAGTTAGTGTTGTCCGAAATACCCCGAGGTTGCACAGATCTTTCATTGGCTGTCGCAAGCACTACGACCTGATTTTATTGAGAATGTAATCGCTGGTTTCTTGAAAGTGGTAAATGTGTTAGACCTGCATTTCCCCATGATTTAGCTGAACCGAAATACTGTTCAAAGCGGCATTAAACCTAATTTACTCACTCACCGGACCGGCAGTGCCCACACATTGCCGTAGCGCTCAATCAGGTGCTAACTCACTCACTCAATCAGCCAATCACTCCCTGAGACCACGCTGAAAGTTATGTGAGCTTATGCCATGTTGTATGTCTTGTCCGGCGTCAGTCATCTGTCCTGCACTGTGTCTTCAGAAACCACTGGACCAATGAAGTTGAAGCGTCACATACTTGTCCCCGCTAAATAAGGCATCCCAATTTGTTCAAGCGGTTTCAATCCGGAATCTCTTCGGGGCATTAATAACCATTTGCTATCAAATCTAATTTAATGTGGTGTGTGATTAGTTAGCATTGGGGTTAACATGTTAACATATGTTCGACTTCTTATTCACTGTTACAGTTTTAGTTTAACACTCACTGCATGAAGCAATATTCTGACTATTTAACGGCGATATATAGTGATCGAATTAAGACAAGATTCAGTGAATGGTACAGTGCATGAGCAGTGATTTACATACTTAATAAACGATGGCATGCATCAACCACATGAGGCATCAGCCGCCTCTTGAAACAAGGATTGGTTCCTTTTGGTAGCACTGCGAATAGTTTGCTCTCAAACTCGCTCCACATGCTTTTCCATCTCTTTGAACACCATCTTTTCACCATCCAGTGAAGATCCAGGTTAGAATTGGTCTTCAGCAACTCGTGCTTGGCGTAAGAGGCGACTAACGGGATCGGGTGGTCAGGCTCGCTGACTTGATTGACACATGTCATCGCATCCCAAGTGCGTAGGTCGATGCTTATGTTCTTGTCACTGGATTGTCTGGTCCAAACTCGATTATTTACAGATCGCGGCCATATAGCTGGAATATTGCGGAGTGGGACGTTAAACAACAAGCAAGCAAGCAACAACGACAAGCAAGCAAGCAACAGCAACAACAACCACCATCATCATCCTCTTCTCACGGCCACCAGGACCAATGAAGGAATACCATTTCGTACTTATTCCCACTGCTGATGACACTTGTATTTGTTCAAGAAGTTCGAATACCATATTTAAAATCTATTTATGGCCAGTCATATTTGTTCAGAATGTAAGGACATTTGTGGAGTTATGGGTGTTCCGTCTTTGCCATACAAAACAATCAGGAGTGCCCTTCCGTCTGAGGCGCGGGAGAGATGGGCACGCCAGAAAAATATCATCGTAATCGAATCTCGTATCGTGGGTTTTATCAAAGTTGGTACACGTCAGAGACCCTTCTCACACTGGAACTCTCCATACGTTGTCTCCCTTTTTGTGTTGTCCTTTTGGATGTTGCTGCCCTCAAATCAGGTCATTCTACTACTGCAAAAGACACCACCACTCACACCCAACTTGCATCCCACCACCGCACCATCCCATCCCCCACCATCCCAAACACCCCACACATCATCCCCACCACCACACCATCCCACCATCTCACCACCCCCACTACCTCAGCAGCCCACCACCATCCCCACCATCGCACCATCCCAACCACCTCACCACCGCACCACCCAACATTCCACCACCATCCCACCCCACCATCATCCCCACCACCACACCATCCCACCACCATCCCACCACCTCACCACCATCCCCACCGCCACACAATAGGATTCTAGTTTGCATTGTTCGTTTTCAAAACATAATCCACGCAAGTGGGCCTCAATCCTTTGATAAGGTGAAATATTCTTATCCATACTTGACGATCTATTCGAATCTTGTTCCTTCTTTACAGGCTGGGTGCGTGCAGTTCAGTTCTTTACTATCACTTTATTTCCCAGGGTTGCATGTGAAAGTCGACTCTGCTTTGGAAAGAGGAAATTGTCCACAAAGCGAGTTTCCCAATGACTGTGTTCTTGTTCCGTGTCTCTCTGTGGCACCCAGCTCGGATTCAGGTAAATTACTCAGAGCGAGGTCCTCAACCACCAGACTCCCAGGGCTGCCATGTGTCACCCTGTTTAGGAAGAGGTCGTAAATCGGCTCCAAATTGAATCCTTCCACCTCACGACTCTGATGTCCCAGTGGAGTATCTTTCTGTGGCAACCTGCTAAGGGAGAGGCCGGCATTAACTCAACGCCATGCATTGTCTGCAGGATTATAGGAGCCTAAAACAATGCTTGGTATTCGTAGCATAAGGCCGATTGTTATTCCTAGATGCGACAGATCCCATTCTAAGATGTGTGTATATGTTACGGTGTAAAAACTAATACTATTGCATTTGTATTGCGATGTTGAGACGATACTGCTCATTGTAATTACGAATGCCGCCTTTCGCATATATTCCATTTCCATTGCTGGACCATGATTACAAAGTCTGATATGTCATAGATTCATTAGATTTCACGTTAAGTGCGAAGAGGCGAGGAACCTGTTGCCTCATGTTTATTTAAAGTATTATTATTTGTTTGTTGTTGAATGAAAAATACTAATAAAGTTATGTTAATACGATAGTCCATTTGTAAAGCCGACAGGGGGCGGTCTGGTAGCCCGGTGGTAAAAGCGTTCGCTCGTCACGCCCTTGATGAAACGGAGCGACGTTTGACATCATCCGAATCCTCCAACAACGCTGCAGGAACTCCGCCAAATCTTTCCTCATATGGAATGATCTTCCCCATACGGGGAAATACATGCCACCACAGTACCGCGGACAAATGGAGCACTACAAAGGATTGAGTAACTGATACGCATTCAGGGGCGGATATAGCTTTTTGAGAAAAGGGGGGGTGCACACTTAATTTTCACGAGAGTTTCAATGGTTATTTAATAAATCTTCATGAAAAAAGAGGGGTAGGGGTGGGGCTGCACCCCCCATTACATCACAAGAGACTTTGGGCACTGCAGGGTGGGACACCTTATCTCTACAGAACAGGACACGACAGCTGAATTGGGTACAACGACTCTCAGTATAAGTAGAGAATATAGGTTACATGTCCTTTATCACAAGAATAAGTAACTGTGTTTGATTTTTCGGCACTTTTATCAATATTCCAGCAATGTCATTTGGCGTGACGACAGGGCGCTTTAACCACTAGGTTACCCCACTGCACTCATCACAAGAACGCAACGCGCTGGAGGATGCGAAAACGTATGAGATGAGTGCTCCTCTGTATAAGTGATGCTTAGTTTAACCGAATGTAACAATGACTTCTGTGAAAGAGATTGGAACATTCGCTAATTAACCCATTTGGATTTTTCCCGGTAAGCCTAGTGTAGACACCACGGGGAAAATGCTGTGATGATAACTGGACAGTGCTGTGGATATAGCACCACCAAACGAACACTGAAGTTATCTGCGGGTTAGTTAATATTTATTAGTTTTCGAATGTATTGAACACACGGACAGTGGCTCATTATTCAGAAGGTTTAATATTCAATTATCTCGTTTCATAAACGTCACCTGCCTCGTATTGCATGAGTACCCTTCTCTGAAATCTGTTATCCAGTATGATTATTAGTGTGTAATTATAAACTATACAATCCGTTTGTTTCACCCACAGTTGTGTGTTGATGTTTTTATGCATTAATTAATTTTGTTTTTTAACTTGTAATATCATAATCTTGGAATGACATTTTTAGTTCTTCCAGTTTGAACTCATGCCACAACCCACGTAAAAATGTACTTAAAGAACGGCGTACATGTGAATATACCACATTGTATTTAAGCAATGTAAAGGTTACATAGCAATTAGAACTCTCCCTTCTTTGAAGCGAGTAGTTAACAGCAAAAGACAAACAAGTGTAAATATATACACACACACACAGAAATACGTGTATCTAATGCTTTATTCTGACAGCTCACAAGTCATACCAGTCCAAAAATAACTCGCTGTTGTTGGAAAGGCTGTTTTTATAAGCACCGGCCTGGTATGAATAAACCTCACGGGGAACAATTTGGGTAGACACCGTCCCGCCAGTAAACAGCAGCACCAAAAATAGTCAACTGAGTATATGTGATTCACAGAGAGGGTTTGTGATTCTCCAAGTATTACAAGGCGTTACACCAGCAAGGCATCCCCGTCCTCATTCACCGTAAGTTAATTCTATATATTTGCATGCGTTTGAATTGCTCAAGATATCGGAAAACATGTTTCCATAAATAACTTTCAGAACCATCGGAATTCCACGCCGTTCGTTGCTTGACGGCCCCATTCAGATATTAGTGTAGCTCCAGAATGCACTCCCGGCTCTAGTCAGTACTACCAATTACATTCCTGGGATTACCTCACACCGAGTGATCGGGGCGTATGTTCCGGAGCTACTATATGTAATTGCTGTACTTAGCCATATACTTCATTGATAACGTGTACAGAATTGTGGACTAAAATTTCCTAAATATAACCTCTCCTATATTCATTCCAGCAGAGTGTAATATGAAATTAGAATTACTATTATACACTGATCATATGTTCATATCATTTATCAAATACAGGTATTAGCATCAGTATCAAGTAAATTCAAGTTATCAAGTTATTTTTGTTTGGGGAAGTAATTCTACATTTAAATTCTTTGCGTTGATGCAAAAAGCGACGGCCATATCTCAACTAGATTAGTTTGAAAATTTAGAACCGTTTCTTCAGATAACGGATATTAAATTACCAAAAGAGGCTGCCGGGGTTATTTGGCCTTTAACCTTTCAACACAGCATCCCTTTATTGATAGCAGGATGCCACAAGGCATGTAGGGGTTCTGCTTGGGTTACAGTTATAGATGAGAATGGAGCTATATATGCTCTTCCTATCTGAAAAACGTGATTATATTCAAGCAATATTTTCTAGAATCAAGAATTGTATTGTAGAAAACACCTGCGGGACTGAATATATACTAACTAGCTACATTGGATGGTAAATATAATAGGAAACCGGTAATTGTAAACTACTGCATTAGGTTTAAAGGCGAGAATGTATGGAAGGCAACTTCTATATTTGAGGAACACGACGTTTAGGAATATATTCCTACTTCCCCCCTGATGATTGAAGGAGTAATAATATGCTCCGAAACGTCGAGTACTCAAATAAAGATGCTGACATCCATAATTACTCGCGTGTATCACTTCTAAATGCCGTTCAAAGACTCTGCATTTAAATTTGTTATGACCGTAGTTGTTCGTTATACGCATTTCGACTAAAATATAGAGCAAGCAGTCGTGGCTAAAAATGTTCGTTACATCCGTCAGTTCGTTATATTACAAGTTATATTATATTATACTCTTAGAGTGATTGAGTTTAGTTTAACGCCGCTTTTAGCAACATTCTTGCAATATCACGGCGGGGGACACCAGAAATGGGCTTCACACATTGTACCCATGTGGGGATTCGAACCTGGGTCTTCGACCTGACGAGCCAACACTTTAACCACTAGGCTACCCCTCTGCCCCAAATACTCTTAGATGTTCCAGATGACGTAATGAGCTGTAAGAATATTTACAGAATTACAACATTTCAGAATTTAGCGGCGTGATAATACAGTGAACTGACAAATTAGAACCGAGCGGGGATTACACAGTGACCCACTGACAACCACGGAATCAAATGGACACGCATTAGTCAAACTTAGCAGGACTTTTTTTGCATAATTCCACGTAATTTGAATACGTTAAAATGAGATTTAATTTGATACTCCTGTAATTGTAAATCCAATGTGGGATTTCAGGTTTGAAGAGAAAGAAACTTGGATTAAATTCTTTCTGATGACTTTGTGGCAGATGTGTATGTAGACACATGACTATTGCCTGAATGTCGCCACAACGTGCCAAAGTATAGCACTGTTATAATATGAAAGCGAGCAATGTCTGTTTAATGGGTTTTCTACAACTTGAATAAATTGTTCCGTTATTGTGCCAAATAATATCAGCGCTCGTTTACAACAGCAGCTCGCTGTTGAGATTAGAAACTTGACATATGTACGTTATTGTGTGTGAAAACACTGTGTGTTCTCGAGACGAGATGTTTATTTTGCCGATGCTGTTTTGAACAGATGTAAGCTTCGTCGAGGTCGCAACGATACACAGTTCCTGAGCTAGATGCACGATGATAAACACGGCATTTTAAAGCATCTGTAACCCAGTGAAGTACTTCCGTATGAAATTATAAACGCATGTGCTATTTTCATTCGCTTCCTTTATGACGCCACACACTGCTATTCCCATGCTGACTGTGGGAAGGCTGGATTCGAAAACAAACAGTTGACCCTCCCTGGCTCTTCAAGTGTGACCTGAAAGTAATCGTTATATGATAATTGTTTTTACACACGCCTTCAGTTGACAAGGAGTCCTGAGCGTGGACCATACACTCTCCAAAAAGAACCATCTCCTGGTCTTGACCTTAGCCCTCATCAGTAGGTCTGGCTCATCAACCACAGCTGGTGAGTGTTGTTATCGCCATCTCGTTAGCCGCTCAACGAAAGCATGTACAGCAGTACATCATCACTTGGTAATAACGTTATATCATTCCATCGTGTACGAGCACTTTCAGTGTGGTGCAATTCTATTTTAGACGCCCTTTTTGGAAAGTGTAAATTCTTGAAATGTTTGGATAAGTGACAAAATGTAGTGGAATCCAGTTGTCTTATAAGGATTCAGTGTGTGGGGATCAGTTCTATAGTTTCACAGGAGGCGAGTACTGACTGCCTCATGTGATGATTCTGTCTTGTATGTTTATACCACACGCTTTGTGTATTACGACTACATCTGTGTAGAAGAACCATATACCCTATATGTACATGAATCTATTCATACTGCAACCACCTCTGTATGCTTCAAGTTTAGATCATGTCTATGTATATTACAACTAGAAACCAGATGTCTGCACACTACAACCTTAGATTATGTCTATGAATATTGCAACTACAGACCTCATCTCTACATATAAGACTACAGACCTCAGAACCGTGAAGGTCCGGGTTAGAATGAACCTTCAGTAACCCATGCTTGTCGTAAGAGACGACTGACAGGATCGGGTGTTCAGGCTCGCTGGCTTGGTTGACACATGTCATCGGTTCCCAATTGCGCAGATCGATGCTCATGCTGTTGATCACTGGATTGTCTGGTCCAGACTCGATTATTTACAGACCGCCGCCATATAGCTGGAATATTGCTGAGTGTGGCGTAAACATGAACTCACTCACAACCTTAGATTATGTCTATGTATACTGCAACTAGAGACCTCACCTCTACATACTACAACCTTAGATCATGTCTATGTATACTGCAACTAGCGACCGCATCTCCATACTACAACCTCAGATCATGTCTATGTATGTTGTAACTAGAGACCTCACCTCTACATACTACAACCTCAGATCATGTCTATGTATGTTGTAACTAGAGACCTCTCACCTCTACATACTACAACCTCAGATCATGTCTATGTATATTGCAACAAGAGACCACATCTCTACACACTACAACCTTAGATCATGTCTATGTATGTTGCAACAAGAGACCACATCTCTACATACTACACAACCTTAGATCATGTCTATGTATGTTGCAACTAGAGACCTCATCTCTACATACTACAACCTTAGATCATGTCTATGTATATTGCAATAAGCGACCTCATCTCTACACACTACAACCTCAGATCATGTCTATGTATACTGCAACTAGAGACCTCACCTCTACATACTACAACCTTAGATCATGTCTATGTATGTTGTAACTAGGACCTCACCTCTACACACTACAACCTTAGATCATGTCTATGTATATTGGAACTAGAGGCCAGATGTCTGTATACTGCAACCCGAGCCCATCTCTGCATACCATCACCAGTGTTTTACCACAAACAGAGACCACATCTCTGTATATACTGCGTTTACACATCATCTCTTTACACTACAAGCATACATCGCGTCTATTTACAGGGCAACTAGAGGAGACTCTGTACACCATAGCCGGATACCACCAATCTAACACTGCAGCCAGAAACAACACCATTGTAGAAACTGCAATTACACACCATCTAAATACATATAACCAGAGACTCTGTAAATCAATTTATACTGCAACAGGATAGCGACCATTTCTCTCTCTGCAACACCACACCATGTAACTGCATACAAACGCCAGGGATCATGTATAATTACACCACGAACTACACAACAAACGAATGTGTCCATGTGTCAAACGACAGACAATACATGTATATATACCACAAGCGAGGGTTACAGGTGGCCTTGTTAGTACAAGGCATCCGATTACCTTTTATTACAAACAGTAATACCTCATAGTACTGACAATAGCTACATTTTCACTGCTGATGCCAAAGGTATCTTTACGGCTTTGACCTTATAAAACATAAAATCCATTCAAAGAAATTCATCATCGTCTCATATTCACTGTCTTGCCTTCAGGCACTTCCAAATGTCACTTCGAGTCCCCGTATCATCCTTGATATTTTAGAACTTTAGAACGACCTTTCTACTGGCCAAAATAGCATCGTCCATGCTGGTCACCAGGGCATGTAGCCAAACCAGGTAATACAAACCGGATGTTGCAGCAAAATAAGCTGTTGACAAACCGTTATCCTCACTGCTAATCCCGTACAGTGATTTCAAACCTCCTATCTCAAGGACCTTATACAAAAAAGGTGAGGCCCCCAGGTATAGGAAGAAATAAACTTCATGAATTGAAATCGACAATCTGTTACACGAACTTGGGTTATCAGTCAAGACGTGATGAGGTAATTCTTCGACGATGTCGTATTGGCCACAGTCTGTTTACTCATACTATCTGCTCAAAACAATGAAGTATTCACCAGCAAGCATACTTATACTGTTTGGCTGTGTGGAATTTGCAAATGCGAGGGGCTCACATTATGAAGCGATAAATCTGAAATATGTTTTCACTGATCTGACTGTGAACAACTTAAGAGAAATTGACCTGTATCATAAATTGTAACTATACGTAATGTGTATAACAAATTGCTTGTTATTAAATTTGGTACTATGACTTTTTCTGTTTGTAAATAATAATGTAAGGTATAATATAAACTCTTTACTTAACATATGTATGTGTGCAGACTTGGCCTCGTCTCTATGAGGCTGAAATGATGCCGATGCGACATTAAATGTTAGTCACTCACTCTCTACTCTCTCATAGTACTGATTTCCAACGGTAATACATTCAAGTAGGCACGCGAAGCATGAGGAAGTGTATTATGAAATCGGAAACATCGTTCAGTGTCGCAAACTGCACAAATCTTTGAAAGTATGTGTTTTGCCGGAAACGTATTGTTTACACATGATTATAACTTTAGATGTAGTTCTTGTGTTGACAGTATCACAGGACAAAGTATTACATTACGCAACAAACAAAAATTAAGGTCCGGAATACTTACACAATGGTTGAAGTAGTTAAGTGCAGCATATCACCCAGATATCAGTATTGTTGATACGAACAAAAGCCAAATGATACCAGTTCCTTAGCCAGATTCTGGCAATGCGGTAGAAAACACGATGACCTTGCATTAACATCGTTTAAGTTATGTAATATTGTTGTCACCTTGTTCTTTTTATGCCATGGAAGGTAATTAACCCTTTGCCCAGGTCCCGGGGCCTTTGAGGCCCGGTGGCACATAAACTGTGTCGCCCAAGGTCTATGTCAAATTGTTGCGCCTGGATACCACAGTGTATTCGTCACATCTGATGTGCTTAACATTGACACAATTTAAAATAAATATTGGTCATCGCATTAAATATATACAGTCGAAAACATTTTGTTCACCCATTAACCCGGTACCAGGGCCAAGGAGACCCGGTCATATTGTTTATTTCGTGATCATGAGATATAGAATGCCCAAGTGTTCAAGTTACTGTAATAGTCTATATTATTGACAGTGAGTGACTTAGCGAGGAGCAGACGCTTGTTTGAGACCTTTTTGAAAGGTGTTCCACTCGAAGAAGCAGAGAATGAATTTTGACTCTGAAGATAGTGGCTCTGATAGTGATTTTGTTCAATCTGATGTATCTGAATCAGAATCCTCTGACTTATCAGAAGCAGAAGATGAAAGGTTGGATACTAGTGACAACAGCGGCATGTTTAAAGCCAAAGATGGTAATCTTTGGTCCCCGAGACCTCCACTTCAATCATGTGTACCTAAATGGGACATCCTTCGTGGTCCTCATCAGAAGGTTTTAAACGCTGACCATGTGGGTGATGAGGCTGAGTTGTTGAAACTTCTGGCAGAATTGGTACTAGTACTAGGTCGAAAGGCAGATAGTTCCAAAGGGTAGCAGCTGCACACTGAAAGGACTTGCCACCAAACAATTTAATCAATAAGTAGGTATGGACAGTAGATCATGGGGGCGGAGAGTTCTGAAAGGAGCGTACAACTTGATGAAGTCTTAAGATATGCAGGTCCAATTTTGTGAACTGCCTGATAATTGAGTATCAGTATTTTGAATTTAAATACGTTCAGGAATATGAAGCCAGTGGAGAGATTGGAGAATGGGCGATATGTGGCAGTATGGTTTACTTCTTGTTATAATACGGGCAGTAATGTTCTGAATCTTTTGTAAAGTGTTGATAAACTCGTTAGAAACTCCAAACAATAAAATGTTACAATACTCTAGAGAGGACTAAAGTTCTCATGAGACACGCGGTAGCATGTTGTGTCACTAGATGGCGAATGGATCAAATGTTTGTCAAATGGAAAAGCAGCATTTACACAGTCGTGAAACTTGAGTTTCCACAAAGAGATTACAGTCAATATGAACACTCAAGTTCTTGAGGGAAGATGAAACATCCACTGCAGATTGACCAATGTTTGCTTTGGTATCACATTTCTTCAGTCTTGAAGGTAGTCCTACAAAGAGTGCTTCTGTCTTGTCGTCGTTCAACATCAACATGTTTGATGACATCCAATGCTAAATTGTTGAGATGCAGCTCCTGACCTTGGAGACAGCTGTGTTTTCTTCGCTTGTGTGGAAGTGATCCACTGTGGCACTCCACAGGTCAGAGACATATCGTTGCATCGCACATTACCAATCTGGACAGCTTGCACCCTGTCAGACAGATAGAAGCAAATCATGACAGTGCAGTGCTGCACACGCCATGCTCTTGGTGTATGCGGCCCAATAGTCTTTGATGGTCAACCGTATCAAATGGGGCAGAGGGATCCAAACACGATCATAGCCACTGAATCAGTGTCAACCGTCATCTTATTCTGGCCAAGGACACAATTAAGGGCCGTTTCCTTACTGTGCTCAGAGTGATACTTGTCAGCAAGGGAAAATGTCCCCATGTGTTCCAAAAGTTGAATCTTTACAACTTTCCTCAAGACTTTGGACGATGAAAGATAAGTTGGATATTGGCCTGTAATTTTTTTCTAGATGTCTGGATGAAGTGAAGGCTGCATGATTGTAGACTTAATGACAGCTCTCTTGAAGCTTACAGGAACCGCTCCCGTTGACAGACTCAAGTTGACAACTCTGGTAATAACAGGTAGAACACAATCAAATAATTTGAAGTAGCAACTTGGTTGGAAAGCAGGCAAGGTTGATTTGGCGCAGTTCGTCAACGCTCTTACCTATATTTCTTCTACTTTTCTCTGCAATACCACCATAGTGCTTTCTTGAACCTGTGTGGATAGGTTTTCAAATATCAAGGAGAGGAAAGAGATTTTTAAGGAGAGAAAAGAAATTATGTCCCGGGCCTGCGAGGCCCGGGCAACGCGGAATGCGACTTAAGACAGGGACCCGGGGTGAGGGTTAAATTTATCACTTAAATGTAAATTCAGAATGGTTATTGCAGTTCTTCTATGGATTTGGGGATTTGAAAACATCACAACTCTAGAAGGTAACCTAGAAGCTGTTTACGTTTTCGAAAAACATCTATCATCATGTATAAGACAAAATATTATAGATGTCAACTTCTTCTTTATTGTATATATTAACGTTTCAGGGCTTTTCCTGACGAAGGGCAAGGAAAAGCCCTGAAACGTTGTGTATACAATAAAGAGGAAGTTGACATCCATAATATATTGTCTTATGCTTGAATACCAACTTCCATACGCCTCTCAAGACCCTCATTTATCATCATGAAGAAAATGTTATCCAACTTTCATGGTATACGGAAACTTAGATGACTCCACTTTGTGAAGCCGAGAATGATATGTTCCGGGGCAAAAATACGCTCAAATCATCTAAATTATATGACATTAATTAGCACACAGTGTTTGGTACATGAGATAGAAGGTCTTCCAAAGGCGCTATGTATATAAAGGAAAACCAAGTTCTGTGGATAGTCAACTTCTTTACTGCAATGAGTGCGACGTTTCGGTGTAGGTACTAACACCGTTATCAAGCAAGTGATACAAAGAGTTGTAACATGGAGAATATATACATAGCTGCATAGTGTGTATATACAATTGAAAAAAAGGTTGATATACATTGGATTGCTAATTAGTGATTTGAGCAGAGTAGGTTGATGTACAGAGTGATAGTGATTAAAACAATATGCAGAATGAGTTTAAACAATAGATGAGTTGATGTACACTGAGATGGCAGCTATGTATATATTCTCCATGTTACAACTCTTTTGTATCACTTTGTTTGATTACGGTGTTAGTACCTACACCGAAACGTCGCACTCATTGCAATAAAGACGTTGATTATCCATAGAACTTGGTTTTCCCTCATCTATACAACTTCTAAAATGCCTCTCAAAGAAGCTATGTATATAATATAATAAAAATGATTGTCCAAATTTTGAATATTTCTTACATACTGCAGGAAAACGTATGGTGAGTCTTAATTAGTTTAGAACTTGTTACCATGGTATACCTATTGAAACTGGGAGATGGAGGATTGTTTTCACTTTAAGAAAGAGTCCATTCCAACAAACCATCGGACCTAGGTGATGACCTTTCAATAAGTAGGGACACTGAGGAAAATGTCAAAGGTTTGTAAAATCATCGTGTCATTTAAGCCTTTCAAGTACCCCTCTAGTTACTGAAATGCACATATATTGTTACGTATATATGTGTATGGATGTTGTATATCTGTCCATATGTAGATGTAGATGCGTTATGTTGTTGGAATGTGTTGATTCTTTGATGCTGCCAATAACGACCTCAGTGAAAACACAAGTTCAGTTCACATGGACAGTATGTCACAGTCAATATGTTTTACTGACATGTGAATTCCAACAGAGAAAAATCTGGGTTATTGCTGAGTGCAGCGGTGTCACTCAAGCAGCTTATGAGGGAACCGACACCGCCCTAGACCCACATTTGTAAGAATCAACACAGGACTTGGTGAATGTGAGAACCGACATTGTAACTGATTTACATCACGTATGATGAGAGTGAACAGTGTTTTGAACGTATGTGGTAACAGATATTTCAATACGTTTACATCACGTGCATGAGAGTGAACAGTGTTTTGAACGTATGTGGTAACAGACATTTCAATACGTTTACATCACGTGCATGAGACTGAACAGTGTTTTGAACGTATGTGGTAACAGATATTTCAATTTCACGTGCATACATCACGTGTATGAGACTGAACAGTGTTTTGAACGTATGTGGTAACATTACATTTCAATACGTTTACATCACGTGCATGAGACTGAACAGTGTTTTGAACGTATGTGGTAAGATATATTTCAATACGTTTACATCACGTGCATGAGACTGAACAGTGTTTTGAACGTATGTGGTAACAGATATTTCAATACGTTTACATCACGTGTATGAGACTGAACAGTGTTTTGAACTTATGTGGTAACAGACATTTCAATACGTTTACATCACGTGCATAAGACTGAACAGTGTTTTGAACGTATGTGGTAAGATATATTTCAATACGTTTACATCACGTGCATAAGACTGTACAGTGTTTTGAACGTATGTGGTAACATATATTTCAATACGTTTACATCACGTGCATAAGACTGTACAGTGTTTTGAACGTATGTGGTAACATATATTTCAATACGTTTACATCACGTGCATAAGACTGAACAGTGTTTTGAACGTATGTGGTAACATACATTTCAATACGTTTACATCACGTGCATAAGACTGTACAGTGTTTTGAACGTATGTGGTAACATATATTTCAATACGTTTACATCACGTGCATAAGACTGTACAGTGTTTTGAACGTATGTGGTAACATATATTTCAATACATTTACATCACGTGCATGAGAGTGAACAGTGTTTTGAACGTATGTGGTAACAGATATTTCAATACGTTTACATCACGTGCATGATACTGAACAGTATTTTGAACGTATGTTGTAACCAAAAAATCAATACGTTTACATCACGTGCATGATACTGAACAGTGTTTTGAACGTATGTGGTAACAGACATGCATGAGAACCATTTTTGTTATGGACTGTTATCTCAGGTGACATTTTATAGATTTTCATGTGTGTGAGCCAAATGTGTTTAAGACTTATGCGTGTATGTTAGAAGAGAAACGCTTGCCTCGTAGACGGGATGAGTGGGTAGTGGCGGCAGGAAGGGGTTTAAAGTACAGCGCTAACACCGCGCTACCTCACCCACTCCGGGCCTACACAGCGACGGTCGATTTACTGTAAGTTATAAAGATTTAGCAGCACTGGATCAAGGACGGAACCCAAGGTCAGGGGGCCGGAAACTAGGGCTGAGGTAGAGTAGAAAATACCCTGTGTCCGTACTGTCGGTTTATAATCACTTGTGAAGTATCATGGAGAACCTACTCTCATTTCAACACATGGTTTGATAATAACTGCATCGTAGATTTACCCCAGCCTCGCGGGTTTTGCAACATTACCTATACCTTGATGGCAGCAGGCTGTTTATAAATAGATGAGGATTCTCTCCTGCTACAGCTCTGGGGAGAGTTGAAAGAAGGCTTTAGCTGACATAAACATGTCCAGGGACCGTGTGATCAGATAGCAAACGTTATGCGCAGGTCAAGAGGGCACTCTAATTGGACAATATATTCCGAAGTCTGCGTTAAAGTATACCTTATGTCGGGATGGAGTAGAAATATCCTTCAAAGTAAGCGGCTAGTCTCTTACAGTTACTCTTCTAGCCAGTTGAGTGAGTACGTGTGTGAGTAATTAAGTGATGGACTATGAGAGTGGATGAGAGTCCATATCCCCGTTTGGCAGTATTTAAATTAATGTGCAAAGATAGTCCGATGTTATATATGTTGTACCCACGAGCTGGTTCTGAAAAAAACCCAACTAACGACCATTATCAGTGCAAATCTTGAATTCGACCTTGTGATGAGAAGTTCCTGACACACCCAAGGTAGGCAACCATGCAGAACAATGAGTCGCCTCAGACCCAGTGAGTGAGTGAGTGAGTGAGTTTAGTTTTATGCCGCTTTTAGAAATATTCCAGCAATATCACGGCGGGGGACACCAGAAATGGGCTTCACACATTCACCCACGTGGGGAATCGAACCCGGGTCTTCGGCGTGACGAGCGGACTCTTTAACCACTAGGCTACCCCATCGCCCCCAGACCAAGTGAACGTATCGTAAATAATCATGTTGACGAAAGGTATGCGTATTCGTTCTCGGCTCAGTCGGTCCCCTTTTTTGCACCTTGTGACAAATGAGCTGACATTTATTGCTTTTGATTTACCAGTGAATCTGGGTTCAGTATCGCTTTAGGGTACCGTTGTACTGGGCAATCTTAGCCAATTATCTGGCGTGTTTAATTTGGAGATCATAATAGGGATTTGCTGCAAAACCACGGGAATTCTTCCTGTCGAACGTACAGTGGTGCGTGTACCAATTTTGTTTTACTGGAGTAAATATGTGTGGTCCGGTCTGGACAATCCTGTGATTATTGTGATGAGAAACGATCCAGATGTCGGATTTGGTACATACTAAGTCAACAGCCCACCCCACCCTCCTTTCAATCGGTCGTCTGTCGACAAGAACGCGATGCTGGATTTGGGATACACGGTGAACATGTCGTGTCGTCTGGTTAATATATACGCAAACTTGCCTTAAATAGTTTACATCTTGTTGATACTCAAAACCCAAACTGGTGATTTCTTGGCCATGACCTAATTTTCCCACCTGTACCTGGACAACCAGCACTGACACGATGGAATCGTCCTGTGACCTATTATTTCATGTGTTAGGATAGTTTGTACCCGCTGAATGGATTTCCCCGCCCAGCAACACAATTCCAGTAGGAGGTGGTTGCTGCAGGTTACATTAATATTGGCAAACATTCAAACAAGTGTTTCTTTGTTGTTTACAGGAATACGCGATGTTTGGAAAGTGACGAAGGGGTTGCAAAGCAACATCGACAACCACGTCGTCCTCTCTGCTTCACTGTCCTCATATCTGAAGAGACACGTAACCAAGCACGATGGCCGTCATGTCCGAGAGACGTGCTGCTCTGGGGTTTGTGTTCATCGAGATCTCCATCTTGACCACCTATTTTGTTGGGTTCATTCTGCCGAACTGGACACTTGTGACGGTGGATAACTGGCGAGAGATTAATCGAGCGTCCATGGGGATCTGGTCAGCGTGTGGATTCGACCACGACATTGAACTGCTGTCCGGAGACTTCTACCATGACCAGTGCATATCACTGCTCGAAGTCGGCGTCCCAGGTAAGTAACTAGATAAGGTTTTGTTACAACAATCATTATAAAAACGCAATGACATTGTGTGTATTTGTATTCACATTACAAAAATATCACATCATTCATTCATCATTCGTCAAAGGTAAATGAACAAAACTATCAAAACAAAGCAATTCCATATAGCTGATGAGGCATTTGGTGCGATCAGTCGAATTAAGTATTTCCAAATCGATACAGTTGTACCGCTTATCATAAGGTCACTGCAAGGCTAACGCTTAGACGTTGAAAATTTATTATTATTATGTAAAGAACTCCGTTTAATCTGAAAAGGAGCACCCACACCCACACTCCTCTAGTGATGTGTGAGGTTCAGAAGACCCCCCTCCGGAGAAAACTCCAGACCTGCGTCATTTAGGGATTTTACATTAGAGTAGGTTGGGTGGAACGGACAAAATATGGTTCTAGGGTCCGTTTCACAAAGCTCTCGTAAGCTTAAGGTCTCGTAACTTATCTCGTACCATTCCTAGTAACATAGGATGTACGAATGCTAAGAGAAAAGTTTCAAGATCTTAGGCTTACGAGAGCTTTAATGAACGGGGACCCAGGACTGTGAACAGTCCATGTCAGTACCATTAGTGTATGAGCTGATATGTTTGTACATACTCTATTGTGTTTTAGTTTTTCGAAGATGTAAATATTCACTAATTGTTTTGCACCCTTTATTTATCTGCTTGCAGGCTGGGTGAGGGCAACGCAAGCATTTGCAGTTCTTGGTCTGTTTTTCGGTGTAGTGTGCGTAGTTCTGTCCCTTGTCATGGCGCTCGGGCCCTGGGACGAGGATGTCATCTTCAAGGTGTTCCTGCCGATCTGGTACATTGGCGGTGAGTGCCATCAACAACCTAAACCTGCCAATATGTTAGATCGAGGGAAGGGATGTAGCATAATTTTCAACAGCCGGGACCTTCGAGTATGGTATATAGTCTTGTGTGTAGCAAATTTCTGCATCTCATACTTGCGACTTCTATGTGGGTAGTAATTGGTGTGAGGAGCATGCATGGATGAACATCACGCCTGTGATTGTGATATATCGGTGTGTGTGGTCGACAACCCATAGTTGCCATTCTAGCTATTGTCAGTGAGGGTTGCTATGATCACCAGCCCACTTCTGCAACTGTGGCATGTTGGTGATGTGTTTGTGTTCAGAACCACTGAGGTATATCGGTGAGGCCTATCGGCGGTGTGACGGGTAGGTAGGGCAACAATCCACACGTACCCCATTAACGTTCTACCTATAATGTGTGAAGTCCATTTCTGGTGTCCCCCGCCGTGATATTGCTGGAATATTGCTAAAAGCGGCGTAAAACCATACTCGCACTCGCACTCGCACTCAGATAGCAGATGAGCTTTTGGCTCTGATAGACACATCCCAATATTGTGCTGTTCAGGTGCCATGTCAATATTCACATTCGTTGTGGCACCTGGACCTACTCCCATCATGTCCACGCTGTGAGTGAGTGAGTTATATTACTCTACCCACGTTCACAAAGTTTTCACACTGTACCTGTGAGTCAGTGAGTTATATTACTTACCCACGGTACCTTCCCAGAGTTCACAATGTTCATTCTTGTGGGTGCATCTACTCCATCTCCTACGTGCACGCTGTGTTGGGCGTGAATGATGTCTATTTACCACGTACTTGTATACTAGGTGAGGTGAAATTGGGTTTAACGTCGTGCTTGAGAATATTTCGCTCATATGACGACGTGCATGCGTGTGTATGTGTATGTGCGGCTGCTTGTACCTAGCCCAGACTGAAGCTGGTTTTATGCTAGCTAGCCCACTGAGATACCATGCCGCAGTGAAGCATGAGTACCCCACTCAGACACATTATACTGACTCCGAGCCGACCAGTCCTTTATGTACTCATTAATACCGAGCGCCAGGCAGGGGACCAACAAGTACCATTTTTAACGTCTTTGATATGACGCGGTCGGGGATCGAACCCGCGACCTTCCGCTCTGCGGGCGGACGCTCTAACCACTACACCACGGAGGCGGTCACTTGTATACCACCTCGAATGTGTGTTTCTGACTGTTACAGTCACACTGTTGTCACAATGCTGGTGAATGGATTGAAATACCCATCCATAGGGCAATTCAGATATATTACATTGACAAAGAACCTTATCAATCTATCAGGTTATGCAGTCATGTCTTATGTGAATATGGCCTTCGGGTATAGCCATACTGGATGAGTTCTTTATGTCTGAGTATAGTTGGGTTTACTGCAGGGGTAAACAATACTTCAGTTACTACTATATCATTGTGCGTTAGCCCAATGTGGGAGTAACTTTATTTGATGCAGGAGTTCCACTTTGACGAAACCCATGAGTAAGGACATGATGATAGAAAACCTTGACTCATAATCAGGATAAGGCTGGGATTTGATCCACACTCCAGCCTAATTACCAAGCTGGCAGTCTACGTTTCGGTTCATTTACGTTGAGCCAGCGTTGACTATTGATCAACGTTGGTCCAGTTTCTTCCTGACCATCGGGCCAACATTGTGCTTCCCTAGAAACTGTACAATGACAGTAACGGTAATAGCATGCCATTTAACAAAATTTATTTCATCTTCAGGGTTCTGTATGCTCGTGACAATCATAATCTACGGAGCCAGCTTGCCCCCAAGGGAACATGAAATACCCCGTCGCGGCACCGGCAACGAGTACACCATCACCACAATCAGATGGAAGTTCAGGACGGGCTTCGTACTGGAGGCCATAGCAGCGTGTTTGTGGAACGCGTTCGGCTTCGTGTTCCTGTGTGGAGTGTGTTGTACGTGAACGCGGCTTTAATGAAAGACGATACTCTGAATGGAGCACTTTTACTAGGGGTCGGGTGGCATGGATGTTTTCTGCTACGCTGGAATAACATTTGCATCTACAGCTGACTTACACACAGCAGTGTTTACTACAGATGATGCATGGTGTGAAAATAAGGCCCCAGTACGTTATAACAAACATATCTATATAACCGAGTCAGTATTAAGCGTGGTGTGAAGGTAAAGGCTGGAATCAAGTATGATATGGGCAGAGGGCACTGCTGTGGATTCACCAAAGACGAGAATGCCAATGACGTTTTTATAACCATTGTCAAACCATACTGTACAATTTGCGACAGATAATTATATTCAAGACTTTTGGCCACCATTCACAATATTACAAACGCACACGCCCAAACGCACACACACATATATTTAATCTGTAATTGTTATTTTAATGGCATGTCATCATATCGATATATTGATAACTATGATGTTGATGGTGAGTGAGTGAGTGTGTTCTACTTTGTAGTCACATCGGCAATATTTCAGCCATATTGTGACTTAAAAAGTTCTAAATTAACAATAAACGCAATTAAATTATAAACAACGTGTCGAAGAAGGACAGTAAAATGACTAGATTATCACAGATAGAGAATTAAAATTAGCAAGTAACTTTTAAGATTAGACAAATAGTACAGACAATACAATATTAAAAAACGGGCTAGAGATCACCAGCAACTGAAAGTAGATCACCATGCTAGGGACCTTTGCTACCTGCATGGAGCCTAGCTGGATATACATCATCCCTTTGGCCGTTGGTGAGTGTAGGTATGATGTTGATGGTATAGACTTTATATGAACATTGTTCCAACCAAACAAACCACCTGTCACGACGGGCAAGAATAGATCGTGAACAATTTACATGTGTAAAGGTTAAAGTTTCTCCTTTAAAACTGGTGTTTTTCTCAACTGGGTGCCAACGTGCATATATTTATTTTTACCGTAATTTGTGTGGAAAACACACAATTTGCTAATTAGAATTTGAATGGATTTTATCATTGACCCATCATCATCAACCCTAATTAATGTCAGTACACTTTCAATCCATAACCCAAGTAAATACCAGATCATCCTTAACATTCAGTCCAAATGATTGCCAGTACACCTCATCATTCAACACAAAGAAATACCAGTATACTTTACCATTCAAGCACCAAAATACCAGTACATCTTACCATTCAATCCAAAGAAATACCAGTACATCTTACCATTCAACCCCCAAAATATTAGTATACCTCACCATTCAACCCCTCAAATACCAGCACACTTTACCATTCAACCCAATGAAATACCAGTACATCTTACCATTCAACACCCAAAATACCAGTACACCTTACCATTCAACCCAACGAAACACCAGTATGTGCTAAAACATTCAACCAAAAAATACCAGTACATTTTTTAAAGCAAAATTGGAAATCTTAAATTATGTTTTACAGAAACCACAACATAATATAGGTGAACATGATTGAAGTTACTTTTGCCTAAACTAAATGTTTTGACTGCATAATGATATGACGATAGATATATAGCGTAATGCTTGACATTCATTGCAGTTAACGTGTATCCAATCATATTAAACGCAATCGATTGTCACCATCTATTTATAAGCAGCGATAACCAGACCGAAACAGTGCATGGTGTATATTGATTATTAACAATCCGTTTATGTGAAATTAATATTACCATAGCCAGTGACAGAGTGAGATGCATCACCTAGAATGTCATACCGCCCTGACTTGGCAACAGAGAGGCCGGGCACTGTGCCAGTATTGCATTAACAGCTGTAGTGTAGATGTTCACAAACAACTACACGCGGGGCCTTTTGGAACAATGCGACGGTTTTGTGGCCTTAAAAACGTTTCAATTATATCACGGTCCTATCTATATTTTTTCTATTTTGATGTTGATTTCTCTCACGTTTCCAGGTCCCTTCATATTATCGATTAACTGATTCACCTGATGAAGGGACCTGCGCTCGAAACGTTTAGTGAGAGACGCCAGTAACAAAAGCAGAAATAAATGCCACTGAAAGACATTATTTTTGTTGAGTTTTCGATATTAATTAAATGCGCCTTAAAAGCAGATATATGCATCGATACTATGACCTGTGAAGAGTGTAACGTTTGCGTTGACAACACAATAGGGTTTTTGACGTAGATGTGTTCTCTTGCAACCCACACAGTCCAGGTTCGAATCCCAAGATTGCCCCATTGATAGCGCCATGGGTTATGACTGCAACATTAGAGTTAAAAGGATTCTTACAATGTGAACAGAACAGGGTCACAAAGTTCATATGTACAGCGTCGTGCCTTCTACATTGCCCTGTTCGGAGCTAGTTGTGACTAGCTGAATAAATAGAAGTCCTTATCCTAGACAGATATGTCGTTAGATACAACTATCATATTGTGTATATGTTGCTACAGATACTAATATTTTATTGTAAATTGTATTTTTATATTGTCTAGTATTGTTTGTCATCGTGAAAGATTACGATGGTTGTATGAGAGAATTCTTTGCTACGCCGCAGCACACCCTTAGAGTATGTTTCATTTCTAAAACACTATTCACCTGTGCGGATTAACAACACTTTGTTTGTACTTATTACCAACGTGCCCTGGACCGTGTAATCATGAACGTGTTCATCACAGTGTAACCAAATCCAGGTGTGGTTAGGTACACTAGGTATTACTATTTCCACAAGTCATGCTGTGTTTAATATGATTATTTATCTCGTATTTTGTTCATCACAGTGTAACCAAATACACGTGTGGTTAGGTACACTAGGTATTACTATTTCCACAAGTCATGCTGTGTTTAATATGATTATTTATCTCGTATTTTGTTGTCATAATTACATTCGAAACAATATTTTGGACATGAATCGTAATCCGTTTTGGATTAGATTTGAATAGAGGAGAGAGGCCTAGATGGTCTGGCAATGGTGTTGTATTTGGTAATACTATAAAGACAAGGGTATTTCGTATTACGTTGATTTTTAGAACTTGTTTTCTTTCTTAAATATATTTTGTTTCGCTTTTCATTGCCATTGCAGATATATAAGAGGTATATTATCGTAGCTACTTCAGTTTATATTGTTTTCTTTTTTTTGTTATAGATTTATAGTGCTTTTACTGCATGATTTGTTAGATATCGTTACCATTGTTACCTGTAAATAAACTGTTCTGGGAAGAGTATTTTTGTTGATTGTATGTTTAACGGATATGTATATATATATAGTTAACTAACTCAAAGCCAGGTGAGCACTGGCCGACAGTCAACACAATCAGAGGTACGTGTTATTCATTGCACCGTTCCACAAAGCGTGGTCTGTCATACAGACCCAGAAGCAAATATATCCAAGCAAGCCCACGCAAGTCTATAAAATGTGGCAAGTCTGGATTTCCACAGCTTCTGAAAATGAAGAAAGTCTCAGGGCTCCTTTCATTATATGTTTTATTTTTTACTATGAACTTTTTTTTCTGTAAAACATGTTCATTTCAGAGACTAGTTGTTAGTTTACAGGAAGCGTTGAGTTGGCTACGACATGGAAGCGTTGAGGATTGGCCTAATGTCGACATGACATGGCCTACTAAACTATGTACAAGGACAACAGTGACTAGGACAACAGTCGGCATGGCCAAATGAACTATGTAAACAACAGTAGACATGTAGGACAATTGTCGACATGGCCTCCTGAACTGTGTAAATGTAGCGCAACAGGCCTCGAACAATGGCCTATAGAACGACATGGCCTACTGAACTATGTTCATGCAACACTACAGACGACATGGCCTACTGAACTATAAAATGTAGGACAATTGTCGACATGGCCTACTGAACTGTGTAAAATGTAGCGCAACAGTCGACATGGCCTACTGAACTATGTTCATGCAACACCGTGCATACGACATGGCCTCCTGAACTATGTAAATGTAGCACACTAGTCGACATGGCCTACTGAACAATTTAAATGTAGGACAACAGTTGACATAGCCTACTGAACTATGTACATGCAACACAACAGTGACATGGCCTACTGAACAATGTACATGCAACACAACAGTTGACATAGCCTACTGAACTATGTACATGCAACACAACAGTTGACATGGCCTACTGAACTAACTAACACAACACGCAACCTACAACTATGTTCACGCAACACAACAGTCGACATGACCTACTGAACTTTGTTCATGCAACACTACAGCCCTACTGAACTATAAACTGTAGGACAATTGTCGCCATGGCCTACTGAACTAGGTACATGTAGCGCAATAGTCGAGATGACCTACTGAACTATGTTCATGTAACACTACAGACGACATGGCCTCTGACATGGCCTACTGAACTGTGTAAATGTAGCACAATAGTCGACATGGCCTACTGAACTATGTAAATGTAGCACTACAGTCGACATGGCCTACTGAACTATATAAATGTAGCACAATAGTCGACATGGCCTACTGAACTAGGTACTATGGCGCAACTGTAGGACAATTCCTGTCGCCATGGCCTACTGAACTCGGTACCTGTGAACAGCAAATAGTCAACAGATGACCTACTGAACTATGTAAATGCAACACAACAGTTGACATGGCCTACTGAACTATGTCAATCGACATGACCTACTGAACTTTGTTCATGCATGGCCTACAGACGACATGAACTACTGAACTATAAATGTAGCACAATAGTCGACATGGCCTACTGGACTATGTAAATGTCGCATAACAGTTGACATAGCCTACTGAACTATGTACATGCAACACAACAGTTGACATGGCCTACTGAACTTAATGTACATGCAGCACAATAGTCGATGACCTACTGAACTTAATGTACATGCAGCACAATAGTCGACATGACCTACTACACTATACACATTGTCTTTATATTGTAACATACCAACTCTGTACACAAAAATTCGGAACACAGCATGTAACACAACAGTCGGAAGTGCATATACAGGTTTAGACATTTAACACAATATAGTTGGTCTAAAATGTGACTCTTTAATGTAACAGAACAGGGCGTAGATTTTCGAAGCTCTCTTAGCGCTAAGATGGTCGTAAGTTAATGCTAATGTATGGCACTTACGACTATCTTAGCGCTAAGAGAGCTTCGAAAATCTACGCCCAGATGCACTGCCTGTCAGTATCACACAGCAGTCGGCACTGGACTTTGTACATGTAACATGAACTCTAGAAAGGTTAGTTTATCCATCCCTCGACATGTACGTTGAAGTGGTTTAAACCAATAGGCGGATGCATTGAGCGTTGAGCATTCACGAGTTATGTCCCTTGGTGTCATGAGCTCGGCCTGTAGAGATTGCTTTGTGGAGGCGTTTCTGAGTATCTCCTGATCGCTGTATATTTGGGAGCAATATCACTGCAACTAATTCCCCATCTACAAAATATTTCTGTTATAAATATTTCTGTTTGAAAGTGGCCAAGTGAATTAACATGTTAAATAGTATATTGGGATTACACTTTCTCATTTAGTACAGATTCTTGAACATTTTGAGGTCCCACCCGAGATTCGAATCCACACTAGACCCAACCCACTGAGCCACCACAGCTGTCGCAAAATGTCATTCATGGCTATATATCGGTCATGGGGCCCCTGCAACTTTATACTTGTCAGGGGAGTACACAAAGGGTGTGATTTGGGTTAGTCTGCCAGTTAACAGGCTTCAATTTTAGTGGAAGCTGCGGAGTGGATCACTGACCTTGTTTGCTGGCGATTAAGTGCCTCATTCTGAAAGTGTTCGAATCCCATCGCGTGTATTTCACTGAGAAAGTGTAATTGCAAATATAACAGACATTGCATTTATTGAAAAGAATAAAGGGAATATTTAAAAATAAATATATTACTACGTATGAATTATGAATAGAGGAATACAAGTATGTAAAGTTATGATATTATTTCTTGGTTATCATATCATATTTTTCAACGATTCGAACCTGTAATCTCCACCTTACATAAGACGTCAACAATAACAAAACCGGAAGTTTAAGGAGAATCACATGACACTTAATTCAAAATGGCGCCGCCCGCACCTCCCACAGGCGAAGGGGAGTACACAGAGGGAACCACGGCACAGGTAAACACTGCAGAGTGAAAATATATGAAGCTTCGGGGGGTGACGGTACTTTGGGTACAAGCCTTGATCAGAATCACACCGTACTCATGGCGTATCGGTATGCTAGTTGTCTTGAGGTGGCATGGAGTCCTGTCTTGTCATATTGCCAAACAGAGTCACCGATAAGGGCTTGAGTATTACGCTCGTGACGCGTATTGAATCGTGTTTGTCTCTTGCCAGTGTGTGAAATAAAAATATTGCCTGGCGTATTTGTCGTGACTGAACTCTGCAGACCCTTACATCGTGTTTGAGTCAACGTTGAAGGGTGCAGCTGAAGTTCTTTCGGTTCCAAGCTAAAGAATAAACAAATACTGACTACTGTATGTGACTATTCATATAGACAATATACAATTCCTCAACATTTGCCTGGCCTATTATCAGTCTCATCATATGCATAATATACTAATATGTCAAGGCATTGTTGATAAAAGTCCCAGTTGTGTAGATCGATGCTCATGATGTTGATCACTGGATTGTCTGGTCCAGACTCTATTATTTAAGACTGTCGCCATATGGCTGGAATGTTGCTGGGTGCAGCATTGAATAACATATGAACCAATGTTGACAAACCATTTGAACAACGCCTTCACAGATCTGGCACTGGCTACTTAATAGTTCCATGATGACGGCTTCTGGTTATTTAGGGTACATTCAATCATTCAAATAACCTGTGTATGTGACTACTCATGGAGGGTATTTACAGAGGAAGTCATGAAACAACATGGACCACGTTACATATGTGAAATACTTTCAATATGCCCAGGTGGCATGTTTAAATTTATAAAAATTATACATGCCATGATTTATTTAATTGAAAATGTGATAAATTTCACTGTCTGAAATGACTCAAAACCGACTTTTTCACCCCATCAAACTGTTTATCTGTTGCACTCTCAATCTCATAGTCATAGCTTCACATGGGCATGGCCATCTTGAACGCCATTGCATAGTAGGAAATCCTGTTTTGTATGATAACATAGTTTGCGGGTTTCTTAATTTGTGGGCCTAGGAAAAATGAAGCTGAACAGGAAATTCAACTCTCAAGTTTACAGGTTTATATCATGGTTACTGATATACATTGACTTGTTGTGATGTTTTAAGTTTAACTGGATCAACAAAGACGCACCTGAATTATCTGTCTGGTGCACTGTGGCACACTTCCAAACAGTGTGCGAAATAGCCACTGGCCCACTAGCCTGTGGCTAGTAAAAATCCAGTCGGGCCAGTAAATCTCCACAGTCACTGGCCCGACTGGCCCGACTGGGTAATTTTGTAAATATATCACTCTCTCCAACTTGTTAAGTTATAACACACTTTTAAATCATGCATGATTATGGCCTGATAAAAATGTTCATCATATCAGTAGCTTAATGATGAAACCCATGTCTACGTTCACATTTCGGACTAGTGAATTATTTTTAGGACTAGTAGCTTCCAGGCATAGCTAGCCTGACTGGCTAGCAAAATTTGGAAACTATTTCGCTCACTGCTTCCAAATAATTGAATTTCTATCCCTCTACATTCATCTCTGAATATATCAACTAATGCATTCATAAATGGACATGAAAAATCTAAACTTGTCAGTTTACAGGGAGAAATATCTTTCTACATGCTTGTGAATTAAGATATTGTATTCCTGTGGACGACATTAAGTCAATGATAAAAGTTCATTTTATTGTAATACAATTTGACCAAAAAGGTCATTTGGGTATGGTTATAATGACAGGTATGATTTTCAATATAATCATAGTAATAATGGTTATCATGGTCATAGCATGTATAGAGCAAGTGTTTTGTAGACAGTGCATTTTTCTTTTTTTTTATTCCAGTACACATGTAGGAATGGTAGTCAGAAACAGTGCTGAATTAACTCTTCTTGTAATGAATGACCATATAAGGATACTGGGTGACATGGATTATATCGCAGGATTTAAGAAATACAGTTCGCTCTACCATCATGTATAGTGTAATAAAGCACACTTTCACCCTGAACGGAGTAGTTTACTGTAGGAGGCTGAACGAGGCGATGGCAACGGACATGCATCGTGACGTCGCTTACATTGTGACATAATGCAAAATTGTTTGTTTACGAGGTGGCAGACTAGAATGGCATTACGTTGTGACGTAATGCAAAAAGTGCACATTATCGTCTGATAAAGTACTGTCGGCGCCTTTGATCTTTCACCGAAGCATCTTAGAATATTGCATATAATTCAAACACTGTCTTTGGCCACAGAATCGTTGTAATACAGTGAAGTGACACATCACACATTTGATTTAATTTGATTTGATCTCACAATGCCAATACTGAGGAATTGAAATATTACAGACTGCAAGTGTACCGGCCGCTGAGGGTGGGGTCCAATCTTGGGAGCGACCATGGACCGTGGGAGAGATGAGAAAGGAGGCCAACAACTGGTCACTAGCTGGGGATGCAGGGGTAAGATGAATGCTGATGGTTGAATGTTCTTTATCCTTCCAAATGATTTACACTTCAATTTTGCCATTGCCATTCTTGTACTTTTTAAAACATTTCAACCATGTCAACTGTTCATGATCAAGATTTTTTAAAACATACCTAAAACAGACTCAAATGGTAATTTGAGGATATTGAGTAGATGCAGAATGAACTTCAGCTTTTTATGCCACAAAATGTGAATTAGGTCATTGTGGGTTTCCAAAGTTGTTGCTGGTTTCCTGTTTAATTCTAACCATGATAAAAGAACAGAAGCATACCAACTCCGGTCCCCTGTTGCAGCTGCTTCAGTACCTCCAGGAATTCTCCCAGAAGGTGATCTCTCGAACACACGAGATCGGGAAGGAAGTGGATGGCCTTGTACATGAGGCCAAGGTAAGTACTCTATCAGAGTTAATCATGAATGTGACGATGTCAAACTTCAGCACTGACATTGTGACAACCATTTCAAATGAACATGCTGAAGTATGGGCAGCATGAGTTGCTTTGCCAAGGTTTCATCACAGATAGCTATTCCGTTTTTTATAAAGACTTTGGTTACATGCAGATGTAACTGGGCAAGATTGAGCTTGGAACCAAACATATTGAGTATTTGATAGTATTAGTTCCTTGTAATATTGAAACTGAATAACCCAACTACTTATCACTGCTGATGCTATCTTTAAGCTACTTCCACATTGACAGTATCCAAGTATCTGCTCATCACTCAGCTGTGTACTGTCATTTGAACTTGGAACTTAGCTTTCATCTTTAACTAACAAAGTTTAAACTACTTCCATGTTTGTATGTCAGAGGTTCACAGCATACTTGTGACAAGAAACTGAAACATTTGTCTTCCACAGCTGACTGGCGTTCGAGTCAACAATGTCTTCAATGACTTCATTATGCTGGCCAATACTCAGTTTGTGGAAAATGTAAGTTTACTGTAATTCTGTAAGAGAAAACAAATGAATGATGTTCTTTTTCAAAGTACCTGTTATATTTATACTAATCTGAAGTCTTCATTTCTCATTGAATCCGTGGTATAATATATGTTGACAAATATATGTAGATATTTGCCATGTGTATTTACTTACTAGGGGGCACTTGTGACACTCATGGCTGTCATATGAGTCACCACAGTTTGCTGAGCAGTGTTGTCTCACCCTGCAAGGATCTGCCGACCTAGGTTTTTCAGAAATGATACATGTCGGCCATTTGTCTCCCCTAGGCTGTTTTAACTGACACTGACAGGCCAAGATGTAGCGGAGATAGTGTTCAAATCAGGATTTATCTCAAACTTCCCTCTGTTTGTGTGTGTATGCAGGCTTTCCGTTTATTATTTGCATGGATTCTGTCAGGGGTGGAAATAACCTTAAAATTGCTAGTGTACTCCGTACAGTGGCACATGTAAAATCACTTGCCTTGATAATTTTTCCACTATACCAGCTGTTTGTTGATTTTTACATAAAGAACATAATTAACATTGAAAGTCAACTGGACATCAGTGTTATATACAAATTTGCTTGCCCGACATGAATAAAACACTGGACTCGGGCATCGGGACGTGGGTTATTTCCACCCTGTCTGTGTATATATACTGTGTGCCTACTGTATGTATATAAAGACATAGAGGAACATCTTTATTGCTTAAATAATGTTACCTTAATTATGCTTGCTACACTTAATGAAAAAGGAACATAGAAGCCCTGAAAGAAATGTCATTTAGCATGATCATAAACAATAAAGATGTTATCCTTCAAAATAATGCATGTCTTCATATTGGTCCACCTTTAAATCCTGTACACAGACTTGTGGATGTATTCTGTTTCTGCTGCAGAGAGTGTATGATGAGGATGTTAGTAATGCTGACCACGAAGAGGAAAAGAAGCCAGATCACGAGGTTAGTGGGCGTTCTGGGAGTCATAGTCTAATTAGAATAAGATGAATAGTTCAGTGGACAGAAGGAAGTGCTTAAAATACTGTGTTTGAATTTGAATTGTATCTGAGAATGAGTAGGAAGCTGAGCAATGTAATTTCTCAAAACAGATGAGGGGGACCACATGAGTAGGAAGCTGAATGCAATGATTGTCAGGATTTTACCCTTGATGCCCAAAACTGGATGATGAGGGGACCCCACAGAATCAATTATAAACATGCAGGAAATATGAGGGTTTTTCTTGTAATGTATCAACTGCACTTGTGTGTGGTTATGGGACAACATGTGCCTGAGGTTTCTCCTAGTTATACTATAGGACATTGAATGGAAATTTGTATTAATTAACATAATTGAAATGTAGAAGTAGCAAGTTCACCTAAAACTGAGCTTAGGACTCTAAAAAGTTGCCATGTATCTGGTGTATTTTTTGTGTAAAATAATGCTTTCTGATGGTTTATTTATGGGTTTTCATCACAGTATCATGTCTATCACACATCTGTTTGTGTGCGTTTCCGAAACAATCAGTCTCATGTTTCCATTTTGTTGATCATGTTAACATTTCTGGGTTAAAAGTGGACAAACAACACCCTCCCCTACTCCTTTTCCCTCAAGACAAAAATTCCTGGAGCTTGGACTTCATGATTTATGTGCACAGCATCCGCCCTACTCCAAAATCCGGGAACCGCCCCTGTGTACCACATGTATGTATCTGTGATGTATGATCTATTCAAGGAGAAGACCAGAGAGCAGCGTGAAGCAGAGCTGATACCTAAAGTGACAGAGGCCCTTCGATATGGCACAAATGTCATAGATGAGGCCTTTGAGAGACTGGAAACCAACATTGGTGATTCTGAATCAGAGGACGAGGAAGGGGGGTACCGAGCAGATCCCATCCTGGAGGCCAAGGTGAGACAGGCGGAAACAATCACACCATGGGATTTGATGTCTTTGGAAGATAGCCAGGATGTAATCATTTCTTTGAACTGGCCTTGTCTCATCCTTGTAGTATTCTTAATTCATAACTATTGTTAACTGGTGTTTTTGAAGTGTGAAGTTTGAATCAATTCTGAGTGTTAGTGCTGTGAATGTTTCCATAATAATTTGTGAAAATTCTGCACAGGATCCATACGTGACCCGCTACCTGCCTTTGTTGATCGGCAGCCCAGGGTTCCTGGAGGATGATAATGTTGGTCTCGTGGAGGATGTCTCAGGTGGGTACATCACATCAAGATATGAATCCTGCATTCTGAACAAGCTTAATATCCACCCCTAGTCATTGGATCTTTTCACCCATTTAATGCTCTTCTACGTCAGACATAATGTCTAGTCCCCCCGATAATGTCAGCAATACAGACAATATTAGATAGCTGAAATAACTTTTGAAGGAAACGTTTCGTATGCGTAGGGGTTTGCAGGTCAGAATGGCGTGATCGTAACCCATGGTTGTAAGGTGCAACTTAGTTGACTGGATGGTCAAGCTTGATGACTTATTTGATGGACTGATTGACTGACTGAGTTTGGTTTTACGCCGCTTTTAGCAATATTCCAGGAACATCACTGCCGGGGACACCAGAAATGGGCTTCACACATTGTACCCATGTGGGGATTCGAACCCGGGTCTTCGGCGTGACGAGCCAACGCTTTAACCACTAGGCTACCCCACCACCCCCTTATTTGATGGAGGGGCGTTGGGGTAGCCTAGAGCTTAAAGCATCTGCTTATCATGCCAAAGGTCTGGGTTCGATTCCCAACATGTGTACAATGTGTCAAGCCCATTTCTGGTGTCCTTCGCCGTGATATTGGTGGAGTAATGCTAAAAGCGGTGTAAAACCATACTCACTCACTGATTTGATGGCTTGTCATTGTAAAAATACAATAACATTCAATGGATTCTGTAGTTCTCAGTCTTGACTATTTACAGGGTGTAATCATATAACTGGAATATTTTCTGTACATGAAGCTTTGAAAGACAAGTACACATATTACTTTCATCACTGCTTCAACAAAAATGATGTCATTTGAAAAATTATCTTTTAATCTCATTCATGCTTTTCATTTCCATCTGTCTTGGTCTGGAACAACAGGAGGAGAGGAGACAGATCATGGCAGCATCAGCGAGAGTGAGGCTGAGGGCTCCGAGACAGAGGTGAGTTTATCGCTTGTGCTAGAGGTAGATGTAACCTCCCTGTGTAGTTGACACATGACAACCGTTGTAGCGTCCAGGAAGTCATGCTCCGAATAATGTCTGTATGGTGGCCTATGTGTCAAATGGATGACTGTGTGTCTGAGAAGATTAAGTATTGATTAGTAAGGGCCAGTTAAATAATCAATTGGTCACTTGTCTGTTAATTTTGAAGAATTAAAAATGTATGGTACAAAGGTGTGAGATGCTGTTTGGTGACAAGTGAACCTTGTTTGAGCAGTCAGTTACAGGGATCCCAATTGTCCCGACCAATTTTCACATATTCCAATGATTATCTATAATGACTACTGTTATTCTTAACCAGGGCTATGACAGGTGAATGGAGTCAAAATCAATTAAGTACGACATCGATAAGATTTCACGTCGGTATTTATAAATACCTTTGCTCGCGTCTAACATTTAATTTCCATATCGTGCAAATGGAAATCTATGTATGATAAATACTTGTCAAGTTTCTTTTGTAAAACAACCAGGAGTTACACATGATATAAACCCCGACAGTAGGAAACCCTTGGTTGCTATGCAACGATATTAACCACTATTTTTCGATTGGCTAAAAACTACACTGTTCCTATTTATATCCAGTCAGACCTGACATTTCAGCGATCACACCATCGCTCAGTTATTTCTCATGGGGACTTCAAATACAAATACATGGTTGGAAATAGTGATCACTGAATCGTCCAGACAAACCACATCACCAATTCGCTCACACAAAAACATGTAGGATACTTTAGCCAAATTCTCAGTACACCTCCACTTGCAATATGATGTGTAAGTACACTCACACCCCCAAAAGTTATCTAGAGCCCTGCTTAACCAATATGAATGAATGGATGGATGGATGAATGAATGAATACTAGTGTTATTCTTAATGGATGGATGAAATTTGTACACCAGTTTATACTTACTTTAAGGCAGGTGCATTAAGTCATGTTTATGTCATCGCCTGGAGCTGATGGAGCGGACATTTATTACTAACATATGCATGCATGCTGCTTCTAACAAGAATGTGTTTTTGTAACATTTAATCCATGTACTTAGTGCTAATAGGAGTTTTTATCATTAATGTTATAATCCTTACCTTATTCTGTAATGTAGAAATAATGTATGTAATGGGTGTGAATTTGCATGTATGTGTATTTGTTCTTTACAACAGTATTTGTATAGTATCAGGGGTGGAAATAACCCATTGCCCGACGCCCGAGTCCAGTGTTTCTTACTGTCGGGCAAGCAAATTTGTATATCACACTGTATATCACTGACTTTCCAATATTAATTATGTTGTTTATTTTAAAAATCAACAAGAAAACGTCCGGTATAGTGGAATAATTATCAGGGCAAGTGATTTTACATGTGCCACTGTACCGGAGTACACTAGCAATTTAAAAGTTATTTCCACCCCTGAGTATTACTGGACATGTTTCTATATGCATGTGTTTTAGCATCATCCTCATGATCCAGGAGATATAACTGTTAACATACAGCTAGAGTTTGTTCTATATTCTGTGTCTACTTACCACTTCATGACAAATGACCTTCACACCACAAGGCAAACTTAGTGCAATGACTGTTATGTCTGTTATTGGATTGGAATGAAAACAGTTGGAGATGTGACCTTCATGATTTTATAATGTGGCTTGGAAAGCTAAGGTTTTTGAGTAGGGACAGACATGAGGCTATGATTATCTGACAGGTATTAGAGGTGTAACGACATGGTGAGGCCCATGGGATATGTATCCTTTTAAGATGAGTGTGATGCAATTCATATCACAATACACTACTTCTTTTTCAAAGTTCATATTCTCTTCCATTTTGTGGGTGAATCACAGTCCTTAATCATTTCATTTCATGCTTCAGAAGGGAAATTGCAGGGAGAAACATATAAGCTTGGGGACACTGCACATCCTGCTGTTCAGAGCCAAGTGGGAAATAAAATGCATAAAAGAATGCATAAAAGAATATGCATAAACTCATTCTTGAACAGTGTCTGTTATTATTCACATGTTTTACATCAGTAGACCTTGTAATATAACAAATCATATATTATGATGCATAAGTTCTAACTGATGTGTTGTTTCATGAGCCTAGTGAGTGAGTTTAGATTTAAGCCGCTTTGTACAATATTTCAGCCAAATCACAATGGGGAACACCAGAAATGGGCTCATGAGTGCAGTATAACAATACTGTACAATCACGTCATTACACCACTAAAGCCTAGGTGGGGCTGGGACTGTTACTGGGTTGTGACTGTCGTCAGTCGGGGTAACGGTCAGTCCTAGAGATGCCACTGTTTGTTACTGTTATTGTAGTCTATATTTGGAGAGGGAAGTCAGTCATAGTACTGAGATTGCTTTGTGTAATGGAGAACCAGAATGCCAAGGAACAATCCACGAAAACATCGACCCAGATTCATTCAGTGATATATGATTCACATTAGATTCAATATTGAAACATTGAGGTCAGGTTGAATCCTACTGAATGTTGCCAAGTCATGTACTACTCCCACAATGAGCTAGCTTCCCTACGACAACCTGCTGCTGTACCTCAGCTTATGCATGTTTTACTTGTGTAGTCCGATTCCGAGCTTGAGGAGAAGAAGATAAACAGGGCCCGTCGTGCCACCCGTGTGTCGGACGACTCTGATGAAACAGAGGTAGAACTTGTCTTTGTCATTTTTTTAACTGACCATTTTACTGTTACATGAACATTTTATTTTATTTTTGTTAAATACTTGTGGAAGAATTATAGAATCCATTGTTTCACAGTAATATTTTCGGATGTTTATGGTCAGTTATGTTCCATTGGTGGTCTTACGTTTCTTGTCTGTATGATTAACACAATGTGTTGTAGTTAGCATGGGTAGAATAGTGTCTTTTCCTGATACTGGCCTCCACTTAGCTCTACGGGGACAGTTTATTAGGCTGGGTCCCGATGTAACGGTACAACCTGTCGTAACTCTATAGTTTATCATAGGCTTACGAATGTCTTAGCGCCATAAACATTTGTGGGTCGGGACCCAGGAGAGTGGCTGTCCCAGACATGTGCACACACCACTTGTGTCTATGGTATATAGAATGTAAATATAGATGCTAACATCACTGATAGTGCAGTCTACTGGTTTCCTAGCTAACACTCAATGTTCTTAAGGATTTTAGTGTCCACAGAACATTTTTAGTCTTTCATATGTGCAATAGAATTGTGAAATTCATGACATCAGTGGAGGTCAAACCAGAGCAAAACACTTGCAATAAACTGGCAGTTTGCAATGCACCCCTGGTTTTAATTGCTTTGATTAGTCAAATAGTGGGGTTCTAGGAAACATTGGCACATATGAGAAGCATCATTTCTAAGGGGAAGAGTTTGCTGAGGGGAAGGGTTTGCTAAGGGGAAGGGTTTGCTAAGGGGAAGGGTTTGCTAAGGGGGGAAGGGTTTGCTAAGGGGAAGGGTTTGCTAAGGGAAAGGTTTGCTAAGGAAGGGTTTGCTAAGGGAAGGGTTTGCTAAGGGGGAAGGGTTTGCTAAGGGGAAGGGTTTTCTAAGGGGAAGGGTTTGCTAAGGAAAGGGTTTTGCTAAGGGAAAGGGTTTGCTGAAGGGAAGAGGGGAAGGGTTTGCTAAGAAGGAAGGGTTTTCTAAAGGGGAAGGGTTTGCTAAGGGGAAGGGGTTTGCTGAGGGGAAGGGTTTGCTAAGGGGGGGTTTTCTAAGGGAAGGGGGTTTGCTAAGGGGAAGGGTTTGCTAAGGGGAAGGGTTTGCTAAGGGGAAGGGTTTGCTAAGGGGAAGGAAGGGTTTGCTAAGGGGGAAGGTTTTGCTAAGGGGGAAGGGTTTGCTGAAGGGGGAAGGGTTTGCTAAGGGGAAGGGTTTTCTAAGGGAAGGGTTTTGCTAAGGGGAAAGGGTTTGCTAAGGGGAAGGGTTGCTAAGGGGAAGGGTTTGCTAAGGGGAAGGTTTTCTAAGGGAAGGGTTTGCTAAGGGGAAGGGTTTGCTGAGAGGGAAGGGTTTGCTAAGAGGAAAGGGTTTTCTAAGGGGAAGGGTTTGCTAAGGGAAGGGTTTGCTAAGGGGAAGGGTTTTCTAAGGGAAGGGGATTTGCTAAGGGGAAGGGTTTGCTAAGGGGAAGGGTTGCTAAGGGGAAGGGTTTGCTAAGGGGGAAGGGTTTGCTAAGGGGAAGGGTTTGCTGAGGGGAAGGGTTTGCTAAGGGACAGGCTATGTTCAAGCTAATGGGGTTTGAAGGCTGACATGTTTCAGATAAATGGGGTTTGAAGGCTGATGTGTTGTGGACTGATGGGGTTTCAGGGACGATGCATTTTGGACCAATGTAGTTTCAGGGGGATGTGATTCAGACTAATGTAGTTTCAGGGGGATGTGATTCAGACTAATGGAGTTTCAGGGGGATGTGATTCAGACCAATGGAGTTTCAGGGGGATGTGATTCAGACTAATGGGGTTTCAGGGGGATGTGATTCAGACCAATGGAGTTTCAGGGGGATGTGATTCAGACTAATGGGGTTTCAGGGGGATGTGATTCAGACCAATGGAGTTTCAGGGGGATGTGATTCAGACTAATGGGGTTTCAGGGGGATGTGATTCAGACCAATGGAGTTTCAGGGGGATCTGATTCAGACTAATGGGGTTTCACTTTAGTTATTGCAGCAGGTTCCCAGTGTTGTGCATGAAATGCTTTCATGGTGTTGTAATGGTATCAGAGACAATCTGTCAGCTGACTGCTAATGTGCATGGGTTACCATGGTTACAGTGGGGGATATCTGTGCATGCCTTTTCAGTTACCTCATGCCTAATTCAGATTCGTATTGACTGTTCCAACCTCTAGTTTGATTGGAGAATGGGCAATATTTGTGTGTTCTGTCATGTCTCTGTTTGTTAGGCGTACAGATATTAAATGTCTCATGTTTGATTAAAGTCTGTTTTAAGTGTTTCATATTTGATACAAGTCTATTTAAGTGTTTAATGTTTGATGGAAATCTATTTTAATGGTTTATATTTGATGGAAGTCCATCTATCAGGTGATTTTGCCAATTGTCTTGTGTTTCATGTACGATATTGCCATATATGGAGTATTGCATGTTTACACCAAATGTTTTATGTTTGCTTGGAGTATATGTATGAGGTGTGTGTTATGTCATCAGAGTGAGGATGATGATGAGGAGAGTGATGAAGACATGTTCAGCAGTAAGCCCAAGAAGCGTGCTGATGAAGACAGCGACGATGATGAAGAGACGAGTGAGGAGGGAACCAGCTCAGAGGAGGAGAAGGGCGATGAGGAAGACACAGAGAAACCTGCTGCTCCTGCTGTGAGTATCATCATCATCATCATCATCATCATCATCAGGTATAAACTTTGAAGGCTGAACAAGGATTGAAGGGTTTAGATTTGGTTTGTGGATGGTCTTCATGAATAACAAGTGAAGGCAAACATCCACTGAAGACTGTCAGGATTAGGGTCACTCACATGACTCGAAGACAGTTATGTTTATCTCTTTCAATCAAATCAACATTTGATGTGTTGCTTATGAAAACAGATCATATTTTACAAACAACCAAACTGGTCTGCATTGATGAAGTCAGAGGTTCATGTCAAGCTCAAACTGCCATGAGATGATATGTTTGCCATTTACTGATTTAATTAGGCTAGGCTAAACTTTAATATTTTGCCGTAGTCAGTACCATCATCCAGGGAGCCATCATAGAGTATTCCTTAGTGACCTTATGAATAGTTTGGGCTGAGGTTTGATGTGACAGGAATGTGTTTTTAACATTCTAGGGTGGTCGTGACTTTGCCTCTGAGTTAGCTGCCAGAATAGGAGCTGCTGTCCCCAAACCCTCACCTGTTGTTGATGACGATGATGATGATGCAGATCAGGAGGTGGAAGAACAACCCAAACAGACAGGTGTGTTAGAGAATATCTATGTGACAGTGGTACATGGGTTACCATGTGTATCTAGTTTATACACGTTAACATGGGCAGTTTTGGGGATGGGGGATGCGGTTGCGGATGTTGATCGTGAAAATTTGGCTGGTAGGTCAAAATATTTTATTTATTAAATGATTTCCTCAATCACCTTAAAGACTGACTGGGATCTAGAGGTGCTTTTAAAAAAATCAGGGTTTAGATCTCTAATCAGAGAGCAGTATTTCATTTTCATTTTGTCTCAGGTATATTCTACAGATGGAAATATAAAAACTGCTATTTTTCTGACTTCATTTATTTTCTGATTTTTCAAAGCCAGGACCCTTTTTATTTTTAAGGTTTGCTGAACTGTAAACCAAGCAAAACTGAACTGGTTAGGCCTTATGTATGTCCTGGTGATGCTTAGAAAATATGTTTTTATTGCAGCTAAGAAGAAGTCAGGGAAGAAAGAAAAGAAACACAAGACAAAAGCAAAGCATGTCAAGGCTGATGATAAAAGTTGGTACAGTTTAATGTGTTAATAGTGTAGGACTCACTGCTAGTTATTCTCAGTTCCTGTTGTCATCCCTTTCCAGTCACTTTCAGATGTATTCATGTTACCGAGAAAAGACTTTAGTGAGTTGTGTTATTTTCTGCATTTATTGAGTGCTGGAATGTGACATATGCTGGGAATATCTATCAGCTCTAAGATGGCAGGAATAGGTGAATATGGAAACGAATTTGACTGTTGAGTGAATTCCCTGTGCTGCTGTTCACAGTAACACCCTCTGAGCAGTAGGAGACTGGATGGCCGAGAGACCCATCACTAAATAGTTCACACCCTAGCTAACATCATCATGATCATGATTCAGTGGCAATGTGCTATTGGTGTGCTTAAATGTCAGGCTGCCATGAATATGCATCAGCTGCCATGAATATGCATCAGCTGCCATGAATATGTACAGGCTGCCAAGAGTGTGAAGAGGTTGATATGGCTATGTAAGACATAGAGTTTGAATATTGCAATAGCTCCTTTGCAGCATACTATAATAACCAAAAGTAAAGAACTCTAGTTCCTACTATGTGTTTCAGATCTGTTCAGTGCTCCTGGTGGTGGTGAGGAGGATGACGACACTCCGTTCGGGAAGTCGGGGGGATTGTTCACCAGCAGCACGGGGTTGTTCGACGAAGACCAGGACGACTCGGTGAGTAGGGAATACAAGGGCACAAGTACATGTGTGATACTAATTAGTGACTATTGAGGGGGAAACAACTATTGCAATATTCTATTGCAACAGCGATAGTCTTTTGTGACCAACTATTGCAATATTACTATTGCAATAAAAAAAATTCTCATTGAATTGTCCCATTTGAAGTCATTTCCCAAATGAATGTATAGTTTATATGAAATAAAAACAAACTAAAGTAGTTTCAGTCTCTTTTAATAACTGACAAGGAACTTGATACCCAGTACAAGTTTGTTTAAGAGGTAACAGGGGCAGATAACTCTAAATGAAATTGAACGAATATGGTACTTCCTGTATTTTGCGCTGCACATTTATCAACAGAAGTCAATTACTAAACTCTTTATAGTCATACATACTATTGATGCAGCGATAGTTTTTCATTTCTACCATTGAATAGCTGCTGTCAGAGACTCAACATTTGCAATCCATCGATATTTCGATGCATCATTAAAGCCCTAATAATAACAGTCCATTCACCAAGTAAAGATTCATGGTGCTAGATTATTATTACACCAGTCAATGGATCAATGTAAACTTTAAATTCATTCCCTGCTCCCTGGGGAATATGCAGCCCATGCCTTTGTATGAGGCACTTGAAGTCATTTTACCATCTGAACCTACATGGGATCGGTTTGAGGCTTGACTCACAGATGTGTATTTCATAAAAAGTCTGTTGCCCGATGATACACCACTTGTGTCTTTGTTTCAATATGGGTACACAGTTCTACAAACACTCAAGATCAGAGCTTGCTAAACAAGCCTCTGATGTTGTAACATTACTGTAAGGATGCTTGTTAGACCATGTGTGCCATGGCTGCTGTGTGCTTGATAGACCATATGTGACATGGCTGCTGTGTGCTTGTTACACCATGTGTTTCATGGCTGCTGTGTGCTTGTTAGACCATGTGTGTCATAGCTGTCGTGTGTTTGTTAGACCATGTGTGTCCTGGCTGCTGTGTGCTTGATAGACCTGCTGTGTGTTTGTTAGACCATGGTCTGGCTGTGTGCTGTTGTTTGTTAGACCATGTGTGTCATGGCTGCTGTGTGCTTGTTAGAACATGTGTGTTTATGGCTGCTGTGTGCTTGATAGACCATGTGTGTTTATGGCTGCTGTGTGCTTGATAGACCATGTGTGACATGGCTGCTGTGTGCTTGTTAGACCATGTGTGTCATGGCTGCTGTGTGCTTGTTAGAACATGTGTGTCATGGCTGTTGTGTGTTTGTTAGACCATGTGTGTTTGTTAGACCCTGTGTGTCATGGCTGTTGTGTGTTTGTTAGACCATGTGTGTCATGACTGCTGTGTGTTTGTTAGACTATGTATGTCATGACTGCTGTGTGTTTGTTAGACCATGTGTGTCATATGTGTTGTCATGACTGCTGTGTGTTTGTTAGACCATGTGTGTTTGTTAGACCATGACTGCTGTGTGTTTATTAGACCATATGTGTTTGTTGTTATGACCCTGTGTGTCATGGCATGACTGCTGTGTGTTTGTTAGACCATATGTGTCATGGCTGCTGTGTGTTTGTTAGACCCTGTGTGTCATGGCTGTTGTGTGTTTGTTTAGACCATGTGTGTCATGACTGTTGTGTGTTTGTTAGACCATGTGTGTCATGAATGCTGTGTGTTTGTTAGACCATGTATGTCATGGCTGCTGTGTGATTGTTAGACCATATGTGTCATGGCTGCTGTGTGTTTGTTAGACCCTGTGTGTCATGGCTGTTGTGTGTTTGTTTAGACCATGTGTGTCATGACTGTTGTGTGTTTGTTAGACCATGTGTCCATGTGTGTCATGCTGTGTGTGTTTGTTTAGACCATGTGTGTCATGACTGCTGTGTGTTTGTTAGACCATGTGTGTCATGGCTGCTGTGTGTTTGTTAGACCATGTGTGTCATGGCTGCTGTGTGTTTGTTTAGACCATGTGTGTCATGGCTGTTGTGTGTTTGTTAGACCATGTGTGTCATGACTGCTGTGTGTTTGTTAGACCATGTGTGGCATGACTGCTGTGTGTTTGTTAGACCATGTGTGACTCATGTTTGTTAAGACTGCTGTGTGTGTGTTTGTTAGACCATGTGTGTCATGACTGCTGTGTGTTTGTTAGACCATATGTGTCATGGCCAGACTGTGTGTGTTGGCTGTTAGACCCTGTGTGTCATGGCTGCTGTGTGTGATTGTTAGACCATGTGTGTCATGGCTGCTGTGTGTTTGTTAGACCCTGTGTGTCATGACTGCTGTGTGTTTGTTAGACCATGTGTGTCATGGCTGCTGTGTCCTTCAGGGTGGCCTGTTTGATGACGTAGAGCAGCCACCCAGGAAGGCCTGTTTGGAAACAGTCCAAGAAGAAGGTAGTGCAGGAATCTGAGGAGGAAGAAGAAGAGGAAGAACCAGTTAAAGGTAGGAGTAATTTTCAAGTACCTTGTCCATACTATCAATGGTGTCAGAATTTGGAATTGTTAAAAATGATTGATTTGTGTTTGTGTAGATTTTACATGCTCACAAACTTTAAAACAATGGAGTTCTTGGTTAAAAATATCAGAGATTAATTCAAGTTAAACCTTTTGCCAGAAATCAGACCCAGGACAGCGAGTGGGAAAAAACTACCCAAAGGAGCTGTGTCCATATTTGGAGGTGAGGCCAAGGCGTGAGAGTGTATAAAGTACTTATAACTGTTGTCTTGTCATCAACAATTGGAACAAGTGTTAAATGTTGATATTATATAGTATGACCAGAAATTATTAAGAATTTTAGGAATATGTTTAATTGGATTTCTAGTATAAACAACCTTGACCAGCTATCAAGTGCTTGGTTTCATTCAAGAGAGACAACTCCGTTAATCCTTTTTCATTAGTTTGTAAAGAGTTATCCCCCTTTGTTTACTTGCTAGCAGACGACATTTTCAGTGATCCTCAGTATGGATGATTTAGAGAAAAGAAAGTTGATTTTAGAGTGTTATAACAAGGACATCAGATCAGCTAAAGTGATTTCAAGTAGAACAGGCATCCCTTTGTCCACTGTTTATCGTGTTTTGAAAAATATTGCAAATAGATATGGCATTGAGCACCAGGTAGGCCCAGAAAATTGACTGTCGGTGACAGGAGGCGGCTTGGTTTTCTAGTTTCTAAAAACAAACGAAGGAGTTTAGAAAACTTAAGGCTGGATATGATTGATAGAGGAACTGTGGCTGTCTGTAAGGAGACAATTAGAACTGAGCTGCATGCAATGGGTTGGCAGAAAAGTCGAGGAATTCCATCACCGATCATGAAACCTGAACAAAGAAGCGAAGGTTGAACTGGTGCTTACAGCATAGAAATTTGAACTGGGACAATGTGATTTTCTCAGATGAAAGTTCTGTGTGGCTGTTTCCTAATACACTGAAATTCTGGACCAAACAAACTGAAAAACCTTTGTACCAGGGCCCAAAGTACAGTCCGAAGTGGACCACGACTTTCTAACTTCTTTGATCAGTAGTATGCCCCTCCGCATTGAAGCCTGCATTGCTGCCCACGGTGACTTGACAAAATACTAACTGTTCACCTGTCTTTGAATCTGGAGTGATGTGCGGCTAATATTCACATTTAATACGTGAGTAATGAGTGAAAACAAAATAAAAATTACGATCTTAAATTCTCAATAATTTCTGGTTGTACTGTAATTAGTGATTGAGAGATTTTGGATTGTTTGAGCTGACTAGGATTATGTGGTCACAAGTTCAGATTTACCAACTAGGCCATACCTACCACCCCGATGTGAACTCGAAAGCTGCTGTTCAAGACTTGATTTAGTCAGAAATATAGAAGGAATATTACTGGTTTTGATCTGATATTCACTCACTAACTCCGCTGTCTGCTTTGATTTGATATTGACTGGTTCTGTCTTCTCCCATCTCCAGACGGTGATTCAGGTCTGTTCGGCAGCTCCATCAAGGAGGAGGACGAGGCCCCAGCACCCAGGAAACAATCCAAGTCCAAACCTGCTGCTGCTAGTGTAGGAGGGGGGCTGTTTGATGAGGAGGAAGATGAGGGGAAGGATCTGTTTGCTTCAGTTCCTGCCAAGAAGACACAGCCTAAGAAAGGTACAGGCATCACCTAAAACTCAGATCATTTGTAATATCTCAGAAGCACGGAGCTTGCATTATTACTGCCTTATTATCTTATAGTTAACACTTCAGTGTATTTACTAAAGGGAATAATTCTCCCTTCCACTTGACATAGAGGGTGTCCATATGTATGAACGATAGTTTATGTCAAGCTGAGGATCACATAGACCATGATGCATCATTTTGTCTGCTGATATTTTTCTTGAATTTTGACAGAAGTAGTATAAACATTATTTTTCCTTATCCTGACTCATGATCTTTGCTTATCTCCCTTTCCCTTTCGAATGGTAGTGGAACACTTGAATCCCTTGAAGTTCACGAAAAGCGGATGTACAATACTCACCCACGAGTTACCTCCCTTCCTCTTTCCCGCACAAACGTACAATGTGACGTGCCCAGACTTGTCACTCTCTCCCTTTTCGCCCAAGCGGATGGTTGGGCGAGCACTGGAGTCCCGTATACGGCAATCTATCATTTATATTTAGGCCTATTCTTCTAAATTAAGCTGTGTATGGTTTTGTTTATAATTACGATGTAGTATTTGTACAAATTTGTTGAAATTTATTGACTTTCACTCGTGTTTTTCATCGTGTTGTAACTTTGTTTACAATTTATGAAATCCTGCTGTGTGTGTAAACACAGATTGTCTCTGGCTGATCCTCACCCCCAATGTCCATCATGTACAGATCCATCTTCATCCACCTTGCGTTGTAGCTACTGTATTGATTTAACTGAATTACAATTTAATCAATATCTGTCATATATTTATAGACGTGCCATGGATCGGGTGAAAAAGACATCTCTAGTCACGTGATAAATCTGGAGATCAGCCCCAAAACCGTATGTTGCTTGCTGCTGATGTTCATAATAGTGATATGTTGCCTAGTACATTACAGAGCCAGTCTGCGGCAAAGGGGGCTAAGAAAAGGTCGTCAACCTCGTAACCTACGCCGTCCCAGTCTAAGAAGAAGACGGTGTCCTCTTCTACTACGCAGAGAAAGTCTACGAGTACTAGATCTGAGAGCAAAACTACACGTGCTACCGCTGCTACGCAGAGATCTTTCAACGATGTGATCGTACCGCCGCATGAGAAAGACGTGTTTGACGACCCCCCTATACTACTACCTGAGGTATCGATGACATCTATGACACAGTCGATGTCAACTACTACTAGATCACCTATGAATGTCACAGCAGGCCAGCTGTCGGACATAGGGCCTCTTCCTTCGAGGACAGAAGCTGAGGCACGGAAAACAGCATCGCAGCCGATTCAACAAATGCAGAACTTCGACCCGGGGGAGTTCATGACGCAGTTCACCAACAAGATGATGGCTATGATGGAGCAGAGATTCCAGCAAGAATCAAGGAAGACCCAACAGTCAAACCCACTGGCCTGCGCGAATCTACACCCATCAGAGCTACATCTGCAGTTGATGTTGGCGAACGTACTCCTCCGCGAAGGCCTCCACAACCGGACGACTCCGTCATACTACGAGATAGTCAAGATGAGACGCAGTCCACGTTCGCTAACCCTCAAGGTTCGCCAACCTCTAAGAAGCCTGCCTCGACGCCTAGCCGATCCAGATCCAGATTACCATGCAGACGTTCGCGAAGGCACAGCTCACCACACGGAGGTTCGCTGAAGAGGTTCCAGAGAGAGACGTTCGCGAAGGGAACGCTCTTATGACAGACGTTCGCTCAGGGAGGAATCTTCAGCTGCAGGTTCGTGAACCCAGGATGAAGGTTCGCGAAGGGATACAGGCTCACACAGAGATACGTCAACAAGACACAGCTCTCTGACTCAAGACACTACGGACCCCGTCTTCTCGGACTCTGAAGTAACGGCTTGGATTGCTAGCGGGTTGAGCCTGGAGTCTCCCTCTAAAGATAGGAACGAATATTACACCTACATGATGAAGGATGAAGACTTCGACTCCGTCACAATCCCACCGATCGAGCCTATATCCAGCGTACCGGACAGTCTTCGCACAGCCTTCGCGAAGGCTTCCAAGTTCCAGACGCAGCAATTACCATCTTTTAATAAGAAGAGATTCCCCCTACATCACATGGAACCATTTGTGAAGGCGCCGGAGTGGGACGACAACATCAAGTTGGTAAACGATGCCAGGACTAACGTGTATAAGGTGGATGATAAGAAGTTATCACAAGTAGATACAGCTTCTAGAAGATCTTTCTTCGGACTAGCAAGATCTAGGGCCATCAACGAAGCGTTGATACAGAAATTCCAGAATTCCACCACGGAAGAGGATAAAATGATCTACTCGGCCCTCGTCACACAAAAGAAGGATCAGTTCTTCCTATCGGACCACCTCACATCGATTTCGGCGGCAATCACCTTAATACGCAGACAGGGTCTACTGGCGTCCTGCTCCTGGAATGACAGATTTACGCAGCCTCTACTACGAGCTCCGTGGGAGGCACCTACCATCTTTGGAGGTCTATTGGACGATGCAGCTAAACAAGCTACACAAGACTCCAGAGAGGTGATGATGATCAAGACCATAGACACCTTGGCCAACGTCATCCGCCATACATCCCAGAGATATAACAACAAGTCTAAGTATGCTGGGATACAGAGAGCTAAAGACAAAAAGTACTCCAGCTCCAGAGGCGGGAAGGACTCTTTTCGTCGCCCTTCAGGCAACTACAGAGGAAACTCAGGAAGAGGCCGCGGCCCCAGAGCTTCCAGAGGTACCAGACGCTGATGCCAGAGTTTGGAACGACTGGAGTCTTCCACCCCCAGCCGTTCCTGTAAAACTATCGACAGTGGGTGGACGTCTACAAGGGTACTGGAAAAATTGGGGAATTTTAGGAGACGACTACGCCTCTCAGGTACTAAGAGAAGGGTACAAAGTACAACTGAAAGACGCCCCTCCGTTAACCCTCAGCCCGATGGTCTTCAAGTACGCAGAGGATCAGGCAGACAGATTACAAGAAGCCATCAACGCACTTCTCTCAAAAGATGCAGTTGAGATAATAGACCAGAATCATCTCACCCCAGGCTTCTATTCCCCAATTTTCCTAGTACCAAAGAAGAACTCCTTAGAGAAGTTCAGACCGATTTACAATGTGCGCAAATTAGAGCTGTGTATCGTTGCCTAAGTGGCTAGACGATATATCCCGATACTAATTTAATGAGGTGAGGCGATATATCATTAAAGTATTGGCAAAGGAACCTGCTTGAGGCGATTATCATCCGCGATGCACAGTGATGGCGATACGATACTTATACGATACTTTACAATCATAAAAACAGGACATATATGATAGATAAAATGACCGAATCTTTATTTGTTATTCAGCAGAGCATGTGTTACATTCACACACACTTAAAAGGCTGTTCGTGTAATAAAGTTTCAGCATTTAATGCTTAAGAAAGTACAATCAAACATATTCAGTATACCTTGCTCTAGGTTTCCCTTGGAAAGTTGTGTTTCTGCACCAATGCTTGCACAGGCAATGTATGCAGTAATTTATACCAGAATCACTGCAAAAAACTCATAAGTATGCTTTCTAAATTTTGTCTTCTCTTTCTTAACAAAGCTAAGACATCGTTCATTGTTGTTAATAAATGGTGTTATTTGTCAAACAACTAAAACATGTTTCATTTACTTAAAGACAAGTCTTTACAGTTCACAGAGATTGTTCACATGCTTTCACTGATACACTAACTCCTTTGTTCATGTAACAAAGATGGCAAACACAAACAATTCCTTTTCGCAAATTCAACAGAGACTACCTACTGAAACCAGAGAGGTTCAGCATGATCCACCTACCTCAACTGAAACAACTTCGTCCGTCCAGCAGATTATTACATGGCCAGCATAGACTTACAGGATGCGTACCTACACATCCCGATACATCAAGAATCAAGGAAATATCTACGATTCCTGTTCAGAGGGCAACACTACCAATGGAGCGTGCTACCGTTTGGAATATCTTCGGCTCCGTGGCTATTCACATGAATAACCAAGCCTATAGTCGCATACCTTCATCAACGAGGTCTACACAATGCCTTCTACCTGGACGACGGGATTCAGGTCCACCAAGATGCAAGTCTACTCAGACTACAACTGAACTTCACGATCAAGTTGCTCACTCAACTGGGATGGTTGGTGAACCTAAGGAAGTCAGAATTGGAACCAAAACAAGATCTACAATTCCTGGGGATAAGATTCATCACTACAGAGAATCGAATCGTCATCCCAGAGGATCGATTGGTCAAGATACAAGCCATGATTCCGCCAGCAGTCACCTCTCCGTTAACACTACGATCATGGCAAGTTCTCCTCGGTCTACTAACCTCGGCGCAAGACTTGACGCACATAGGAAGGTTACAGCTAAGACCGCTACAACGGTTCCTCATAAAGCATCTGGATAGTGTCGACCCTATCCTGCTGCCCGAAAACCTCAAGAGGTACCTACTATGGTGGACACACAGGTCGAATGTCTGCGAAGGAGTCTATTTACAAGAACCGGCCTTCGAGACACACCTCTACGCAGATGCCTCGTTGCAAGGATGGGGGGCACATCTCAACGATCAAGTAGCGTCGGGAAAGTGGTCTCATACAGAAGAAAAGCTCAATATCAATCTACTAGAGATGAAAGCAGTGATCAACGCTGTACAACTATGGTCGAGCTTGCTGAACAACTAGATGTTGATGATCCACACAGACAACTCCACAGTGGCATTCTCTATAAATCGGCAAGGATCCACAAGATCACCAAGCCTATTGCAGCTCACATTCCAGTTGTTCCAGATCACGCAAAAAGCAGACATCTGGATAAAGGCGTGTCACATACCTGGAGCCAAGTATGTACTAGCAGACGCTCTCTCAAGACCACTACACCCGTCACAAACAGAATGGATGCTCCATCCAGAAGCGTTTCGGAACATAAGGGAAATAGGATTCCCCTCCATAGACCTGTTAGCCCGAGGTTCAACAAACAACTGCAGGCGTTAGTCTCACCAGTTCCAGATCCTCAAGCCTGGGCAACAGATGCACTGAGCATGTCGTGGGAAGGACTAAATGGCTACAGCTTTTCACCCCGATACTACTGCCAAAGTACTGATCAAGATCAAACAGACACAGACACTACAACTGACTTTGGTGCGCCTTACTGGCCAGCGAGAGCATGGTTTCCAGATCTACTAGAAAACCTAGGAAGTCCAGTAATCAAACTTCCAGATTGGCCGAACCTACTGATACATCCGCACACCAAGCAAGTCCACGGAAACCCAGCAGTGTTCCAGCTACACGTGTGGACCGTATCAAAATGTGTTTGAAGAAAAAAGGATACTCCGCCAGAGCAGCCAAAGCAGTAACTCTAGCGTTACGCAGATCGACTCGCAACCTATACGACGATAAATGGCTGAAGTTTGAAACTTACGCAAGGCGGAAAGGCTTCACAGCCATAATAGCTAAAGTGGCGGAATATCTATGTCATCTGAGACGGACCAGACATCTAAAGGTTTCGACTCTATCGACTTACCTCGCTGCCATCAGTACAGTGATTACCATGAAAACAGGCATCAAGTTGACGAAAGTACCAGAATTACTTGCTCCACTGAGATCATTCAAGTTGGAAGACCAACAAAAGAAATTCGGAGCTCCAGCCTGGGACCTGAATGTAATTCTGCGTCATCTTACCAGTGATGTCTACGAACCACTAGACCAGATCATGATCGAGCTTCTAACACAGAAGACGCTGTGCCTGCTAGCGTTAGCCACTGCAGCTCGCATATCGGAGATACATGCGCTGGACTACGGTCGAACGACATTCGACAGAGGGCAAACTAATACGGTTCATCTAGGACTTAGATGGGACTTTATTGCCAAGAATCAACTACCTGGTCAACCAGATAGACAATTCCATGTACCAGCGCTGTCTACAGTCCTCGGCCCACAAGATATAGAGGACTTATCCTTGTGCCCAGTCAGAGCCTTGAAGGTATATCTTCAAAAGACTAAGACGAGGAGAAGGAAATTCAAGCGCCTATTCATCCCATTATCAACTGAGACATCAACTGAAGTCTCAAGAACGACCATATCGTTCTGGATGAGAGCCGTTATATTGAGAGCCTACAAAGCAGCAGGACTAGAACTTCCTAGAGCTTCCAACCCACACGAGTTAGAGTACTGGCGTCAACACTAGCTCCGCTTCTGCTAGGGCTGCTTCTGGGAGTCGGACACGGTGTTTGCCAACCACTACCTCCGAGACATAGCCACTGAAGACGTCTCAGGCATTCACCAATTTGGGCCTCTCGTTGTAGCACAGCAACTAACGGTTCCTCAAAGGTGCTGAGTTGAAATCTCACCCTTTATCACGTTGACTTGTAGATGACTTTTACTAGGAAAAGTATTAGTTTGAAAGTCCATGCGCACAGTCTAGGATAGACTAGCATGAGTGATTAAGATCCTGTGCGGGTAATGACCTTACCTGCACATAAAGGGATCGCAACTCATTTATGATAAAGACCTTATCATAATCCATGGGTTGTTATAAGATATCTAGTATAGGAGAATACTAGGTTATCTATAACCACACGAATCAACATGATTCAACTTGTCTGAGATTGAAGTAAGACAAGGAGTGGTCCCCCTGAGTTACTACGCAAGTTGGAAGAATAGGACCATGGAAATGCCGTTTGCAGTTCCCATGGGGGGGATACAGACGTATCTGAGGACAGCTGTTGAATCCAGTGGCTTGACCCACCACCTATTCCGACGGATTTTATAAGCAAAGATCATGAGTCAGGATAAGGAAAAATATGTAATTTTTAAAGTAAAATTGATATTTTATACTTATCCTGACTCATGACGAACAAGCCCTCCCAACCTTCCCGTTGAAGATACTTGTGATTTCACAGCAGATCCAAGTGCATGGACAAAAATATAAGGAGAGAGTGACAAGTCTGGGCACGTCACATGGTACGTTTGCGCGGGAAAGAGGAAGGGAGGTAACTCGTGGGTGAGTATTGTGCGTCCGCTTCGGGAACTTCAAGGGATTCAAGTGTTCCACTACCATTCGAAAGGGAAAGGGAGATAAGCAAAGATCATGAGTCAGGATAAGTATAAAATATCAATTTTACTTAAAAAATTACATACTCATTTGCATGATCACATCATATTCTGTTGTTGCAGAAAAAGATACAAAGACTTCATCTGCACCAAAGTCTTCCAAGGCATCTAGTGACCTGTTTGCTGACCAGGACGATGATGAGGAGGATCTGTTCATGGGTCAGTCGGCCGCTAGTACACGTAAGATGTCTGGATCCCAAACAGAGGAGGTCAAACCAAAGGCCAAGAAGGCAGAAAAGAAGGTAAACAGTTATCAAACACTATGTGCTGTAGAGCCAATAACTCACCGATTTTCAACAACTTGTACAAAAGTTAGATATTAATAGTGGTAATGTTAGATAATCAGCAGTTCAGTAGGCACTGAAGTCAGAAGTCATGCTCAGTTTTAATTTACTCTGCCTGCAGATAATTAGGACCTTTTCAGCTCATAAAAGCTGCTACCGCAGTGTAAACTTAATTCATGTTACAGCTGTTTGATAATTTACTATTTTGTGCACGAATTCAATGGATGTATGGTTATTTGTCTGCTGTTGCTGAAATGTACCAAGATGACAGCTCTGTATATAAGAATTGCAAAGTTTGCCTGTTATGTTGCAGTTGCCAGCAGGGGCAGTGTCAATGTTTGGGGGCGCGCCTAACCCACTTGCTGCAGCCATCAAGAAACAACGACCAGCTTCAGACAGCGAGGTAAGCTTGTATAAGGCGTGGACGTAGATAGAGAGTGGTAGATGTTCACTGTTTCCACTTGGATAAGGAGTGGGCATAGATAAGGAGTTGAGTGATGTTCACTGTTTCCACTTGCATAAGGCGTGGACGTAGATAGGGAGTGGTAGATGTTCACTGTTTCCACTTGCATAAGGAGTGGACGTAGATAGGGAGTGGAGGATGTTGTTCACTGTTTCCACTTGCATAAGGGTGTGGGCATAGATAAGGAGATGAGGTGATTGAGTGATGTTCACTGTTTCCACTTGCATAAGGAGTGGGCATAGATAAGGAGTTGAGTGATGTTCACTGTTTCCACTTGCATAAGGAGTGGGCATAGATAAGGTGTTGAGTGATGTTCACTGTTTCCACTTGCATAAGGAGTGGGCATAGATAAGGTGTTGGGTGATGTTCACTGTTTCCACTTGCATAAGGAGTGGGCATAGATAAGCTCGGTGATGTGAGTGATTGTCTTTTTATGTGCATAGTTTCCTCTTGCATAAGAAAGAGTAGGGCATAGATAAGGAGATGAGTGATGTTCACTGTTTCCACTTCCATAAGGAGTAGGCATAGATAAGGAGTTGAGTGATGTTCACTGTTTCCACTTGCATAAGGAGGGGCATAGATAAGGTGTTGAGTGATGTTCACTGTTTCCACTGAGGAAGGAGTCATAGATAAGGAGATGAGTGATGTTCACTGTTTTTGCATAAGTGGGCATGATAAGGAGATGATTTCACTGGGCAAGTAACAGAAATAGATAAGGAGATGAGTGATGTTCACTGTTTCCACGACATAAAAGAAGTTGTTCACTGCATAGAAATAGATAAGGAGATGAGTGATGTTCACTGTTTCCACTTGCATAAGGAGTGGGCATAGATAAGGAGATGAGTGATGTTCACTGTTTCCACTTGCATAAGGAGTGGGCATAGATAAGGAGATGAGTGATGTTCACTGTTTCCTCTTGCATAAGGAGTGGGCATAGATAAGGAGATGAGTGATGTTCACTGTTTCCTCTTGCATAAGGAGTGGGCATAGATAAGGAGATGAGTGATGTTCACTGTTTCCACTTGCATAAGGAGTGGGCATAGATAAGGTGTTGGGTGATGTTCACTGTTTCCACTTGTATGAGGAGTGGCAGATAGCTCGGTTGTGTGCTGGCACTTGTTTTTTTATGTGATGTTTGCTATCATTGTATATTGATGATTGTAACAGAAAGAATAGAGCAGGAATCGGCTCAGTACCTCTGCACGACAGGAAGACTTTGTATTTCAAATGTTCTATGCTTTTAAAAAAGTGAAAACATCAACTACAACAAAAGGCCTGAATGTGTTCATAACAATGTGTCATTATGTCAGAGAATACATCGCAATTTTGGATTTGTTAGTGAATTTCTGAATAAAGTGAACTGATTGTAAAATTGTAGGAAGATGAAGATAAAGAGGATGAAGAAAAGTCTCGAAGTGGCAGTGTGAAATCCAGCCAGTCAGCATCCAGCTCCTCGCTGCGAGGGTCAGCTGATGTGAAGAAGACATCTCGAAGTGGCTCTGCATCCAGCAACAGTTTGTTTGCGGATGACATTGATGAGGATCTCTTTTCTTCCAAACCAAAGACAGACAGGTGAGTTATTTGCCACGTTACTGAGCACATTTCTTGGCTCGGTCTTGATAGGATTTCACTTCACACTATTTGTCTCTCTCCATGGTAAATCTTTCGTTTGGTCCTTTGATGGGCCAGGATTGAGCAGATGGCTCTTATCAAGCTTTATCATGCTTTACAAGCAGCAGGTGCACATATCACATCATATTGAACATAGACATAGGTCAGTGACTTCCATCAGATGGATGACACAGCTGGCACAGTTGTCCTAAAAAGCTGCAATTCATCCTGAAACCCAGTGAAGGTTTGAATCCCAGTTTGTCAGCTCCATACCAAAGCTTGTTAGTTTCCTCCCACCTTAAGCTGACATGCAGTGATAAACTGAAATAAAGTCCTAGGCACTCACTTCACTCACTCACTCACTCACTCACTCACTCACTCACTCACTCACTCACTCACTCACTCACACACTCACTTCACTCACACACACACTCACTCACTCACACACACACTCACTCACACACACACACACTCACTCACTCACTCACACTCACCCACTCACTCACCTCATACAAGTCTAGCACTGATTGAATGACCTCGTCACACAATGGTCATATCTCACTGCATCAATCCATGAAATGTTGCAACTTACCCACTGCTATCTACTTCCAGTTGTTGTACAGGGAAACTACATGTGGTCTGGCCACTGACATACAGCTGATATATTACAAACTGTTACATTAAACAATGATCACTCACTTGTGCATGTCAACAGCATTTACTGCACGTACATATTGACACTTGAAGTCCAAAACAAGCAAGTATTGAAGTAAACATAACCTGATATATTGCTTCATTACAATCTAAGGAGGTCTACCTTGTTTCTATAATTTTGCAGATCAAGTGTGCCTTTCTCTTCTTTGTTATTTAATTGTTGACAAATCCTACTATTCTGTATACTACATACACTTATGTATGGATGTCTTTTCTGCATGTTTAACCAAAAGCGGAACATGTTTTTGCTACTGCCTGTACCTGCCTGTCATAATAATTCAGGCTGAAGATGAACTGATTAGGGTCACTGATGATTAGCCATAGGTAAATCAAATCTCATTCTAAGACAAATCTTAGCAGGAGCGTTATGGTGCTGATGTTATTCTGTAAACCATACAACGTTAGTGTGTATTCTATGTTGCATGGGTCTGTCACTCTGATTTAGTGGACCCGTGAAGGTCCGGGTTAGAATATTGATCTTCAGTAACCCATGCTTGTCGTAAGAGACGACTAACAGGATTGGGTGGTCAGGCTTGCTAACTTGGTTGACACATGTCATCGGTTCCCAATTATGCAGATGAATGCTCATGCTGTTGATCGCTGGATTGTCTGGTCCAGACTCGATTATTTACAGACCGCCGCCATATAGCTGGAATATTGCTGAGTTCGGCACACACTCTGATTTAGTGGATAAGTGTGTTAATATATTTCTCAAACGTTACACCTATTGATCATAAATACACAATGCCATTTAGAGCAGGGTTCGCACAGACTTGAAAAAATCTTAAATTTGGACATTTTATCCTTAAAGGCCCTTAATTCATTTTAACCTTGAAAAGGGCCTAATTATCAGTGATTTGCTTGATAAAGGCCTTATATTTAGCAAAACTTGTCATGTTATGATTTAACAGGAAACTAACGCAAAATAATACCTTGCAATGACAGTGGGTGTTAATTAATCTCCATTGGGAAGCAAAACTTTCCCAGTGCAGGGATATTGCTGAGAGTTATTTTCCTCTGATGGTTGTTCCCACATTTGACCAGCCTTGCGTGTATTCAGCTACTTATGGGTTATGTGTGTTTCTATAGTTCCTTCATATTGTTGATTGGGCCTTGAAAAGCCCCTAAAAGGCCTTAAATTTGATGGCTGATAATCTATATGAACCCTGTAGAAAGTTGTCAAATGCAGATCATGTTATATTTGGGATTACACTTTTTCAGTAACGTACAGATTCTAGTACTTCCATTGAGTTGAGTCCCATCCGGGATTTGACCCACACTCTCAGGCACCTATCACAAGGGATATCTATTTCAAATCACAAACTATGAAGGATCTTTTTAGTAATATAAGTTCTCATTTAATTATTGCATTTTTAAAAGAATTAAACTTGTTAACTGATTTGTAAATAGATACATATTTTATTATTGGTAGTTTAGATTAGTAACTGAGATTGTTAGTGGCTGTACCCTCAAAGGGGGTTGAAGTAGTGTAAAATTATTGTCCTCCTGAGAGGGTACGTAAGTCCCAAAATGTTCAAAGTCAATTTAAACTTGCCAGGATTTTTAAACGTAGCATTCTTGTCATTTTAATCGTGGCTAACATTTCTTACAATCGCCAGCAGCTGAAGGGATGGTGTAAATCCAACTAGGGTCCATGCAGGTAGCCAAGGTACTGTAAGTCCCCATGGTCCCTAGTTTGGTGATCTACCTTCTGGTGTTCGTGATCTATAGCTTGTTTTTATATTGTATTGTCCAAATAGTGCTATCAGTTTTAACTCTCCATACTAGTTTTAGTTGTAATTGTGATATTCTAGTTGTTTTACTGTCCTTCGTTGACAGGTTTTTTATAATATACATATATTTCATTTCAATATCAAATGTTCTCGTCACGATATGGCTGAAATATTGCCGATGTGACGTTAAATATTAACTCACTCACTCACACTCTCAGGCACCTAATCGCCAGTACACAAATTCAGTAATCTAACCCACTCAGCCACTGTAGCTTATATTAGTAGTGGTTTACTCTTACTTAGAAGAAGTTAAATGGTTTCAATACAGACCAGCACACATGTTAAATGATATCATTGCCATGTGTATGCTGCTATGGTCTGTTTCAAGACATGGTCTATTTGTATGATAGGAACTATATCCCAGACATGTGGCTGCACAGAAGAGATAACAAGATCAGCACCTAACATACTGGGATGGGTGCAGATACACTCGCCATGTTTCCACAAATCCCACAACCACACATAGATATAGCATTACAGTAAGATAGACCAGACCGACCATGTATTGGTTTGCACGTTATGACATGTGATGTGGTCAGACTCTGCCTGGCTGTAGCCATGGTGTACACATTTCACACAGCATCACACATGTTGGGATGTCAGTAGGTATGAGGGTACAGTGAGTGAGTGAGTTTAGTTTTATGCCGCACTCAGCAATATTCCAGCTATAGTATGACCAGAAATTATTGAGAATTTTAGGAATATGTTTAATTGGATTTCTAGTATAAACAACCTTGACCAGCTATCAAGTGCTTGGTTTCATTCAAGAGAGACAACTCCGTTAATCCTTTTTCATTAGTTTGTGAAGAGTTATCCTCCTTTGTTTAATTGCTAGCAGACGACATTTTCAGTGATCCTCAGTATGGATGATTTAGAGAAGAGGAAGTTGATTTTAGAGTATTATAACAAGGACATCAGATCAGCTTAAGTGATTTCAAGTAGAACAGGCATCCCTTTGTCCACTGTTTATCGTGTTTTGAAAAATATTGCAAATAGATATGGAATTGAGCACCAGGGAGGCGCAGGTAGGCCCAGAAAATTGACTGTCGGTGACAGGAGGCGGCTTGGTATTCTTGTTTCTAAAAAAACCGAAAGAAGTTTAGAAAACTTAAGGCTGGATATGATTGATAGAGGAACTGTGGCTGTCTGTAAGGAGACAATTAGAACTGAGCTGCATGCAATGGGTGGGCAGAAAAGTCGAGGATCTTGAAACCTGAACAAAAGGATCGAAGGTTGAACTGGTGCTTACAGCATAGAAATGTTAACTGGGACAATGTGATTTTCTCAGATGAAAGTTCTGTGTGGCTGTTTCCTAGTACACTGAAATTCTGGACCAAACAAACTGAAAAACCTTTGTATCAGCACCCAAAGTGCAGTCCGAAATTTAACGCGTGGGGTGGCGTATCTGTGTTAGGGGCAACGCCCCTCTGTGTATTTGAAGGGAATATGAACAGTGAGCAGTACACAGATATTCTCCAGGGACATTTACTTCCATCTGCTCACGTGTTCTATGGAAATTTTTGGACCCAAAACATCGTTCAAAGCATTCACAGGCCTGGTTTCGGACCCAAAATATGACATTATTAGATTGGCCAAGCTATAGCCCTGACCTAAATCCAATAGAAAATGTTTGGGACTTATGAAGGAAAGTGTCAATAAGAAAAATCTGACAAATATTGCTGAAATGAAAGAAGAGGTGGTCCGATATTGGGACAGCATGGACCACGACTTTCTAACTTCTTTGATCAGTAGTATGCCCCGCCGCATTGAAGCCTGCATTGCTGCCCATGGTGACTTGACAAAATACTAACTGTTCACCTGTCTTTGAATCTGGAGTTATGTTCTTCTAATATTCACATTTAATACATGAGTAATGAGTGAAAAAAATAAAAAAAATTTACAATCTTTAAATTCTCAATAATTTCTGGTTGTACTGTATATAAGGGGCGGTCTGTAAATAATGGAGTCTGGTCCAGACAATCCAGTGATCAACAGCATGAGCATCGATCTACGCAATTGGAAATATGAGGGTACAGAAGGAGCCGGGTAGCAATGTTTAGCATCATAGTCAAAAATATCATTATGTGGTTCCACATCTTTTTTTATAAATTGAACTTGTTAAGTGACCTTCTTCCTGTATTTTCAAACATGCTTGTACATCTCTAAGCTGACAAATTACATCTGATTGTGTATACTATTGGCCTTTTGGTTTGCTATTAGCCTATAGCCATATGTGCCTTTCTTGAACTTTGCATCTCAAACAGTCAGATTGTCCGTCTATATCTGATTTTATGTATCACTGGCATACAACCTTGAAGTTTACATTCTCTGTCAAACATTGTGCCAATCTTGAACCGGATTTGTACCAGCCGGAGATCGAGTATATCTGGTTTTATACAGCAGTTTTATATAATACTGTATATCTGTACAGCCATAGAATTACTTCATTACACT